TAGCACTCTTGTTGTCTCGAAGTATCATCATATATTCCCCTTTGTGAGTTTATAAGGAAGGTATAGTCTACCAATAGGTAGACAGATGTTGGATGTTTCTATAGCAATGATTTTGGTTTTGTCACGGGTCCATTGATGAATCCACGTCTTATCACCTTCTGCCAGACATGATGCAAACTTTCTTTCATCTAATCTGCAACGTATTCCATAATCATGCAGACTGGGGTATCTTGGACCCCATTGTACTCACACCCAAATATTGTGTATCGAGGTATTAAGTGCTTGCAATGAAATATTGACTGCAGGGCCAGTTTCACGTCTGGTATCCTTTGCCCTTCCACTGTTCTCTTCTCGACAGCAGCAATCATTTCTGGATGTGTCATCTTGTCAGTGTTTGCCCTTAACCCTGAAAAGCTGCAGGCGCTATATAAGGACCCAGAACCATAAAACGTTGTGGGTCCTGGTCAGAATGTGTTGGCCCTATATTTTGATATGGAAATAATACACTTAGTTACTGTGGATGAAAATGCTTTCGCCCCTAAGGACCTGCAGAAAATATAAGCTGTGGGTCCGAGCGGTTTTCAGTCGGCTTCGGGCCTAAGGACCGACATCAATAACGCTGCATCTTGGAGAGTACATCTCCACCGACTTATTCGATCATGTTTTTTCGCTGTACACCTTTCCAAGTTAAAATATTCATTTTTGCTTATTTGTTTGTTCTTTAACGCCACACCCAGCAGTATTCCAGCTCCATGACGACGATTTGTAAATAATAGAGTATGGACCAGACGATCCAGTGATTGTCATCATAAACGTCGATATATGCAATTGGGAATTGACATGCACCAGCCAAGACAGCAAGTCTGACCACCCGTTCCCGTCAGCGGCTTCTTACAACAAGCGATCAAAGATCTTCACTGGTCCAAAATCTTCACGACTGCCCTTCGTTCCAACCTGCTGATATTTATTAAGGAGGCGTCATCATTATTCAGAAAGTGAACCAGTTCCCTATAGTATCATTAGAAGTACAATTATATTTTGTTAGCAATTAATCGGCATTAAACGGTATATGACTCTTCAACAACCCGTTGGTATTCCAGGTGAGAATTGGTCCCCAGCAACCTGCGCTAGTCGCAAGGGGCAAATAACTGGGTCGTGTGGTCAGATTCGGTGATTTGATTGATTTTATGTCATCATTTCCGACTTCTGTGGATCAATGTTCTTGGCGAGACCTGACTACTTACAGACCGCCGTCTTACACATGGTATATTGATGACAGAGGTAGTACTAATGTGTTTAACAACAAACAAAACCTCTTCCTCACTTTGTGTGTGGCAAAACACCCATTCATGTGTATACTCATCCTCGATAATCTCCAGGGTATACGTTACGATCACTCTCCACTATACCCTCGACGCATCTACAGTTCCGCCGGATAATTTTATTACCTCCCTCGTCTGGCTTCTTATCCAATCAGGTGTCTACGCTGGGAAGTTGAGCGGACCAATCACAACTCACTTTCGCTTCTTAAATTATCTAACCGATAAAACTTGGCATCACAATTGATACAGAGATACTCTGAAAGAGGTTGAAGGAGTTCTTGCATATATATTTTTAAAGTTTCAGACCTGTAAATTTGTCTGTATGATTTCCCCAAAAGTCTGAGTCGCACTGCGAACAAACCTTCGTGGCTGCGACCTCTATCTTTGTTGACACTGGCAAGTTCGGTTGTAACAGCGGCTTAGCTGATTGGCTACTGTGAGAATCAGGAGCCAACCAAGGGAGGTAATAAAATCATCGGGCCAAGCCGTAGATGCATCCAGGGTATAGTGGAGAGTTATCGTAACGTATACCCTGGAGATTATCGAGGATGGTGTATACTATGACTGAAGGAATTCTCTATCAGATTAAAAGAATCATCAAAATATTTCGAACAGTTTAATTTCCAGTCAACCGTGTGTTCCGAAGTCTCCTCGATATTGCTAAAAGCGGCGTAAAATCCTCCTCACTCACTCCGAATTCTCCTGAACATAGGCTCTGTCTTACCTGTATTTGCGAATTTAGAATAAGTATATTCTCCTAATGCCTAAAGTTAGTGTCAATAAACAATATGAACTACCTGATCCATACATCGAAGGTATACACGCCTTTAACAGTCTTGATTTATACGCCGATTTAACGTAAAGATCTTTACAAAAGGACCTGAGAGTCTATGGTGTCGGGTATCCACTAATGCGCCGTACCCCGCATAACGCACAGTCTCCCAGTCAGTGATCTATCAGAGTTATAGAGACCAGGGGGTGGACGGTCTGCCGATGGGAAAATGGTGGCGGGGTACGGTTTTAGGGCATTTATTGACTTAAAACTCACTTAACATCGATACACAATATAACGTCCAGTACGTGTCGTCTACAAACCCACACAGCACGGAATGTGTATGGGATTTAACACGCCTCCTTCTGTCCAGCAGAAAATGTAAATATACCTGTATAAATATATGCTTGTGAGCAGAATCCAACCATCCTGACACAGGTTAACCTTATGCATATACTCGTCAGGTTATAAAAAGTCGTGATTAGCTCATATCTTTGCAATGTAAGTTGTCCAGTTCATGCATAATTTCATCACCGATTGCTTTGGGATTTTTGAAAATAAACACTGTTGAAATTTGATAGCAAAGGTGTACCCAGAACATTGGTCTCTCCGTATATTCGGCAACCACTCTATGACAGCGCTGGTCTACCAGTGAGGCTAGATGTACGAGATATATGTGTACTCCTTGCCTGTAACTACTCAAGCCAACTATACAGCCGCACCTAGTCATATAAATGCTACTTATGATGTTTAAAAGATGTAATACAACTTAGTTACTACCAAAAATTAATGACTTAAGCTTGATCCCCAGCGCTCGCGGCTGTTTTATTTGCCGACCCTTATCCGATTATAATATATTTTATTGTGTATCTGCAGTGAGTATGGAGTTTCGGTTTGAAGGTTGTTTGGGCCGTACAGGGAGAGCGGAACGACACGTTCCAATATGTCTGATTATACAGCTGCGTTTAGCATAGGCTAGGCGTAGTTAAGTGATCATAACCCGAACTCCTCTGCGTGTCGAGTGAGTTCCATGTGCACACACACGAGGCAATATCAAACGTATACATATAACTCATCCCGGGCCTATCAATGACACAAACATGACAAGACTAAATATACTGGTCCTTGTATATTAAAAACCTCCTACAGAGTGACATGGGATATATGATCCTATGACGTAATGATGGGACAGACGAACGGTTAATTTTGTTAACTCGATCACTCGAATTATTCGTAGTTCGAGACAAAGTTTGGAGTGTCAAAGTTAAATCACTTTTTAAAAGCGTTGATGTCGCCTCCAGTGGAGTACATTTAACATTAATTGTTAGATCAAGTCCACGAGGTATCAGAAGTTCGACAGAAGCGGGGAATCAATATTACATCCATATGACCACCACCATGACATATATGATTATATTACCGAGAACGAGTGTAACAGTTTTATTTGGGATTAAAACCTCAATTCTCTAAACAATATACAGTTGTACACGACTGAACATTATGGTCAAAGCAGAATCGTCCATGTCTTTGTGATGCGCTCTGTTTGACTGTAACTACGTGTAACTCGAGTACTTTCAGTTAACGAGGTAGACTGACTTTTGTTTATTCTGCTTAGAAGTGTTACGCAATATATACAAAGTACTTCTTTACGTAGTAATTAAACGTATTGTTCAACATTCGTACGTGTTTATATCTGAACATTAAATTGAGTTCGTTCGCATCTGCCCTATATAGACAAACGACTACGTTTACTGGACAACAAAAATATTGAAAACAAATATGAATTGAATTTTAGAAAAAAATGCACCGACAGGGACGAAAATAACAATCAATCACGAACGACAAATGATTAATCGAAAACACGCCTTTAGAAGAGAGACGGTCCGGGTGTGACTTACATGTTCTCCTTTAAATAACCGTCTAATATTGGTCTGATTAGGGAAATTCCTCTCTGTACCGTATGTAAGAAATATAAATTTGCATTACGTATACTGCAGTAGTATATTTTACGAGAATTGTGAGATGCACTAAAGTATACTTGCGTTATGGATTTTCGACCACTTTAAAACATCCATTGTTGTCTCCATTATCGCATGAACACAAGCCACCATTCAAGAGTTTACAATGTCTGTGTTACGCAACACCCCTCGTAAAAGCCCGAGCGATCACTGCCGTCCAAAAACCTATCATGACGACCAAGTAAACTATGATCCTACGATACTGTAGAAATTCCATGTGTTTTTTTTGTTTTTTTAAAATTACATTTAAATAAAATACATGAAAGCGCAACACTCGAGGTTTGAACATTATTATATAATGCATAATAAAACCTGATACGTATCAAATAGCATAAGCAATGGAAGTATAAGTCTGTAAATAACAAACTTTGTCCCCGGCGCAGGGACTGGGACATTTAATAAAATACCTAGATCTAAATGAAGACATGAAATTGTGTTATGTACAAAATTAATTGACAGCTCTCCTCATACCGACTTTTTTTCGCTTAGCGTCCAACACTCAACACCGTTTATCATTCCACAACACCACACGGCCGTGAAAAGATTTTCGATACGCGAACTGATTAGGTAAGAATAATGACCTTAATCCGATTCAGACCCCGGCTCTTTTGTGTACATGTCTCCATGGTGAGGGAAACGTCTCCACAGAGCTACTTGCCAAAATATTATTCCGCTAAAAAACATCTGTCATCATATTCATAATTAAAGCATATTTTCTGCAGGTATTGTATGTAATCATACCCTGTCAGTTTCATGCATGCGATGTCATCTAATGTTATCAAGCAATAAATATTTATGCAGTGTTTTTATCGCGGACTATTTTGTATCCCCCACAGCGCGGAAGTCAGAACACGTGCGCGGTAGCACAGCTCAAAGATGACGCGCCTACTTAGTTCGAGTGTTCAGTGAGAACTCGCAGTAACAATTCATTTCTCACAAGGACACTTGGACACAACTGGACTGTTGCTTGTGAGAGGATACTTTAAACTTTCTCAAAATGGCAGACGTCGAACAAGACGGCGGGCCTAGTGAAAAAGAGCAAAACAAGCCTGACAGCCCAAAACCTGACCAAGAAGTTGCGCCCCCTCTCGTAACCAAAGGTGAGTGGTGGAAGTGACATTTGTCAAAACATATGACCTTGCATTTACTAAATGGGTTAGTTACCACACGTCAATATTCCTGCTTCTTTTACTTAAACCGGCACAGTTTAGAACATAAAAGTTCTTTTCTGTTCAAGAAAGTGAAATCGATATGTTCAGGGCCTCAACAAATCTTACTGTACTGAGCGAAACAAAAATTCAGACGCCTTCAAATCCAGCTGTCAGTATTTTTTAATTATTTGCATACCGTCTACACCGATGACATATATGTAATTATACAATGTAGGTTTTAATCAGTTTTGCCGTTTGTCAAACCTTACTTAATTGTCTTTCAAATTTGAATAAAGGTTAATTAGTTCAAACCAATTTAAAGTAAAACTGTTGAAAGACATTGAATAAAAAATGATAAAAATTACCAATAAGACTATGCCCAACTGCATACTGTAGACCTGTTCAAGTAAACTTTACTGTTTACTAAGACTTACATTGAATTTCTTTTAGACTGCCAAAAGTCACATTTAACATTTTGTTCAGATTAAAGAAAATGTGAAATTAATTAAAATGTGTGTTATGTTTGGATCTACTGCTACTTGACATTCTCTAGTCACTTGCTCTCGAACGTAAGAGACATGTTGATCAAATATTAATATATTGAGCAGTGCCAATCTGACAGTGTCACATAAGTATTAGGCAAACAAGTTTAGTTATCGTAATCAGCAGTTATATCGCTAAGTTACCAAACCTTCTCACTCTGTGTAGACAAGCCAGACTTCAATGACTGTTAAGTAAATATACACAGAGTGAGTTTATTTCCCATCAGCTGGATTGTCAGATAAGTCTAGCGCCCCATTGACAATCAAGTACCTGACCCACAATGCTATCTTTTATGATAAGAAACGGAAATATAGTCACGATCACGCCTGAAGATCTTCCAGTGGCATACAGGCTATTATTTGTGCTTACCCACTGAGACGGTACGCATGATTGATGACTCTGAAATCAACTTTGAAAGGGACAATTTTCTCGTCTGTTTATTATTTACATGTGCATTACTGTGTACATGTAGTCCATTGAGCTGAATGCTACATTAAATACTTCTTAAGTATCTGCAGTGTGATTCAAGGTATTATAAGCCGATGACTTGTTGATATCAAAAAGCCTATTGATAAGACAGGCCATTAAAAAGTAACATACTGTATTGATACAGCAAGTTAGTGTAGCGATTATGCACTCCATGCTGCATTCTTTGACCCCGGCAACTGAAGTGTGAATCTGGACACAACCAGTGTATTTGTCCTGAACTTCTTTTAGAGTTCTATGAAGGTTGTTACTTGGAGGTATAAGGGAGCAATATTGCCTGTTGCAATTGTCATTTGCATTTTATGGGAAAAGGATATACCAACTCTCTTTAGCAAATGTAGCACATAATTAGAATTATTATGAACACGAAAACAATTATATTTTATTCTAGTCAGGTTGGTTTGGAATATTTTAATATTAAAAATATTAGCGTTGCCTCCATCTTAGATCATTGTAACTTTCTGTTATGCAGGAATATGTATAGAAATAATGTTACTGGTTCCAGAATAGTTCACTTTTATATTTGTAAAACTGGCCCCATATTTGGTTTATCCTACCAACTCTTGCCCTCCCTATTTAACATGTGTAATAACCATTAAGGAAATAGCGTATTTTTTAAGTATATTATGATTTTCATATTGACTACTGGCCCAATGTTTGGGATAAACATTGTTTCTTTTTAAACCAAGAAATAGAAAGAACAATGCATTAGCTTGTTTACATTAACTGAATATAGAGAACAAATAAGTGTTGCGACTTCAAACACAACTGACCTCTCATAAATTTAGAATCCAAGCAAAATCTGAACGTTTATCTGGTGCATACAGGTTTGTAAAGGCCTCTGGTGTGGTTGCCTGGCTTTGAAATAGCTTCAGTTGAAACATGAATGTTGAGGTATGTTAGTCAAAATCCTAATGTTCAGTCACTACAAATACGCTTTGGGCCCCAAAATACATAGTTTTCATTGCGGATGTTTATATCTGTGTTGCAGGAGATGACAAGGGAGGCAAGAAGCCAGCGCCGAAGATGCAGGTGTCCAAGGTAAAAAAAATATATGTTATTAATGCATGAAAATGTTGATACATTCTGGTCTGATCATATTTGCCTGTCTTTATGTTTGAAAACCCATTTGTTGTCCTGAATTTAAAGAAATGTGTATTTTCCCAGAATACAAGTTTTAAACTGTCAAAAGCATATTAGAAAAAACTGTTTTTGTATAGCTACTTATGTGTGCACATAGTTATGTAATATACATGTCCATCAATGTATCTAAACGTTTACCTCTTAAAATCCTTGTTGAAAGCTTAGTGGATAATGTTATGGTGTAGTGGATTTAGGTGTAGACATTGATATTGTTTTCATTTGACATGGCATGCCTGAGGGTGTGTGTTTCCACATCCCAAAAAATGTTTTTCTCAGTAACTGAAACAAAAACAAATATTATCTTACATGTTTGATTGGCATTTAGAAGATGCTATTTGTTGAACATAGAGACTTTTCTGGATTTCATCTTCTTTTTATTGTTTGGTGAAACGTTTCAGGGCTTGTTCTGGCCCCATCATCAGGAAGAACTAAAGAGAAGATGAAACCCAGAAACGTCTCTAAATATTTTCTTTATTTAATAGTATGCAAGAATTACTAATATTAACCTTTCACTTCCTATTTTGTTGCTTCAGTGTCAGGTGTTTCATATCAACTGACAAATGTCAATAGTCATACTATAACAGAAATTCTGCACAATGTTAAAACGTTTCACATAATCATATATTGTGTCTATACTTTTCATGGAACTCAGTCCTAAGTCATGTTTATAATAACTAAAAGAAATATGTCGTTGACAACACTTCCAAACTGGGGACCATTGTAGTCATGAAAGTTCATTTACAGATTATTTGGTTATATATTTAAGAGATGTATTTTCATTCTAATTCAATGATTCAAATAAGATGATGCTTTCATGTTTTGTTGTTTGAAAGAATCCCTGTTCATGTCACCACTGAATTAATATGATATAAAGATTTTCTTCTATATTTATACACTTAAACCCTGTCTGATTACTAGCTACTAGTTTGAAATCTGAGTAGTTTTTTCAGTAATGTTATCAACTTTCAGTGTGAAAGATGATATGTAACAAAGTAAAGTCTAGTTTAAGGTGAAGTACATAAGGTGTGTTAAAGGACCTTATAGCTTGTAGAGGACACGTAAAAGTGTTCATGAAATATGACTGTACACATGTAAAACCATATGATCTCAGTTATACTGACTGCACTTGTGTAATATTGTCATGATGTTTATCTATAATAGTGATAACATACTCTATAGTCAAATCCATCCCTTTTAGGTTTCCAGCTCTTTAGGTTCAGTATATTGACCACATTGATCTAGTTGGTTATGCTGTCACTTATCAGTGCCAATCAATGACACAAATAAACCATTGCTTCAGTGATCACACTGATTGATAGCAATAGACACTATTGCCGTTCACCGTAAAATAGTGGCTAAGAATAAATTCCCTTTATTATAGGGCTCTTACAATAAATGTGTTGGACATGAAGTGTTTAATGTTTGCCAATGATCATTGAAAAGGTACATTATTTTCTTCTGAAGGTACATTATTCTACACAATGTTGATGGATAATCTATTGTTCTTGTGAAGTAGCACAAGTATAATGACATGGCCAGAAGTCTGTAAAATGGGTTTGCGTTAAGTGAAAATGGAGAAAACAATGGAGGAGACATTTTTATTGAGGGACACTGCTGTAAGGTTTTAACATTTTGAATTAATTTAGATTGTAAATGTTGTTTTCATGACTTCATCTTTTTCTTTATCAGATTGTTGTTAATCATTAAGAGTAAGAGCAAACAACAGTTTCAAATATTGACAATGGATAAAGTTTGACAAGGGTTCTTTTGGGCCCATAGCATCTGCATTATTTGGTAAAAAGAGACCAAACCTTTTAGAATCATGTTCAAATGAATCAGAATTTGGCTGAATTCATAGGACAGTATATGGCTAGATTTGTCTAATTGGGTGAAAAGGCTGACTTTAGAGGATTCAGAATACGATACTAAACAAGCATTTAACTTGAGCTGTTTTTCTCAGCACAATGAGATACTCAGCAGTTCTTTTGCTCATGCTGATTGTCTTAGAAAAATACCATACACCTGATTGGTAACAAAAGTCACTTGAGATTTTTTAAAAATCTGTTTTCCCACATATTATGACCAATTCCCATTGCGCCAAAGCCCTTGCCATACCTGGTCCTTTTCGTTATCTCACTGAGGCTTTGACCAATTGCCTGAAGCCGGAGTGACATTAAACTCTGTTTGGCCTTAAAGGTTCAGCTAGTATCAGTCCTCATGATAATACTAAAATGTACTGAAACTGATGCTGAGGGCCAAGTATGGGCTAGTAGACTGAGACAGATATTTTTGTTCTATGTGCAGGCCGCCATGAAGAAGATAGTTCTGGCTGGCGATGCCATGAAGGAAGTTCAGCGGGCAAAGGCCAACAAAGATGAGAGGAAACTGCAGGTAGGTGGTGTTGTTTGTTGGTCTGTGACTGCCTGTGCTCGTAAATCTGTTTCATTGGAGTCGAGAGGATTTAGTTTCCATTACTGGGCCTATAGGGATTAGATTGATGCCCATGCTTTCAACCACTGGATTGGCTATTTACAGGCTGCTGTAGATGTCAAGAATATGGCTGACCTACATACAATAACAGTCACTCGCTGACATACTCCATTACAGTAGAAAAATGGAAGGTCACCTGTTCCTTGTAATACTTTGTAATTGTCTGGCATATATATGATATATATTTTATATTTTAATTCTTCAGATGGATGCAAGACATTCCTACCTCATTGAAAAGGTAGGTGAATTATTCATTTTTCCTCCATGTTGCATGATAATTTTCACACATTTTGTTCAGTCTCTTTACTGTGAAGCCTGGGTGTGCTGAATCCAGGAAATATCATAATTCTGAATCAATATGCTCTAAACAGTTATCAAATCTCATTGCAATATGCCACATGGAAAACATGGTGCCATTACAGTAATGTTATATTCTTTAAGAGTAAAATTGATTCCAATATTTTCTTGAATAGTCCTATTTCACTCTTAATTTATCAACTGACTAAAAGTTCCTAGAAAGAAATCCATAAACCAGTGAATACAGAAATGTGTTCATAGAACTAATTCTGGTTTATAAGATGGAGTCCTGGGAAATGGAGCAAATGTAGGTTGAATCCAATCTGTCTCTGAGCAGTCTCTTTGGAAAAAATCCTTTTTGAACGTTATTTAAGACGTCAGTTGGAGATCAAAACCTGACGAAATTCAGAGGTAACGGCACTACTGATCAAGAGGAGGAATTGTGATCTTAGACAAATGTCACGATCAGAAATGTTGATTGATTGGCTGAAACTTGCATACAGGGAGTTTCACTAGTATTCATTGTTTAAGGTGGTGTTTTGTTTGTATATTTGTAGATTTCTGATGCTCTTGGTCTTGATTCAGCTGTAGTAGAAGACTTTATTCTGGGAGATGACAAGGTGAGAGCAGAAAATAGAACAAGCATATTTATCTTTCACTGTGTACATCCTGAACATCTTCGGCATGAAACGGTTGAGAAAGGGAATGCTAATATGCAGTCTTGGTCCAAAAAGCTCCAGAATACTTTCCTAAACATGACTCTTAGCATTTATATGTATTTCAGTAGCTTCTCAGTTGTGTTCTAATGTGGATTAATGTTGGTTGTGCTTTCTGGGCCAGACAGACATTCTGGACTCGGGCTTTGCATCATTTGCTGAAGTCACCAACTGGATATGTGACCTTGAACTTGATGTGTAGTTGTGACACATGGATGTACGTCTGAAAGAGAGTATTATGTTTTGTCTTTTCAGTTTGATCTAATTGACAACTTTTTTGCTGAGAAAGGAGCCAGAAAGTTGATGTTTTTCTATCAGGAGGCCACTGTGAGTGATATTTGTATTGCTTCATGTCCAAATTGACTGAAACTAGAAAGTATAAAAAATGTACTTGCATTATTTAATTAAAGTCTTGTCTATAATTAACTCCTCTCTGTCAACATCTCACAAATTCTCCTGAGGTTACATATATGTTAATTAGATTCCTCTTACAAATGGTCAAAGTGTGATATATATTATACATTATACTGGATGAACTGATTTCCACCCTGTTATTACTGAACTGTGGCACATGACACTTGATTCCGAGTCTGCAGGGACCTTTCACAGACATTCTTCTAACATGCTGCATGATTGTGTGTTGTTGCAGAAGTCTACTACCACTGGTAGTCCAAGCAAGAGGCTATTTATCACCAGTGGGGACACAGAGGTAAGACAGTGATGTTCTTACAGTTTGCCATGTGACAGACATTACCATGGTAACCTCCATACATGAAATAAACATGACACTAGGTTGATGCAAGCCACGTGAAATTTCCATATTTTTGGTGAATTTATTTCATCTGATGTATTGCATTTTTTATATCTACTGCAGATGCTGAGTGGTAGCAATATTTAGAAATTCTTAATTTTAAGTGCTCTTCAATGTTGATGGTCAATTTTGATATTCATTTTTCTAGTTAAATATAATATAAACCCATCAAATGCAAGTTGAAGCTATTTAGATGCCGTTTTGAGTTTTATCACCCCAATTTTCAGACGGTGACACTATCACATGAACCAGCTTTATTACGAGCATCAAACAAACATGGAGGATAGGTTCCAATAAAATGCCTTCAATAAATCCACATATTTGGTTCCAGCACAGTTGAAATATCTTGATGCTAAAAATTAACTCTTGAATGAGAGATGTTCTCTGTTATGGTCTGAAAAGAACACAGATCCTGAAGGTAGTGTCAAATGCACCACAAAGTGTTAGTCACAAATAGGTCCGTGGTAATTATCATCATCAGTCGAATTCCCTGAATTCCTTTGTTTTACAATAACAAAGATATAAGAAGTACACATGCACTTGCTTTTTTAGCAGGTTAAATGTGAACGTGACCTTTTCTCCTTTTGCTTTTGAATTTCTTTTCCTTTCGTAAACACACACTAAACTAGCAAATAATTGTTAAATAAGTTTGTTTGATGAGGTGTAAATCGATATTGTACCATTTGTACACCATTGCTAATATATTACGACCTGCTAACATTAAAACATGAGAAGTTTATAGTGTTGTGTATGGCATTGTTTATTGCGTCATGTACATTTTGTGGTAATCAGGAGACATTACAGCAAGCATAACTGGGTATGGTTGCATGTTACAGTGTTAATTACAGTCTGTACCTCTGGCATATTGCCAGGATGTGTTACCTGGGGACACTTTGAAGAGGTCTGTCAGCTTAGATCTTGATTCCCTCCCAATGCGTTATTTATTGATCATATAAACTTAAGATTGGTATTGATCTGCTCTCAAAGTTATGTGATTTGTACCATTAAGCACCGTCTGTCGTCTCTCAAGGGTTTATGATACCTCTGTTGGTGGGACGGGTGTTAACATTTCCTTGCATTTGTCAACAGGAAATGGCTTTCTGTTCATTTGTAGATAAGTCCCATTATATTCTACATAAAAGGGAAAATGAGGAAAGCAGTGATGTTATCACACCTTCAATAACTTCGTTATTACTCTTGGTGCAAACACCCGATATAGGATTTATTATCGTCACATTGTGACAGTTTAAACAGTTGTATTGATTGTAGTTGTTGTGAAACAGGATATTTTGTGTCAGATTACTTGTGTGATTGTGTCCTGAAAGGTACTTGTGTTAAACACAATTCCAGTTCAGATACTTATGACTGTAATTAAGGTAATGACTGGGGTATTCAAAGTGCATTGTGAAGGCAGACATTATGTTATTAAAGTGGTTTGCTAAATCACGTCGTTATAGGTTGAGTGAATAAACTGTTTTATTTTAACATTGAAAATAAGAGATATGTATTTTTAGAATTTTTTATTATGACTCATGTTTTGTTATGACAAAACATTGATATAAATATGGTCTATTGCCTCTCCAGTACATGTCAAGACGTTACAAGTAGTTGTGTGGCAACATGCACATAAAGTATTGAATAAAGTCTTTCACATGACTGCAATAATTCCAGAATGTTTTTCAGTAGTTTCACTCATTTTTTATATTATGCCAAATGTTAAATCCATGTTAGTCCCATGGGTCAAGGCTACCTGTTATCATACTTTTTCCTTTCAGTGATGAAAGGGAATCTAAACATTGGTATTTCCTTCATAAACACCAGACTTTGCAGCCTCCACAAGGGTGCATTTACTTCCAAGTGATATGGTTCCCAGAATAGTTCAATGTTTCCGGAATAATCACTGATAGCAACAAGATTGGTCAATTTGTTGTTATTTTGCAACATAAGCTGATAAAGCAGGCTATAAATTGAGCTCTTGGCTATTTTTAAGCTAATCAAGTCTGTCTCCTCAATAAGGCATTATGTAGCTTGTAATCTCTTGACTGTTCAGAGAAACTGGATCTCTATAGTCTCTTAGCTATGGTTTGAATGGAAAGGATTATCTAAGTAATTGCTTCAGGATTTCTATTTTCTTTCATTGTTCTCATTTTATTTGATTATGATTATTATTATTATTATTATTATGAGTGTTGGGACAGGAGTTTGATTCTGTGGGAACATGCAACAAAGCAACACACGTTAGTTGACGGTTTACTGGCGACAACATATTACACCAAATGAAGCATAGGTTCACTGTTGAATCAAACAGCAATACAGTATTCTATCCAAATATGTCACTCATGATGCAATACATTGATAAATAGCAGAATCTACACATTGCCCTCAAGCTTGAAATGTGTTGTGGAAATACTATACAGACCCTGTATTGTGATGGGTTCTGTGTACATCTGTGTTGTCAGGGTCTGCATGGAGTGTGTCTGTACTTCCTGAGGTTGTCAACCAAGGCCATCTCCAACAGAAACATCACAGATGAAGTCAACTTTGGTATGATGGACTGCAACCAGGGGCAGGTGCTCAGAGGCTTCGAGAAACACATGTCAAAGGTCATCCTGCCAGCACTGAAATCTCTAGAGGTAGGTACTAGAATAGTGGAAATTTGAAACTAACATAACTTTCGCTAAAACATTGTGAGAAATATCAAATACAAATATTTGGCAAGTTTATTTTTGTCGATTCAATGATTTTTCAGATTCATCTGTGTGAATCAAATTTCATATGAATCCTTGATATGTTTCTGCAATTGTTAATGATTTTGATATATATTTATGCCAAGTTGCAAGTGAGTAGAATCTGTTTTGAATGCAATTTTGTCATTTCCAGCAATGGGGCACCTTAACAAATGGCAGCAATGGTAACAATGCTCAGGTTGAGGATTTCTTGGAAAACATGGAGAAATTCATCAGCAGCCTCATCTCTGCTCTAAACAACATGGAGGGTCAGGTCTCTCTGGAGGAGAATGGGACAGGGCACATCATAGACAGCATGGAGTCTCCCGCAGACTATCAGACTGCAGGTATGGTTTGGAATTCTTTGAATGTCTTAACATATAATGGAAATCATTGTAATTTTGTTGACAATTCCTAACATCCATGGCAAAGTCAGAGGAATGTGTTCTTTGGAATCTTAGCAATAAGATCTTTGGAAGATCAATATTTCACATAGACTTACAGTAGTCTTAACAATGCAGTTTCTTTTGGGTAGACACACAATGAAATTTTGAGACAGATTGTGAAGCTGTATACTCACATGGTGAAGCTGTAGAGACACATGGTGAAGCTGTAGAGACACATGGTGAAGCTGTATACATCTGTTACAGCTGCTAACACAGAGTACCTGGAGAAGCTGGAGGAACTGCTTGGTATGTGGTCCAAGCAGATCGAGCAGGTACTGGCTGAGAGTGAGCAGATGAGGCGAGAAGCTGATGACATCGGACCAACTGCGGAACTAGCATACTGGAAGAGTCGTATGGCCAGATTCAACAAGTATGTCTGACCTTGAAGTAACTCTTGAGTCCCCTGCACTCCATACTGTGTAGTAACATCCCATTGAAATGAGGACAGGGTGGTCAGTGCATGTTCCAGGGTGGTCAGTGCATGTTCCAGGGGACAGGGTGGTCAGTGCATGTTCCAGGGGACAGGGTGGTCAGTGCATGTTCCAGGGGACAGTGGTCAGTGCATGTTCCAGGGGTTGTGTTTGTTCATCATACCTGGTGTAGGTTGTTTTCTTGATCATTTCACTATTATATACTGTATTGTATTCACTGTATTGACACCAATAACAATTGATGAAATGGCATGCTTGCTAAAGGCATACTGAATGAGTTTAATTTGTTGTTGATAGTAAACAAAGTCTAAACATTGACTGTCTCCGTGAAACCCTAACCTGTTTAATTATGCTAACACAATGATTACTTGGCCTGTCTACACTTTCTTCAAGAAATCAGAAATGTACACTAACAAAATGGACTGGTCATTATCAGTAGAGGTCACTTGCAAAGATAACTTATACAAAGTGGTCTTGAAGTCAGGTCAAGCTTTTTGAGTGGGTGCAATATTGAAAATAGCTGCAATATTTCTGTCTGAGGAATTTCTTCAATAATTTTGTTGAAGCATGTTATGCTACAGAATGGATTAAATGTCCTGTGTCAAAACTTAAACACTTTGCTAATCCATTTGTTAAACCTAGTATCCCAGATTTGTACAAACAGACTCAATCTTTGAGTGTTTAATCATGCAGAAGATTAATGGTGTATTTCCGCATGAGTACACTTGGCCCTCACAGTGTTATGGCTGCACAATCGTTACAGACACACAACTCGAATCATTCAGCCACTTTCTTTATCACACTGCAATCTGATATTAGTAACAAATCAATCAATTTATTTGCGATGGTTGACTGAACTGAATATACCCGCTAATGATTACTACTGTATTATTAATAGCCTTACATAATCGTGTATTTTAGACTTTGATGCGGCTTGTGTATTGAAAAACACAGATTCAACACCATCCAAAATACTAGTCAATTAAGTCTGTGGCACAGATATTGATTTTACTTGCTTGAGTTTTCTGTAATTAGAAGAGGGATCAATTATTAACGGTGTTTGAAGCAGGGGATTGCCCCGTGTTGTTTGTCAGTGATTGACAGTAGTGAATTGTTTCGGCAGCCTGCTGGAGCAGATGAAGAATGCAAGAGTCAAGCGAGTGGTGGGCGTGTTACAGGTGGCCAAGTCCAAGTCTCTGAAGAAGTGGAAGGAACTGGTGAGATGTTCGGCAGCTCGACGAGCCATTGTAGCCTGTTTTCACTCCTTCATTATACAACTACAACTCAATACCCACCAACTAGGACAGACTATTTATAGTCATGTGAAAAAAACCCCAGTTGTCCTTCTTTTGAGTATACAGTGAACTCAGTTGCACCTATAATTCTTTAAAAAATCACTGAAAGAGGTCCGTTATCACCAAAACAGTTTTGAATGTTTTGAAGCCAAACTTTGGTTCAGAGGAGTCATTTGATTGGTTGTTGACTCAAAGTTCATTGTCTAGAGACTTTCTGTAGTCAGTTGATGATTCTGAAATAACATTATAGTGGTGGGTGGGTCCGATCAAAAGAATACTTTATGATACCGTGTATAACTGAGGATGATTAAACAATAGCTACAAATAAGCTTAACAAGCTTTCACCAAGATAACAAAGTCTTGATAATGTTCACCAGGAGTAATGGTACTATCCTTTGCTGCTAAGACCTATTTCATGTTAGTTATTGCTGAGTTTATTAGACTATATACTGATAAAAGAATGATGATAAAGAAGCATATCAGCTAAGTTTGTCTTTGTAATATTTCTCAAACTATTGTGTTATTCTATTATTTTGTATCCAGGATGGTCGGATCACAGATGCTGCCAATGAAGCCAAGGACAATGTGAAATATCTCTATACCCTCGACAAGTTCTTTGGCCCACTTGTCAAGTGTACTCCTGTAAGTTTAAGATGATTAAGCCTCATGTTGATTCTGTATCCAGCACCCGTTGCTTCTCATTCAAGAGAAATTCATAGATCGGATGGTCAGGCTTGATGACTTGGTTATTGTTCTTGTATGCCATCATACCTTGACAGTGGGAAATCTTGCTCACAACATTAATCACTGGTTTGCCTGGTCCAGATTGGATTAATTTCCGTCCTTCATTGTATAGCTGGAATAATGCTCTGTATGGCTTTCACAGATAATGTGAAAGAGAAAACAATGATACTTTCCAGTATTTCCATGTAATGACCAATTTAGCCAGTGTTTTGAATGGTTGTGGAAATGTTGTACAGGCCAACATGGTGGAACACATCCCAAGTCTGATGAACGCCATCAGGATGATCTACAGCATCTCGCAGTACTACAACACCTCAGAGAGGATGACCTCATTGTTTGTGAAGGTCACCAACCAGATGATCACCACATGCAAGGCCTACATCATGCAGGGAGTTTCCAAGGTCTGGGAGCACCCAAGGTATGTTCAGCTTTGCTCTTGTACTTGAGGGCATGGGTGGCATCTTAGGCACTGCAGTTTACTATGCAGAGTTGCCTCCCTTTAGTGTGTCAGAAACCTATGGTCATGGGTACATATCGCCACTTAGCCTGATCAGGTAACTTGCCCAACATCAAGCTGATACAGGTGTCAGCACTTGAGATACCCACAGTCTTCAAAATTCACACTATTGTGTTGAGGACAATGATGGTAGGCCTCATTGAGTAGCAGCATTTGAGCTATTGTTCTTAACAAATCAATACTTGCTTGTTACTATAGATTGGAACTGAATAACAGAAAATTTAAACATTGTAAACACTGACTCAAGTAGGACTAGCTACAGGTAGGAATACTGCATTAAGCTAGGTTTACACTTGTCTTCTATACTTGTGTAGGCTATGTAGACAACCTAGCATGTATTGCCTGCTTTCCCCACCAGCTGTGATGTGAAATGCTGCATGTAACTGTCCTGTTTCCCTAGACTGGAGCTGCTAAAGAGATTGGGGGAGTGCATCCACCTGAATAAGGAGTATCAGCGGCACTTCCACAAGACCAAGGCACGACTTCAGGAGACGCCCAATGAGAGGCAGTTTGAGTTCAGGTGATAACCTGCTGTTCTGTTCATTCATAACGATCCATAATTGGGGTGAAATTCTGACAAGGGCAATTTATAAAGTAGCATGTGGGAGTTATCAGAAAATAGAAAATTATGTTTAGTAGCCTAAATGATGGCTTCATAAAACAACTTTTAATTGATTTTATGGTTTGGAGTGGAGTGTTGACTGATAGTGAATTTAGCCTGTTACTTTCATTTGTTTTGAAGACCTTTTTCCCCTTTCTTCCAGTGAAAACTACATTTTTGGCAAATTTGACACATTCTGCAAACGTTTGGATAAGATCATTGACATGATCAACACCATAGAGATGTTTGCTGGCGTTCAGGATATGAAAATAGAAGGTCTGGACACCATCATCGTCAGGTACAAGACTATTGTTGATGTCACCAAGAAGAAGAACTATGATGTGTTGGACCACAGGAAGCAGGAGGTTAGTGTCGTCATCATGACATCTGTCAGTTGCTTGAAACTGGATCACTTGGTAAACAGGATGTCTGTTTGTGACCCCGTCGTGGATGGGATCTAATTTCACTGACGTTTGTCTAGTTTTTCAACACATTTGTAGAGTCCTGCTTAAAATGTCTTCTTTACCTTCCAGTTTGATCAGGACTATCAGGATTTCCGCAACCAGATTGATTCCCTACGTATGAGCATCCAAACCTTCATGGACTCGTGGTTCCAGAGATCTCTCACGGTTAGTCTCGGTGCTGCAGCAGGCACTGCAACAAACACTACTATTCAGAACAAAAAATAACCTCAATTGCAACTAGGGCACTGACAGTGTGGAAATCATGGACAAATTTGTTTGCTTAAAAAAAGATTTATTTTTCATGACTGTGACTGGTACACAATTTAAAAAAATGAGAGGGTGTGTTTTGGAAAAGTGCTCTTTTTATTTTACTTTACTATTTCATGAATTACGCCATGAGGGGAATGTATGTATAACAATGTTATAAAAATATGAAATGTTGTGAAGTGGATGTTTGCTAGTGAGAATATCTACTGATGAGTATATAGCACTGGCTCCAATCATGTTATAGGAGGATGTAGGGTTAATGTTTATGTTTGACCTGTAGACCGAGAAAGCCTTGGAGCTGCTGGACAAGTTTGACGCCATCAGTGGAGCCCAGCTGGACATGAATGAGAAGTACATGCGGGTCATGATGAGCTATGGCAAAGACTTAGAGTCAATCAGGAAGATCTACCAGAAAAACAAGGGCGACCCCATAGCCCCACGTAACCTGCCCCCTATTGCTGGCCGAATAGCATGGGCCAGACAGCTCTATAGGAAGATTGAGCTGCCCATGAAGGTGTTCAAGAGCAAGCCGGAGATACTGAAGGTCAGTATGGGTACAAACAGGTTACTTATAAAGTTCATTGTATTGCAGAATTTCTGTGCAGCTCTATTATATTGCTTTGATGCTGAATCTGTGTTAACTTGTTTTTGTAGCATGCTGAGGCCAAGAAGATAATCCGAAACTTCAACAAAATGGCTGGTGTTTTGCTTGAGTATGAGGTAAGATGTCAGCACTTTTCACTGTTCAAAATTCCTGGTATTTTTGTGAAGTTTGCATGGCTAAATCACTTTAACATAATATTACTTTGCAAGTTGTTATGTGGAGCAAGTGAGAAGTATTCTTCTAACAAATGATTGGACACATGAATAATGAACACTTTTGACACATGTCTTCCTGTTGGCAGACCAGTTCAAAGGGAACACCTTACCATCTCTATCATTTGCCCTGTGGCTCACCTGAAAAATATGACTTTCAATTGTTACAAACTTAAGATTAGATATTTAGATACCTTGTTTTCCTTTTTATCCCCGACAAGCTGCAGTGTGAAGTATTGCTGTCAATATTTCACCTGTTTGTGGACATTGATGATGAACCTGTGTTGTTGCAGCTGTTGTACCACCGTGGATGGTTCCGTGCCGTGGAATCAGCAAAGAGTGGACTGCATGCTTCACTCCTTGTGAAGCACCCAGAGTCCAGCGAGCTGTTTGTCAACTTTGACCCCCAGATTATGGAGCTGATTCAGGAGGCTAAGTGTCTGCAGGCTATGGGGCTAGAGGTTCCCCGAGAGGCTAGGGAGCTCATCGTGAAGGAGGAGACAATTAAGAGCAACCACACCACGTAAGTGACTCCTGGAAAACACCAGTCTGTAAACCTAAATCCTGGTTATTATGGCTGCTATTGATGTCCTTTGTATATTATTAATGAGATGTTGATGGAAAGGGTGGCCTTGGGCCTTATCTGCCATATTTGCTGTTTTAGCGTGAAATCCATCGTCAACTTGGCAATGTCTACTAACAACAATTCTCATTGGATAGTTTGCCCGACTTCAACCAATCACATTTCGCCTTATTTCAGTCGAAACTGCTTTTGTTCTGGCTGTGTTGAAAATATTTAAATAGGTATTCAAATATCGAATCAAAATAGTGATAATAGTTATCAAAAATTGAAACTAAGGTGTCTGATTCGATTTTTGATGAATAGAGCCGAATTGTTGCAGCCCTAGTAGTATCCCTTTGTTGTGTAATGAGCCAATGATTGTGGTTCTACATTTGCCTTGATGTTCGTTGATTTATCACCAACCATGCTCACAGGCTGCACCACACTTCTTAGTATCTTCTATCACCTTCATATCATTTGGGTCTTCCCCAACATTCCTTTGTATCTTCTATCACCTTCATATCATATTGTTCAAAGACACTTGTATCTCATTCCTTTACACTTATATCATTCCACATATAAATATCATGATGGCATCAGACATTCATGTCTTGTTTGTTATAGTTTGATTGTTCTGTATTTTTCAAAAGTATTAAGTTGTGTCACGTTTCTTTGACATGCAGTCTGCAGGAAATCCTGTCTGAGTACAAGGGCATTGTGGGAAGTATTGCCCACGCTCTGTTGCCTTTGATGAAACCATTCCAGGACCGTGTTGAGGAGGCCCTTAGTCCTGGAGTGACAAGTCTTACCTGGACTTCTCTCAATGTTGATGCATGTGAGTCTCTCTCAGTGTCTCTCATTTGTACTCTCACTTTGTCTCTTGTTACCTGCTCTCCTTGTAGAGATTCTAGGGTAGCATACATTGTGCACAGGCTTGAAAAAGCCTTGAATTTGGCAACCATGATAATAACTCTGTTAATAACCAAATATATTATTAATATTTTCTTTTATAATAAGTGATGATGTCATGAAGTATCAGATTACTAATGAACTATTCTGACAATACATAAACAGTCTCTGATTGAAAGACATTGGCATGTGACATATTACCTTGAATCATTTAATCATTTCAGTGAAGCATTTAAACAAAATTCAAACTGTTGTGTGATGCACTTATAAAGCTTTGATGAATAGTGTGAAAATTATCAGTTGCTTTTAGTTTTCCTTGAATATTTGGTTCAGTAATTGTCTGTATATAAATGGTATCTTCATTTTCCAGACACTTCTAAAATCTATGAGGTCATGTCCTCTCTTGAGAAGCTGGTGAAGACTGTCAACGATGTCCTTGACTGCCGTATTGAGGCTGTGCTGCAGGAGATGTCCATTACAGCGCTTTGTGATTTGCCAGAGTACGAGGCCATTCCTGCTGAAAAGTTCCTGGAAATCACTGAGGATATTGTCAAGCAGGCATCAGAATCTCTGGCAACGTAAGCCATTTTGAGTAACTTTCTTCCTGAGATCAAGTTGGGCAAAGGGTGCATGTTAACTTAACAACTGTTTTACAACAGGGTTTTACGCGACTCACAAATGTGTGTCCAGTACACACAAATATGGAGAATGGACGCAAAAAACCCCAAATACTGTGCCCGAACAGATGCACAAACATACCTGCCGTGCATCAGTAGTGCATCTGTGTCTGTTATTTCACCCATCAGTCATGACCACTGGTTCATTCCAGGCTGTGAAGAAATGATCTCAACATACAGTACACCACACCACTACAGTACTTTACAGGCTCCTCATATTACCAGCAGGGACCAGTAACATTTATTGATGGGGGTCTTCTAGACCCCCACTTTTGTAAGTCATGGTTAAACCTAGCAACGACGACTAAGTGCTGTAGAGGCCATAAATGGTTCAGTCATATAAAGTTTAGCCATGCCATGAAAGCTAGATTTAAATCAAGTTTTGTCAGCCCAAAAGTTTTTCGTGTAGTTAATGTATGTGCACTTCCTGTTTTCCAGTCAGAGCCAGTTGGTTGAGAAGTCCGTGAATGAGCTGGTGAGTACTCTGAAGGGAAAGCTGTATCCTGAGGAGCAGACCAACCTGTCACCTGATGATGGCTACGCTTGCATTCAGCCTGACACCAAGAACAAGAAGCAGCGCTGCCAGGAGTGTCAGCCATGTGGCTACTACAGCCTCCTAAACTACTTCACACAGCGCAACACCGAGGCCCTCGTAAAGTGTGAGTACTATTGCCTCAACGCTTGAAAGGATGGACTATATAAGTTCTTACACATCAGTTCATACACATGTATGTTTTAGCAATTCTCATGGTTCCCAAATCAAGTTAACAATGAAAACACTGTCCGAAGTGGCATTAAACCATTCAGCCTTATTTCCGTAGTGTATTGACTTGTGATGGCTTCCTCCAGGTACCCGCCTGTCGTTGGACACCATCAAGCGTCGGCTGCAGGCCTCCAACAAGTACACCATGGGGGATGAGCTGAAGGAGGACCCCAAGCCTCCCCTGTTTAAGGCTGACGTCACCCTGGCCATCCCCAACGTTGTGATGAAGCCCAGTTTGGAGGATCTCCAACACACTCTCAACAAGGCCGTGCAGATAATCCTGAAGGCTTCGGCCAACATCCCACAGTGGGAGCACCAGACTCTGCAGCAGAAGCAGCAGCAGAAGGTAGGGATCATGCAGGTCGTTGTACCCAGCCCTTATATAGCCAGATAACCAGATGGGGGTTCAGGGCACTGTTAGGGATAAGGTCTTTAGACTGCATGTGTGTGAACATTTATTCAGGTGTAATCCTACACTAATACTGTTTATGCTATCTACCGCTGCCTTTTCGAGGGAGACCAGGTGGTCAAATTTAATTTCCCTGATGATGTGAAACTGTTTATTGTTGGTAAGCTGGGGAACCAATGGTATCATCATTCCCTGATGGTGTGGATTGTTGATCAGTCTATCAACCATTGGTTTCCTTGGCATCAACTTCTAATCAACATATTGTGTATTTAGTTCAGCAGGAATATTGTAGGCTGGTGTCAAATATCGTTATCATATTTATGTTCTGGTGAACTGAATACACACTTGATCCCACTGTTAGATCAGAGAAGACCATCACAAGTTGTTTGCTAGTTGATTTCCTACCTCTGCTTCTGAAAGAATAATTCATTCATAATGTTCCAAAGAATATGAATGTGATTTGGTTAAAAGGAAATGGTCATAAGAATTATTTGAAATGGCCTGAACAATTGCTTGTATTCTAGATCCATGTGGGATCAAGTGTACTGTTGTAACCAATTTGTTGGTGGTTTACAAACTTTTCTAGTTGAACTTAAGCTTGGATAACTGATGGTTTAGCATGTTAAAGGATGACGTCCTCTCTTCCATAAAGTCATCTGAGAGCTACATGGATCATAAATCTGTTTCATTGCCATAAAATCACAAAAGAACTGTGGACACAAAGGTGAACTTGTAATGAAATGAAGCCAAATGGTTTTGAAAGCTGCTAATTGATTGGCACATGAACCCAAGGATCCTCCATTTAGATGGGGTGGTCAGTGTTTGCTCAAGGTTCATCTGACATAATATCCATGGATGTCCGCAGATGTTGGCCTATAGGGGTATCATGTCAGAGTAGAAGGTCTGTGTTTGTGTCACAATAGTTGTAGCCCTCAGATCACCTTGTGGAATAGTGCCGAGACTGAGAGGCTGCAGTATCAGAGCAGGGGTGGCCATTGTACAGCCGACTAACATAGTGTGTGTTACTAACAGTAGGTGGTAGCTTACTGCTGATGTATAAACAAATACAGCTTCCATTCAAATACTGATGCAAAATTTATCCCATGGATCCACTCCTACCAGGTCAGTTGCTTAAGGAACCCTCCAGATGAAAACCTTTCTAAATATTTTAATCACTTGGTAAACTGACCCCACAGCTCTGAAAGCTAAGGTTAGGTCACTTCTGTATGAGATTTCAGTTGAGATGTGCAAGCTGTATTTGTCTGTTATATATAACCTGTGCGAGTTACAATGGTAATGGTGTTGTGTATTTTCCTGATTTCAGGCTGACAGAAAGGTCTGTTTGACTGTGTGAAAGCCACATTGTGCTGTGCTGCTGCACTTAATGCTATGCATGGTTTTGTTAGTGGCTTAGTACACTCTTGATGCAGGCAGTATAGTTTGTAGAACCAACCAAGTCTGACTTCGTATGCAATTCTAAAAATAAGATGCTATGGTATATGTGTACTACTAACATAGGAACATCCTACGAATGTCTTCTATAGTTACATGTGCGCCCAGTGGTCAGCACTAAGCATCAATGTGGAAGGTCTATCTTAAACTTTTGTGTTGAAAGTTAAAGTGGTACTTAGATTCAAACAGCAGAGGATGCACATACTTTTGAGTTGTTACAAAGGACTAATAGGTAGAACTGCCGAAGTCTGTAGTCATGGTAGCAAAGCATTGCACCTTCTTGAGAACCTGATGGTTGTACTGTCAGAAAAGCTTCAGCTGTCACTTTTGCATCAACATTATGTGCACCAGTAATAGTTTGGGTTTGTTTCTTAATGAGAACTGGCAACTATTAAAACTTCTGTTCTGTGATAAATACTGTTCTAGTTCAACTATCATGTTAGATGCTATATAATTTGTGGAGCATCTAACATGACGACAATCTGTTTTGTTGGTGTTGCTGACTACGCACATTTTGGGAATTGTCAGTTTGCACCTGCTTTGCTGTACTATGGATGGCTGTAATTGTACCAAATATTGGGAATTGCAAATGGGTACAACCAGTTTTCATTATACTTGACAATTCAGTAAAACATTTATTTATTAGTATATTTCCTTGGATAATTTTCTTTTTCAATTTCAGAAAGTATTTTGAGAATTAACTTGGACAATGTTTTTGAGTATGCTCAACCTTTTCATTATAACTATGTTGTTATGTTATGATATTTGGCATGTTTTTGTAACTATTGATTTTTTTACATGCCTGAGCTATGAATTAAATATTTATGTTAGGTTTGTGCAAAGTTAATTTCCTTAACAAAACTCTTGAAACAAAAAAATCAACAAAGATGTGTTCAGATAAAATATCATACTATGAAGATATCAGTTGGCTTTTTTCATTACGTTAGCAAATATCTGATTGATACATGTCTGTAAAACAGATTAATTAATCCGACTTAGCTAGCGTTTCCTCACCTGCTTGTGATACAGTAACATCAGTGACTTGTCAGCAGGAGCAGGAGCCAAGAATTCCACTTGGGTTCACCTAAGACGTTTAATGTTGTAGGAGATGGAGCTGCTAGCCGCAGAACAAGCGGATGAGGGAGCCAAGATGATTCCCACTGCTCAGGTGAAGCCACTGCACAAGGTGATCAGCGAACACAAGGATGTGATGAAGATTGTTATCCAGTTAAACTCCATCATCTCCACATTCAAGGCAGACGTCAATGAGTCACTGGAGGTGTATACTCAGTACTCTGAACTTTGGGCTCAGGTATGGCATCCTGTTTACAGAACTTGTGGGGGGGATGTCATGTCATGCGTAAAACTAAACTCACTCACTCGCTGTTTTAAAGAACACTTAGATCTTACTTTCTACCTGAGGATCATTGCCATAAAGAGCCTTAAATTTGATGTCTCACGCTATTCAAACATGGGATTAAATAAGAGACCCACAAGGTAGTACTACTTTCTGGTTTCATGAAAACTACTGACTTATCATATTTCATTATTTTATCAAAGAAATTAAGATGATTGTGAAAGATTGTCATATTTCACCCAAGTTGATAGTGGCTTTGATTGTGGTGAATGACACTGCATCAGCAAGGTATCCAGGGAGAAGTGTTTGATATGTATCCTGCTTGTGTTTTAGGAGCCCGAGGAGAAGGTGAAGGAATTCATGGCCAGCAAACCCATCATGTCCGAGATTGAAGCGCAGATCAAGTATTATCAGGTATTAGTCAAAGAAATCTGTTGGGTCTTGGGTCGTATCACTTGAAATGGGGTTCAATTTTGCATGTTAGTGAAGTTCAGGTTAATTTGCATAGCTGCTTAATTACTTATTAACATACTGTTCAGTACTGACCATGCTCTCTGCATACTTTCAACAGAGGCTTGAGCTGGAGATTGAAGAGATGCAGACAAGTTTCCGTGTGGGTTCCGTGCTGTTCCTGACCGACGTTCTCAAACTAGCCCTGGTCACGGAAACCCGCAATTGGAAACATGCTTATGCCAAGGCCCTCAACGAGAAATGTGGTCGGGAGATGGATGAGACTCTTGACTTCATTGACAATCTCATGAAGAGACTCAGTCGACCAATCAAAGATTTGGATGATGTGAGAGGCGCTATGGCTGCTCTGAATGAAATACGAGAAAATGAGATCCGTATTGACATGACCCTGGGTCCGATTGAAGAGACATATGCCTTACTGAATCGTGTGAACATCTTTTTCAATGATGGAAATGCTGAGAGGGTTGATTCAATGGCCTACAATTGGAAGAAACTCAACACTCAGGTTTGAACATTTTATTAATTTTGTATTGTCTAGTTCACACATTAATGAATGATGGAGTATTCTAGAGAATAGTTGACCTTTGTTGTTGAGTGTTGTTTTGTGTTGATGAGTGTTGATGGAAGGCTTGTCATGACCAAATGATGTGTACACTTAGCTGCACAAAGAGGTGTCCTTTGGACTAGTAGACACAAGTTTCAAAGACTTTTGAAATAAAGTATACCCCTGTGGTGAGTTTGGAATAAATATTGCCAAGGGCATCATGCTTGTCAGAAAAGGCATTAGGAATCACCTAGTCACAATAGGTCCTGAGTGTTAGACTGATGCTCACACTATCAGCCACTAGCTGACCTCTTCACTTGGTTATTTTGTATTACTCAATTGTATCCTGATGACTACAAGGTAACATAACCTATCCAAGGAATTAGGGCACTGAGGTATTGATTTCAGTGCAGAACGACTAAGGTGTGATGCAGTGGTTTATAAAGAGGCAATTGTTTGTACCTGCAGGTAGAAGTTGTTCAGGAGCACCTGGTGGTGATTCAGCCGGAGTTCAAGGCAGACCTCACTGCTGGCGTGGAGCAGTACATCGCTGATGCCAACTCATTTGTCAATGACTATGACGTAACGTGAGTACATACAACACAAAACAAGTTCTTGTTATCTTGATTGTACCTGAAATTGACTGCTTCATTTGATTTTTGTTTGAATGACAGACTACTGTCAGTTAGTCCAGTGTTTCACAAGCTTTAGGCTCGTAGATCGTGAAAGTGAACTGTTTCGAAGTTTCACTATTGTAATGAGTGTCTCCATAAACGCAGAGCACCACTGTTTATGTAATCAAAAGATACAAAACACGAGGTTGCAGATATGGTGAAAAATATGTCAGATTTCAGATAACTGTAGTACATCTGATTAACCTGGCTGATTTGACATCCAAATCAAATAGGAGGCTAATGTCTGTAAGAAGAGACTTCTTCTCAATCACTTTCAGTTCAGTTTTGTGCTGTCAAGTTGTACAGATAACATTACTGCATATGTGAATCTCCAAATTGATTCTGTTGGATCACAGGGGCCCTATGGAACAGGGCATACAGCCAAGTGAGGCCTCTGACCGTCTCAACATCTATCAAGCCAAGTTTGATGAGTTGTGGAGGAAGTATGTCACCTACAATGGTGGTGAGGAGCTGTTTGGGCTCCAGGTGACGGAGTACCCAGAACTGTTCCGCATCAAGAAAGAGCTGAACCTTCTACAGAAGTTGTATCAGCTGTACAACGCTGTCCTGGACAATGTCAGCGGATACTACGACATCGCCTGGTCCGAAATTGACATTGAGAAGATCAACGGAGAGCTCTTGGAGTTCCAAAATAGGTATGGGTTAAATTACACAGTACTTCAGTGATGGAACTCATATGAGCTAAGTGGGGTAACCTTGAGGTTAATGTCTTCTTAATCTGAAGGCCCAACTCTTTTTGTGTGTACAATGTTTGGAACCCATTTATGGCTATATTTCAGGAATAGTGATGAAAGCTGCCCCAGACTGTGTTCATTCATAGCTTTAAATGTTCAACAGTTAAAGATTAAAGGATCTCTGGTATAAAATCTGATAGAAAACCTCCAGGACCAGTAAGAATCCACTTGTCTAAGAGATTACTGTTCTGCTGGGAAAGTTCTTGAAAGGTTGATTTGTCGTTAAGTTGTGTTGGTGTTGGTATGCCAAGATTCCTTGATCCGCTGTTTCGTCCAGGTGCCGTAAGTTGCCAAAGGCCTTGAAGGAATGGCAGGCCTATGAGGATTTGCGGAAGACTATTGATGACTTCAATGAGACTTGTCCACTCCTTGAGATGATGTCCAATAAAGCCATGATGACCCGTCACTGGGAACGTATTGCACAGATCACTGGACACACATTTGATGTCGAATCTGAGAACTTCCTGCTGCGAGACTTGATGAAGGCTCCACTGTTGCATTACAAGGAGGACATTGAGGTGAGACACACTACATAGACAGAGCTTGTCAACACTAAAGTTAGATACAATGTAACTAGACAACACTAGAAAAATATCTCTAGCATTTGATGCAATAGAACTACACAAGACAAAAGAATAGGCGGTTATAGTGTAATAACTAATAGAATTAAACATAAAATATGAGCAGTAGTTTTTCTGATCAGACCATTCAAACAACTTCCATTAAAATAAAGATAAGACAATATTGAGCTTCACAGTGTCCCTAATCAAGCTGATTGGTTGGCAAAAAAAACTGCAAAATATTAAAGAGTGACTGTTGTTGTGACTCCTGAATGTTATGTGTTGTGACTCTCCTGACTGCTGCTTGCTGTGACTCTCCTGACTGCTGTTTTGAGTGTTGTGACTCTCCTGACTGCTGTTTGTTGTGACTCTCCTGACTGCTGTTTTGACTGTTGTGACTCTCCTGACTGTTGTTTGTTGTGCTGCAGGACATCTGTATCTCAGCTGTGAAGGAGAAGGACATCGAGGCTAAGCTGAAGCAGGTGGTCAATGACTGGAGTGCACAGAATTTTCAGTTCTCCAACTTCAAGACCAGGGGAGAACTTCTTCTCAAGGGTAGGCAAACACTTTACCTTATGGTGAAGCATACAATTTGATGGATAATAATTTCTTGTTTATTGTATAAAGCAACATTGTATGTTTCATTATTGACTCACCAGCTTCTAGAATGCCGACCAAACAATTTACCTTATGGGCAACTCAGGAAGAAATATTGATGAATTAAGGAATTCCAGTTTGACTGATTGGCAAGTCTATATTGCATCACTTCGTGTTCAGGTGATACGACATCAGAGACTGTGGCGCTAATGGAGGACAGCTTGATGGTGCTCGGCTCCTTGCTCAGCAACAGGTAAGAGCAGAAAGGAGACTTTATTGCCAGGCTGAATTCCTTTTTTACATAAAACATCACTATTTATAGTTATTTTGAAGAACATTGTTCATTTCCCATGTTTGTTATTATGAGATGCAAATGTTTTGGATCAACATTCAGACACATAAAAGAACAGTTCTTTTGCAGATTTGCTAAATTTTATATTGTATTGGTTAATCTGTAAAAATGTTTTAAATCACAAAATCGTCCGAAAATACTTTTGTAGAAAGTTCTTTTTCAGTTTTAATTTCAGTATCTCAGGCCAACTGTTTTACTCAATTGATTTACTACAACTGATCAATGTACTCTCTCTTTAGGTACAATGCTCCATTCAAGCCTCGTATACAGGAGTGGGTGCAGAAGTTGACCGGAACCACTGAGATCATTGAGAACTGGCTGGTTGTGCAGAACCTCTGGATCTATCTGGAGGCTGTGTTTGTAGGGGGTGACATTGCTAAACAGTTGCCACAGGTAGGGGCCCACATAGAATGTGTTCTTGATCTGATCATTCACAAACTGATAGCTAAAATGTAATAAACTAGGCTATAAAGATATCTAATGACATTATGATTGACTTCTAACTGATGTAAATCTACTGATGCCAGGAAGCCAAGCGGTTCAGCAACATCGACAAGTCCTGGCAGAAGATCATGCAGCGTGCCCATGAGAACCCAAACGTGGTGGTGTGCTGTGTCGGTGACGACACCCTGAGTCAGCTGCTACCACATCTACTGGAACAACTGGAGATCTGCCAGAAGTCTCTTACTGGCTACCTGGAGAAGAAACGTCTGGTGTTCCCCAGATTCTTCTTTGTGTCTGACCCTGCTCTTCTTGAGATCCTAGGACAGGCCAGTGACTCACACACTATCCAGGTAAGTCGGTGTTCTTTCATTCTGGTTGATGTTGCAGATAATGTTTCTAGCTTTATAGCACCATAACTCTCAGACTGCAGAATGAGGGAAGAATGCAGAGTGGGGGAAGAATGCAGTGAGGATAAGACGGGGATATAATGATGATGTGATACAATATAGTGCAGGAAGTTTAAATGGCACATCATGGTACAACTAGTACTAAAATTATATGCAGACAATTCTTCACAGACATTTTTATACCTGGCGGCATTTTGACTTGAGTGAACTGGTTTTTTTCAGAATCATCTCCTGAGTGTGTTTGACAACACCCGCCTTGTGACATTTGATGAAAAAGTGTATGATAAGATCCTTGCAATCAACTCCCAGGAGGGTGAGCAGGTCATGCTGGATGAGCCAGTCAATGCTCAGGGTAATGTTGAGGTGTGGCTCGGTGACCTCCTTAACAATGGCCGCCGATCGCTGCACGGCATCATCAGAACAGCCTCCGTAGCCATCCAGGACCCGGCGTTCAACTTGCTGGAGTTTGAGAACACCTTCCCATCTCAGGTGGGTGTCAGTTATACGTAACTGTTAAACAAATAGGCATGCCTGTTTGGCATGGACAAAGAAATTTGTTTTCATTAAGACTACTCAGAGTTCAGTTGTAAACCTTGTTGACCGGTTGAGTTTGTAGCTAGTCCTGGTTGAAGAAGACAGAAATGTTTACAATCTTTCCACTTAGCCGGGCGGTGGGGTAACCAAGTGGTTAAAGCGTTGGCTCGTCACGCTGAAGACCCGGGTTCGAATCCCCACATGGGTACAATGTGTGAAGCCCATTTCTGGTGTCCCCCGCCGTGATGTTGCTGGAATATTGCTAAAAGCGGCGTAAAACCAAACTCAGTCAGCCAGTCCACTTAGCCAGTATTATACATTTTCCATTTGTAGCCAAATTGAGGCCTTAGGAACTGGGTCAGAATTAATGCTACTAGTCCAGGAAGACTGCATCACTGGATTATTATTACCCTTTAGTCTTCAGCAAAATTTCACAGTCTTGGGGCCAAAATGAAAGTTAACCAATGTGAATCAATGTATGTAGATGAATCTGTACTAACCATGGTGTTGCCCTGTACAGGTTGGTCTGCTGGGCATCCAGATGATCTGGACCCGGGACTCAGAAGATGCCCTGAACAATGCACGGACAGACAAGAAGGTGATGACCACTACCAACCAAAAGTTTCTGGATCTTCTGAACATGTTGATTGAGCAGACCACACGAGAGATGACAAAGATGGAGAGAACGAAATATGAAACTCTCATCACCATCCACGTACATCAGAAGGACATCTTTGACGATCTGGTAAAACCTAATTACAATGTCTTGTATTCCTGTTACAACATCGATTTGATGTTATTTTCATATCTGGAAAAACCCTTAAAATGTGAAATCTTGGGTACTCTGATTTTAATTAAATATACTTCAGTTATATTATGAAAGCGTGGCAACATGAATGTATGTATCTCCATCCAGAAATAGTTTTAAAAGAATGTTGTTTATATAAATGTACAAATGGAACCATGCGAACAATATCATACAGTAAGCATGGCCTTTGAAAGTGTGGTCTATGACTCCTTGACTTGTGTTTATTGCCATGAAATAACCTTTAGAAGGCATCCATTGTATTGCATCAAGTTTTATATGAACCATGTTAGAAACCTGCTTGGCTGAAAGGAAGACATATTATTGGAAGACTTTTGGAACTTCATTTGGAACCCATGTCATTTAGTCCTGATCTCAGCTCTTTTTGTCTGATCTAATTTACTGCCTCTCCGTCAGGATTGGCTTGGTTTGAGTTCTGATAATTATCCACCACACCATCCCATTGGTGGCACTGCCTGACCTCGCACCATACTGCTGTGTCTTACATCTGGTACATCAAGAATAGGCCCTGGTTATGATTTTCTTTGCATCAGCCACATGTCCGTGAGTTTGACCTGTGTGGTGAGGCGCATCATTGAGGTTATCCTCACACATTGACCTCACAAACTGTGATCTGATTTATGTCATAACTTCAACCTTGATTGGCATTATTTTCATTTTGCAGGTGCGTCTCCATGTCAAGTCAATAAACGACTTTGAGTGGTTGAAGCAGTCTCGCTTCTACTTCAAGGAAGATCTGGATCAGTGTGTCATCTCGATCACTGATGTGGACTTCACCTACCAGAACGAGTTCCTGGGGTGCACGGAGAGATTGGTCATCACCCCACTCACTGACAGGTGCGGAGATTTACATGAACATTTACAAACAGGAGCTTGTTCCTGTATCGACCAGTACTTACAATGTACCGTCACCTGTACCAAAAGGGTTCAGTTGAAATCTACAAGTCTCCAAGCTGATGTTTATCTTCCTGAGTGTCCACAAGCCAATATCAAAGTGTAGTGTTCACCGAGAAGATGGTTGGTGCCTCACAGAATATCTGCTTTTAGATATGCTGGTAATCTGTTGGTAATCTGTAGTCTCCATGTTTCAGGTGTTACATTACCCTGTCCCAGGCACTGGGAATGTCCCTCGGGGGTGCCCCAGCAGGCCCCGCCGGTACTGGCAAGACTGAGACCACGAAGGACATGGGAAGATGTCTTGGCAAGTATGTTGTTGTCTTCAACTGCTCCGATCAGATGGACTACAGAGGTCTTGGCAGAATCTACAAAGGTGAGGGCAATGTTTATTCCTGAAATCTTTCAAACATGTGTATCATGGGGGAGAATAGGTCCATGAAAATTCACAGTGTAGTCTTTGACACTCTAGGTAGATCAGCCACAGGTGTCTGGTCCAGACTCAGCTATTTCCAGGCTGCTTTGATTTTGCTGGAATAATGCAGAATGACATCAAACATCTGTAACTACCAAAGTGAAACCGTCATTAAGATAACATCATCTCTGTTAGCTGCCAGTGATCAGCGGAACTCATGTAGATTGTCCATAAGTAACATAAAGATGTGAGCACTAGTTGGTATATTTACTTCAGATTGTAGCACTCCTACTTTGTTCTTTTTAATAGGTCTTGCTCAAGCTGGTGCATGGGGTTGTTTTGACGAGTTCAACCGTATCGAGCTGCCAGTGTTGTCTGTGGCTGCCCAGCAGATCGCCATTGTGCTGCAGTGTAAGAAGGAGAGGAAATCAGTGTTCATCTTCACTGACGGGGACTCTGTGGACATGGACCCTGAGTTTGGTATCTTCTTGACCATGGTAAGTCGCCCATAAGTTCTGTGGCAAAATTTTATCTGTTCTCATCAGAGAAGTGTTTGGTGAATCTTAACTACAAATATGCAAGCTCTATCATTAATTTCTTTTTACTGTGAACTTGTTTTGTCCTGAAAGCCTTTGTTGCCGACTTGTCAGTGGTGCTGCAATGCTCTGTGCAGAGTTACATTCCTGAGGTGTGTCAAATATCATTTGCCCTGACTATTTATGAAGGTGTGTTAGCACCTGACCTGATCTTGTGGGTGTAACATTTTGGGGTTAATCTGTCACTCTTGTTTTGTAGAACCCTGGCTATGCTGGGCGTCAAGAGTTGCCTGAGAACCTGAAGATCAACTTCCGTACTGTGGCCATGATGGTTCCGGACAGAGCTATCATCATCCGTGTCAAGCTTGCCAGTTGTGGTTTCCAACAGAACATTGTTCTTGCCAAAAAGTTCTTCACCCTGTACAAGCTCTGTGAAGAGCAGCTCAGCAAACAGGTCAGTGTCTCTTGGTGTTGTACTAACTATCACTCTGTATGTGATGAATGTCATACAGGAGGTCAAGATTGTTGTAGTCAAGTTTAAAGGTTAATGCTGTGGCTTATCACTTGGGGAACCTGGGTTTCATTTAATACATTGGCATAATGATGTGTGAACTCCATTCTCACTGTCCTCTATCTTGCTATTGAGGGAATATTCCTAAAAAATTGCATCAAATTTTATTGACTCACTGATTAATTCTGGTATTGCTGTATTTTATATATAGATTTTCATCAGACTTTCACTTCTTTGCTTCGCTAGGTCCACTATGACTTTGGTTTGAGGAACATCCTGTCTGTTTTGCGTACACTTGGAGCCTTCAAGAGAGCTAACCCTGAAGATGGAGAGCCCACCATTGTGATGAGAGTACTGAGAGACATGAACCTCTCTAAACTGGTCAGTGCTTTGGTTTTATTAGAGATTATTTGCCTAAACCAAGTAATAAATTCTTCAGATGAGGAAATACTGTAGCAATATTTGATATATGATTCAAGGAGTGAAATGTGTCACTTCCTAATCTACTCATGTCAAAGTTTTCTCACTAGTGAAATTTGTACAAAGGAAAGTAAAGAGTCCCCAAGTATTACTTTCCAACTTGTGAACTTTCGGGTCAGCAGATCCTTAAAACAAGCAGCTGGATAAACTAAAAATGAAAAATATGAAATGTAATTGCTGAAATTGTTTTGCATACTTGGATAATATTATGAAGCAGGTAAAGAGTGTTGTGTCTACTGTTACAAGGTGGATGAGGATGAACCGCTGTTCATGTCACTGATTGAGGACTTGTTCCCTGGGATGACCCTGGACAAGGCAGGTTACCCAGAGATGGAGGCAGCCATTGAGAAACAGGTAGGAGAGCATGGCACTCAGTCATCTAGTCAGCTTTGTCTGTCCAGTGTATCATGTCCTCTTTATCTATGTTGAACACCCTTCATCAGTTTGCTTCATTTCGGGAAGTAACAACACAATCTCCATCATACTGACTTGTCATTTCTCTCTCATGATGCTGAGATAAGCAACTTATGAGCCTACATTTACATCCTGTCTCCACATCAGTATAGTTTAGCTGTTCCCCTCTGTGAGGAATACGTTACAGGGCTACTGATTTATGGCATTAGAGGTATAGTAGAGGGATTCTAGTTAAGACTTAAACTGCCTTGTGTAACTGAGGTGCTACTTCATCATCACCTGAAGTTATCCATGTTATCTTCATCTATGTAGGTGGGAGAGGCTGGCCTGATCCATCATGCTCCATGGATCCTGAAGCTGATTCAGCTGTTTGAGACCCAGCGTGTCCGTCACGGCATGATGACCCTGGGGCCAACTGGCGCCGGCAAGACCAAGTGTATCCAGATGCTGATGAAGTCCATGACAGAGTGTGGCACCCCCCACAAGGAGATGAGAATGAACCCCAAGGCTATCACTGCCCCCCAGATGTTTGGTAGACTGGATGTTGCCACCAATGACTGGACAGATGGTATCTTCTCTACTCTCTGGAGAAGAACTCATAAGACAAAGAAGGTGGGTACCAAATCATCTTGGAATAGACCTGCATCTCAGTCACTGCCATATGCTTTAGTTGTTTTACTGTCATCTACTGAAAGGTTGTTATATATCATTGAACGTGTGTTGTAACCGGCTTCTTGTCCTGTCACAGGGGGAGCATGTCTGGATGATTCTTGATGGCCCTGTAGATGCTATCTGGATTGAGAACCTCAACTCTGTACTGGATGACAATAAGACACTCACACTGGCTAATGGAGATCGTATCCCTATGGCCCCCAACTGTAAGATCATCTTCGAGGTTCACAACATCGACAACGCCTCCCCTGCCACAGTGTCCAGGAATGGCATGGTCTTTATGAGCAGCTCCATCTTGGACTGGGATCCCATCCTCAGGGGTAAGTTTGTTGTAAAACACTACACTTGGCAATATTCTGTCTGTCTGTATATCAACAGTAATGGCAACTGGAAATGATGTTATGTGAAAAGTGGGGACTGGACTCCACAGTGTTTGGTACTAACTGCTAGAATGAACACTGACTCCTGTTCTTTGTTTGTAGCTCTGTATTTCTATTTCCCACAGGCTGGCTTGAGAGTCGTCCACCAGCACAGTCCGACATGATCTACAACGTGTTTGAATCTATCTTCCCCAAGTTGTATCTATATGTTATACAGTCTCTGGACCCAAAGATGGCGGTGGGTAGTTTCAAAGTTTCTCAAATGTTCTTAACTGATAATGAAATTTGAAGCAACAACCTAAGCTGAAACTAATGTGTTATAAAATCTTTGTGAGACATACATACCTTGTTACATCCGATCCTGTTAAACACCTTTTATGACAAGCATGGGCTCCTGAAGATGTTCTCGGGTGGTATTGTATCAGTAATAGCTGGCTTTAATGAGGTATCTGTTGTACTACAGCTAGGAGTAACATATCAGTTATGGCTGGCTTTAATTAGGTATCTGTTGTACTACAGCTAGGAGTAACATATCAGTTATGGCTGGCTTTAATTAGGTATCTGTTGTACTATAGCTAGGAGTAACATATTTGTTGTTTATGTAGGTGCTGGAGTGCATGTACATCCGTCAGGCCATTGATGTCCTGGAAGGACTGCTCCCCAAGGGAGACGACAACAAGGACATTCAACGAGAACACCTCACTCGTCTCATCATCTTCGCCATCATGTGGTCCCTGGGGGCACTCCTGGAGATAGATGACAGGAAAAAGGTTAAATCCTCTTGAAACTTTGGGCCTAAGCTCCTTTAAACTTTTCAGTAGGGAGTTATGTTCAGAACAATTGAAGGAAAATGTCACCCTAAGCCTTGGAGTCATTCATTGGTTTATTGTAGAATAACCAGAGTTCAAGAAGTCCTTGGTATGTTGTGTATGAGTGGACAAAGGACGGTAGGGACAATTAGTTATGAACTTTGTCATCTCAATGTGAATACAGTTTTTTGCTCTCAAAGTCTTGTTACTGTATTCCAGTCTGCAAGTGTTGATGTTTTGCTAATTACTGTCTGTTGCTATTGCAGCTTGAAGAATGGTTCATGGAGAAGAATGGAGAGCTGAACCTCCCCCTGCCACCTGCATCTGGGGAGGACACCATCTATGAGTTTGTTGTTGGCGAGAATGGCGACTGGGAACACTGGGCAGGACGTGTAAGCAGATATAAGATTTTTGTTCTTTTTCAGTTCTTGGTAAATTAATATTCTGGGTTCTTCATTTTTTGTTGCGTTTAAGATCAGCCTGATGCATTGCAGTCATTGCATTAGATATGATATGTGTGAAGTTATCAAACCTGGACATTGTTCATCCAACCAAGACATTCCATGATGTAATATATGATGTTCACTTTACATTTCCTCTTTCTTCAGGTGCCTGAGTATGTGTATCCTCCTGACTCAACACCTGAGTATACCTCCATCTTGGTGCCTAATGTTGACAACGTAAGAACTGACTTCCTCATCGACACCATCTCCAAACAGGGCAAGGCCATACTGCTGATTGGTGAACAGGTAGGCAGAAGTTCAGTGACCCTTGTGTTGATCAATATAACTAAAATACTCTGTATTACTGCCACAATCCGGTAATAGTGTCAGATCTTATTGAAATTTGAAGTACTTGAAATTTCGTTATCTTGACATTCAAAGAATAAACATTTATGTTTAACTTGACAAATAAGAAATATGCTTGGTGATCTGTGACATGTTTCAAAGATCAATATGAAGAAGGAAATAGTTCTCTGTTAGCCCAGTAATACTTGACTGTGTCATCATGTGTTGATGCTGTCATCGTGTGTTGATGCCGACGTGTGTCTGTCTCTCCAGGGTACGGCAAAGACTGTGATGGTACAAGGCTACTGCGGCAAGAGTGACCCAGAGGTTCACATGTTTAAGAGCTTCAACTTCTCCAGTGCCTCAACACCCATGCTGTTCCAGGTAGGTTATTGTACACTTATCTGTTGATTGGTATAACTGTGCATAAAATAGTTATAGACTGTTGTTTTTGTTGATAGATTGCATGGTTCCATGCACCCTGTATTTAGCAACAATGAAATCTCCTCCATTTATAGTTGTGCATATTTCTTCACACCTGAGGTCACGAACAAGATCACATATGACAACATATCTACAAATATAAAACTGATGTGGTCATCATGGTGGTAATGTATACAGATTAACATGTTGTTTCTGTTTGTTTTCAGAGAACTATCGAGAGTTTTGTAGACAAAAGGATGGGCACAACATATGGACCCCCAGCTGGTCGCAAGATGACCGTCTTCATTGATGACATCAACATGCCCATCATCAACGAGTGGGGAGATCAGGTGAGCTAAAGTTCTGCTTTCACTCTGAAACAGTACATACGAGACAATGATATGTGTATGACGTGGATCAGCAGTTTAATTGTTGAAAGATTTACAGTATGTGAAATGATGTTGACTTTAGTCACCAGGGAAAGCTGCTCCTTTAAGATGTGTAAATATGATTCTGACTTCCCCCAGGTGACTAACGAGATCACTCGCCAGATGATGGAGTACCATGGTTTCTATAACCTGGAGAAACCAGGCGAGTTTACCACCATCGTGGACATTCAGATTATTGCTGCCATGATTCACCCAGGGGGTGGCCGGAATGACATCCCTCAGAGCCTCAAGAGATCTTTCAACATCTTCAACTGCACACTGCCTTCCAATGCCTCCATTGACAAGGTTTTCAGGACCATTGGATGTGGCTGGTTCATCAAGGTTACTATCTATCCATAATGTAACTTTACTAATTAGGCAACCAGGAACATGTTTGTTATCAATGACATTAATGCAGCACAGCCCCACCTCTTCTGTTATCAGCCAATCAGGAATCAGTAGTAAATGGGCTTGACCTAATTATTTTGTTTTATGAAAATATATTCATGTTTAGCCAATGAACTGCTGTGGAATCACTGGCAGTGTATTATTTAGAACTTGTCCTCGTTATGTTGCCATGGACAATAAAATGTGATGCACCTGGATCAATCGTAATGCCTTTTGCCATCAGGAGCGAGGGTTTGTGGAGGAGGTGTCTGAACTGATCAAGTCCCTGGTGCCAGCAACCAGGAAACTCTGGCAGAAGGTCAAGGTCAAGATGTTGCCAACACCTGCCAAGTTTCACTATGTCTTCAACTTGAGAGATCTCAGCAGAATATGGCAGGTAAGGATGAACACAGTTGTAACAGTGAATCCGTGGGCATTTTTAAAAGAAGTCTGTAGTAAAAACTTGAAACCTCATCTTGTACATATAGAAATGTCATTATTTTTCTTTCATGTGGGAAAACATATCTTGAAGCTTCAACTAAATGAATATGGAGGTGATTTACAGAAACATCCATTTGTGGAAAAATATAGTATGTTTCAAGTCATAAACATGTACTTTTCAGGGCATGTTGAACACTACCAATGAGATAGTTACCAACAATGGTGTCCTGATGTCACTATGGAAACATGAGTGTACACGTGTCATCGCAGACAGATTCACAGAGATGTCCGACAAGGATTGGTTTGAAAAGACTATCAAACAGGTCAGTTTTGTGTCAGTGGTGATAAACGTCACCCACCCCATTCATGTTATATGATTATCCTAAGTTTGTTCAGTGTTTGCTTGTCATGTAATAGGCCCTAGTTTGACTCCCTACCTCAGTACAGTATGAATTGTCTGTTGTGCCCACTGCGCAGATATTGCTGCGATATTGATGAAATCATTCTCTCTGACAGTGTTCTGTTTTATGGAACATAGGCTGTAAAAGTTTTAATATTCCAGGAAACTGATTTTTGCCAGACCATTCTGTAGATGATTTATAACAGGTAATAATTCTGAAGAATATCCAAAATAGTGGATAAAACCATGGAAATGTGCCTGGATGTCCTTATGTCATTTGCAAAGTGGTAGAATCACTCAAAAGCCAAGAATATCAAGGACACCATCTCTTCTTCATCACTTGTGTGACACTGTGTATGCCATCTGCAGGTTGCTGAAGAGCAGTGTGGCTCTGCCGTCTGCCAGGATATGCAGCTTGAACCGTACTTTGTGGATTTCCTGAGGGAACCCCCAGAGCCAACAGGAGATGAAGCAGAAGATGCTGACTTGGATGCTCCTAAAATATATGAGCCCATTGTTACTTTCGAGGGCCTCGCAGATCGACTCACCTCCTACCAGGCACAGTACAATGAACTTGTCAGAGGATCCAAGATGGATCTTGTCTTCTTCAAGGTATGTCTGGCCGACAGGGACTCCAGTTCACATGTGAAATATATGCTAGAATAATGTACATACACTCCATAGTGAAGACTTTTGCATAACAAGAAATTGTCTTGTGGGTATAATTATAGACCTAGCCGACAGCTCTTGACTGTCTATTTTGTGAAGTAAACATATTTAACCTCTGCTTGTTCTTGATGGTGAATGACCTGTGCTTGTTCCTTATGGTAAGTGAACAGTATTTGTTCATGATGGTAAATTACCTGGGTTTTTGTGATATTAATGTATTTGTATTTTCTTCAGGATGCCATGACAAACTTGGTGAAGATTTCACGTATCATTCGAACCCCCGAGGGGCCATGCTCTGTTGGTGGGTGTTGGAGGTTCTGGCAAACAGAGCTTGACTCGCCTTGCTTCCTTCATTGCTGGCTACAAGATCTTCCAGGTCACACTCACAAGGTTGGTTGGATGTCACTATGCATATAGTGAATGGGTGTCGGCTCTTGCTCCATTGTAGTGTGGACTGATAGGCTGCAGTGAAGGAAACTTTGTAACACTAGTTTAAACAATGTGTTTGCTACTGGTCACATGACTGTTTGCGCGGGAAAAAGGGAGGTAACTCGTGGGTGAGTGAACTTTTACGTCCGCTTTTGGGAACTACAAGGGATTCAAGTGTTCCACTAACATTTACATAGAAGGAGATAAGCAACAGATCATGAGTCAGGATAAGTATAAAATATCAATTTTACTTAAAAAAATTACATTTTGCATACATTCATTCACTTGGATTAGTTGTGTGTGAAGCAGCATTTGATTTGTGTGCACTAAGTGAACCACCATATGCTGTTCAGGTCATACAATGTCAGCAACCTGCTGGAGGACCTGAAGAACCTGTACCGCATCTCAGGGCAGCAGGGTCAGGGCATCACCTTCCTCTTCACCGACAACGAGATCAAGGATGAGGGCTTCCTGGAGTACATGAACAACATCCTGTCCTCGGGAGAGGTAGGTTACATCCTGTGTCCCAGCTGTGTCCCAGCTGTGTCCTAGCTGTGTCCTAGCTGTGTCCTAGCTGTCCATGGTTATAATGTTACTGTGACTGTTGTAACACATAGATTCTTATGTAAACTATAGTGCCGTTGAAGCATGGAGATTGTAGTTCCCTGTGAAACTGTACCCTGGGTATAGATTGTTGCTCATGACATCAACCACTTGTTTGTCAGGATCAGATTGTATTTTAGGCCAGGAATATATTGTGGCAGCATGAAGTACTTGACTTTTAGATATATTTAGGAGATGTTATTTGTTCAGAGAAACATGATAATGTCTCCAGTTGTTGTGTGAAATCCATTTTGGTCAATCTTTCGGTTATTGCTGATAATGTCTTCACACTTGAGGGATGATGGTAGCCTAGTAGTTTAGATGATTGTCAGCCCAATGGGTTAGATACCACCATTGTGTGAAGCCCATCTATGTTGTCCACCATGGTGGTGCATCATATACTGCTGCAGGAGGTGAGTTCGAACAATACCTCACTCCTGCTCCTCAACAAACATTGGGTAATCTGTACAAGAGCATGACAAAGTGTTTGTTGGTTGTCAGCAACTGATGCCACTGGGATGTTTGTTGTCAGGTTTCGGGACTGTTTGCTCGAGATGAGATGGATGAGATCCTGCAGGAACTGATTGCCCCCATGAAGAGAGACTCCCCCCGCCGTCCACCCACCAATGAGAACCTGTATGACTATTATCTAAGCCGTGTGAGACAGAATCTTCACGTCTGCCTCTGCTTCTCTCCGGTAAGGACTAGATTGCTTTACAGAGCATATTGCTTTAACTAGGCCGTCATATAGCTGGAATATTGCTGAGTGCGGCGTAAAACTCAACTCACTCACTCACTTTAACTAGAACATGCCTCAGAACACATTCCAGAGCATAATGCTTGTACCAGAATATGCCTACTACTCCTGATTTTTCCCTCAGAACACCCTTCTCTAGAATATACTGCACAACACTGTTGTCACCAGAATCTTGAAACTACAGATCACCCTGCTCGTACCAGAATATAACACACTACAGACCACAGAACAGATCACGTTGCTGTCACCAGAATACAAAACTGAAACTCGTAAAAGCAGGGGATGATACAAAGATCAGCTAGCATTTTTCATCCAATTCCTTTCAGGGTAATGTTCATTTGTGATATTTTCTTTGTTATTCTAAGGTTGGAGAAAAGTTCCGGAATCGTTCCCTGAAGTTCCCTGGTTTGATCTCTGGCTGTACAATGGACTGGTTCCAGCGCTGGCCCAAGGATGCTTTGGTTGCTGTATCCAACCACTTCCTTGCATCCTACGACATTGTCTGCACGCCAGCAGTCAAGCAGTCTGTGGTCAACACCATGGGTGTCTTCCAGGTATGTTCTACATCTCTACAGCAAGGTTAGCATACCTTACATGGGCCTTGAAATTGCCAGTACGTCCTTGCAAAAGGCATTATATTTAAATTTGCCTGAAAAGGATCTTAAGATTGAATTAGACGCATATTTCAGTTCTACAGAAACTCTTTGTTGTGTATTTAAGTTGTGATGCCACATCTCTTTAACCCATCCAAACCTATGGGGAAAAAAAGATCAATGCCTGTTCTTAGCATTGTTTAAGCTTCAAGACTGGTTATTAACAAAATATATTTGTACATTTTATTCAGAATAGGGAAAATGAGGACTCGTTGATTTGCTCAGTGATTAAATCTTTACCTATTATTATATACAACAGGATACAGTTGCTGAGCTGTGTACTGAATACTTCCAACGGTACCGTCGCCAAACACATGTGACGCCAAAGTCTTACTTGTCTTTCCTGTCTGGATACAAACAGATCTACTCAGAGAAGAAAGATGAAATTGGAATCCTTGCTAACAGAATGAATACAGGTAATATGTCATGGTGGGACTCCTGTTCACCAGCATGACTTGTGTCCCTTAACTGCATCTGGCTCCACTTATCCTGTTCTGATTATCCTTGATCTGGCTGCTTTTGGGTTGTCACCCAAGTTGCAGTAACTTATATCATGAGTTTTCCTGAACTTTCCTGTGATGATAAGTTACCATTGTGAAAGAGGGGGAAGGTATGGGGTTTGGTGTCATCATATCTGGCTGGATTAGCAAGATGTGCACGTCTGTGTCTACGTTAGTGAAAAAATCGTGACTGTGACATTCAGCTTGTCTCCTGACTCATTTTGTTCTGGCTGCTATGACAGTAAAGCACCCACTTCCTCCCTGAGAATACTGGGACATTATAGGTAGAGTTGAAGCATGCTAGTTTAACCTCTGGTTCTGGTTGAAGGTTTGAAGAAGCTGATTGAGGCATCCGAGTCTGTGAATGAGCTGAGTCTGGAGCTGGCTGTCAAGGAGAAGGAGTTGGCTGTTGCCTCAAAGAAGGCTGACCAGGTGCTGGCAGAGGTCACAGTGAAGGCTCAGGCAGCTGAGAAGGTTAAGGCCCAAGTCCAGTTAGTCAAGGACAAAGCTCAGACTATTGTCGACCAGATCTCTGTAAGTACATCATGATGCTAGAAAATACAGGTTGATAATTGAGCACAGAAATATAGCATTGAATGTGAAACCTGATCAGTCAGAATCCGATAACTGCAAATATATCATGGTAGTCTCTCAAATGTGATGGTAGTGTTGAGTGATGTTGCACTTGTTTCTGAAGATGTTGTCTACTAGTACGGGTATTAATTCTTTACACTTTCAGAATCTTTAGACCAAATTTTTCTGAAGAATCACTTTTGAAAGAAATTGGTTTTGTAAGACACTAGAGAGTCCAGTAGCCCCTCTGGCTTTGGGTTAACTATTTCGATCTAAAGTTTTAAAACTGTAACCTAAAAATTACTTTTATATGCTATCTGGAAAACTGACGGTTTACATAGGTGAAAGAGATTTGAAGAAACCAAACAAAGGATAGATACTAATGGATTATGATGTTACTCCTATTGTTGCTGTTTGCAGGGAGACAAGGCGTATGCCATGGATAAGCTAGAGGCTGCTCGACCTGCTCTTGAGGAGGCTGAGGCTGCTCTTCAGACCATCAAACCTGCTCACATTTCAACCGGTACGTCAAGGTCATCTCTAACACTCACCCCAAAACTCCCAAGCAAATATACTTTCCAAGAATTCTTCAGTTGGTATATTAAAAGACAAATATTAAGAAAAGACAAATGCTAGTTGTGAAGCTTGGAATAATTAATGTGTGCACTGTTGTTTTTGTTTGTTTGAAAGTCTTGGAAACTGTTAAACTGTTGAAGCAAAATGTGTTTCTTGTCATTTTCCAGTGAGAAAGCTTGGCAAACCTCCACATCTCATCATGAGAATCATGGACTGTGCGCTGATTCTATTCAGACGCAAAGTTGATCAAAATGCTCAGGACCCAGAACGACTATGCCCCAAACCATCTTGGTCGGAGGCTCTCAAACTGATGTCTGGGTCCGGCTTCCTGCAGTCACTGCTCAACTTCAACAAGGTAAAGAAGATTTGTGTGTGCCGGCGATAAGGTATCCAGCACTGAGAGTGTGCGTTCAAAGCCTGAGTGGGACTCAACCATAAAAATCTTACATTCTGAACTTAATTGAGAAGGTGTAATCCCAAATGTAACACAGGTCTCATTTAAAGGCTCCATAGTATTCATGGCAAACAGAAGTTGTCTCCCTTGCCCTATGCAATGTTTCATGCCTTAGGCTTGTCAGAATCTTGATACTGTTGGTTTAAATCTCATTTTCGTATTGATTGTGTTTCTAAAATTGGTCAAGTCCTAACATTAGCTTCAGGTTTTTCTCCCATGCTGACTAGTCATTACAAGAATGAATGTGCCCCAAATTACAAAGATATAATTTTGAAGACAAGGGACTGAATTGCAGCAATCACTGAACTCTAGATTGAAATGCATTATAGAATTTGAGGCAAATTGTCTTAATTATATTACCTGAATAAACTTTGACCTGCCATTCGACCAGGTCCCAAATATAGTTGTAAAGCAAAGCACTTACACATTGTCTTTGAATTTGCAGGATACCATCACAGAGGAAATGGTAGAACTTATGCAGCCATACTTAACCATGGAGGACTACAACATTGACAGTGCCCGTAAAGTGTGTGGTGATGTTGCTGGACTTGCATCATGGACCAAGGCTATGGCATTCTTCTATGGCATCAACAAGGAGGTCCTTCCTCTCAAGGTGAGTCCTTCTTCATGCAGGTCACTGCCTGGAACAGAATATGAAGGTCACATCTTGCGCACATCCTGAGTGCTCATTCATGCTATCTGCAACCCTAATTGAGTTGAAGCCCAGCTTTAGTCAATATCATATCTGGCCATGCTTCTATATATTCTATAAGTATATATTGAATTACTGAATATTGAATTGATTTATTATTACACATGCTTAATTATCATGGTTGCGGTATTCTGTTTTACTTCAAAACGTAAAATGTCATTTGCTTCTAAATGTCCACCACTTTGTACCATGTGCAATTATATACCTTAAGTTGATTTATGTAAAGCTGATATCATGACAAGAGGCGATGGGGTAGCCTAGTGGTTAAAGCATTTGCTCGTCACGCCAAAGACCCGGGTTCGATTCCCCACATCGGTACAATGTGTGAAGCCCATTTCTGGTGTTCCCCCCAATGTGATATTGTTGGAATATTGCTAAAAGCAGCGTAAAACTAAACTCACTCACTGATATCATGACAAACATTGTTATCTGCTTGCATGGATTACTTGTTTGCAAATGCACCAATATATGTTATACTTTGGTCTGTGAGAGCAATAGTGACAGGGGGCAGTGGGGTAGCCTAGTGGTTAAAGCTTTTGCTCGTCGCGCCGAAGACCCGGGTTCGAATCCCCACATGGGTACTATGTGTGAAGCCCATATCTGGTGTCCCCCACCGTGATGTTGCTGGAATATTTCTAAAAGCGGTGTAAAACCAAACTCAGTCAGTCGGTCAATAGTGACAGGGACTCATAGCTAGCATGAGAAATTCTTTGACCATGTTGAATTTTACCAGTTGAAATGTGACATTGTCCCATACTGTGTGTTGTTTTACAGGCAAACCTGGCAGTGCAGGAAGCTAAACTAGGCGTGGCCAATGGTGACTTGGCCTCAGCACAGGCCCAGCTTGATGCTAAACAGGCTGAACTGGACGTTGTACAGGCCCAGTTTGATGCTGCCATATCAGAAAAACAGGTACATAAAACTAACACAACATTATTAGTGTCAGACCTCGTACTCTGAAACAACACCAGTCTGTGCGAAGATCTAATCAACTCTACAATGGAAACCAGTGCACTATTGCTGTGGATGTATCATTCACCTGTCATTCACCACTGCTGGTCTGACTAGCCTGGGTTACATCTCGGCCTAAACTGATATTGCTGGAATATTGCTAGTACAAAACATTACATGTACTTTTTTCTGTCATGACTTAGACATTACAAACAATTTAGAGTAGGACTTCTTCTCACTTTCACGCCACGATGAAGTGTGACTAGTAATTGTAGCTGTACCTCACCTATTTGAGAAACATGAGTTGAAGCAGGAAGTACATACTGTGTGCAGGCTCTGGAGGATGATGCTGAAGCATGCCGGCGCAAGATGACCAATGCCGAGGCTCTCATCAATGGTCTGTCCGGAGAGAAGATCCGATGGACAGAGTCCAGCAAGAGTTTTGAGTCCCAGATCCAGAGGCTGGTTGGTGATGTCCTGCTGGCTACTGGCTTCTTGTCCTACAGTGGACCTTTCAACCAGGAGTTCCGTAGTCTTATGCTCCGCAACTGGAAGAAAGAGATGACACAGGGCAAGATCCCCTTCACTGATGTAAGTTACTAAAGGGAGATAAGTATTGTTCCAGATGGGCAGATTTACACAATTTGTAGCTTATACATGTTAAGAACATAGCCTGAAAATATGGATTTTTCAGCTGATAGAAATATTTTGGTAATGATTTTTTTGACAAACACTATACTCGCAAACTGCTGTTTAGCTGCATGTGCTGTCCTAAAAAGATTCTTGTATGCCTTCTGAAGCATCATTTGACATATGTTGTATTGTGTGTACAGGACCTGAACATCATCTCCATGCTGGTGGACAATGCAACTATCAGTGAGTGGAACCTGCAAGGTCTACCTAACGATGAGTTATCCACACAGAACGGCCTGATTGTGACCAAGGCAGCTCGCTTCCCTCTGCTTATTGACCCCCAGGGTCAAGGCAAGGCTTGGATCAAGAGCAAGGAGGGGAACAATGAGCTACAGGTGGGTAGCTTGTTCATGACACCATACAGAACCACAAACTTATGACTTGATGTGAAGCATGAGGTTTTCACAGAAACGCAGATGAAGTACCTCCTGTGTTGTGTATGTAGTGATACAAAGGGTAAACATATTGGTACATCTCTACAATTTGCTGTCAGAATCATGGGTTCAAGTCCCACATCTGCTCCATCCTTGTTCTCGTATATGTTTCACAAAGTGGTAAGAACCTGCATCACGTAGGTGTTTCATCCCACAAAAGCTTGCTCTATTTGATATGACAGAAATAACATTTAAGCAGCATTGGGCCAAACTCACTTCATTTAATGTGGTTTTGTTTGTTTTCAGATCACTGCCTTGAATCACAAATACTTCAGGTCCCATCTTGAAGATAGCTTGTCCTTAGGACGTCCCTTGTTGATTGAAGATGTGGGAGAAGAGTTGGACCCTGCACTTGATAACGTCCTTGAGAAGAACTTCATCAAGTCAGGCAGCACATTCAAGGTAAACCTCGACACTCCTTACACTATCCAAGCATATGGAAACATACCTCTTCTGTTTCTCAACAGTCTCATTAAAATCACAAAGTTTAATCTCTTGTGATACATGTCTCTGAATATCTGACAAACCACTGACAGGAGCCAGTCTCCAGAAATGCCATGGCCTCACATACAACACGTTTATTAAAAGAGCTTTCAGTGAAGAACCAAAAATGAATAATGTGGCTGTTTGCCTATCTGCTTTTACAAGAAAGCTTTATTTTTTGTCTTTTTTAGCCAATCATATGAAATGTATATGTCAAATGAAAAGGCTAGGCATGACACCATACTGATGTACATATCTTCTGAACAGGTTAAAGTTGGGGACAAGGAGGTAGACGTCATGAATGGCTTCCGACTGTACGTCACTACAAAGCTGGCCAACCCTGCATACACCCCTGAGGTGTCTGCCCGAACGTCCATCATTGACTTCACTGTGACACAGAAGGGCCTGGAGGACCAACTGCTGGGAATTGTAATCCTCACAGAGAAACAGGTATAGTGTTCACACTCAAGTAGGCCTCAATTATTTACTGGCATCACCAAAGTGGGGTTTCTGTAAGTTCAGTTTGTGGTAGTCTAGTGCTTGAGCTGAAAATCTGGGTTTGCTGCCATGGCTTTGAGGAGATAAAAGGACCGTTGGGTGGCTTTGAGCTGTAGAAGTCTCTTTGGTTGTGAGTTGAATCCGACATTTACTATATCTGGTAACCCGTTGTTCATAAAGAGGTAAAAGGTTTGCCTCTCTTCCACTGGGAATATTGCAGTGAACAACGACTTATTCTGTATGTATGTGAAATAGTATATCCGTGCTGGAACTTTAGTCAGGTAGAGGGAAAAGATATATATATATATTTGGATTAGTTTTCATGTTAGACACTACTGTTTGGTGCAGGAACTGGAGGCTGAACGTACCAGTCTCCTGGAGGAGGTGACCAACAACAAGAGGAAGATGAAGGAGCTGGAGGACAACCTGCTGTACAGGCTCACCTCAACCGAGGGCTCACTTGTTGAGGACGAATCACTCATTGAGGTACTGAGGATCACCAAAGCAACCTCTGAGGAGGTCAGTGAGAAGCTGAATATCGCCAAGGAAACCGAGACCAAGATAAACACAGCTCGAGAAGAGTTCAGACCAGGTAGGAAGTTTAACAAAGTGACCTGATTCAGGATCATCTTGTTTTCATTTTATTGAATTAATGCATCTGATTTAGTCGGAGACATATCATTCAGATTTCTATCATGACTTGTTTGATAACAAATGTCAAGATCTGAATCATGATAACATCGGTCATAGAGTCCTACGTGTATATAACTTTGTAATGTGTTTAAATTTGTCATTTCTGTCAATTCCATTACCATTAGGTATTGCCACATTACCTAAACTTATAGTCATTGTCTCAAAGTGCTGTAATATCCCCTCTGATTTGTAACATCTGCTTTGTGTATTGCCACTTCTCCAGTGTTTCTTCCAGGTGTTGTCATGTCTGTAAGTACTGTCATCTCTTCCAGTGGCGGCCCGAGGCAGTATCCTGTATTTCGTCATTGTGGAGATGAGTATGGTGAACATCATGTACCAGACATCACTCCGTCAGTTCCTGCAGCTGTTCGATTTGTCCATGTCCCGCTCACAGAAGTCTCCCATCACTGGCAAGAGGATCAACAACATCATCGACTTCCTCACCCTGCTCGTGTTTAAGTACACCTGCCGTGGTCTGTATGAGAAGGACAAGTTCCTCTTCACTATCCTCATGACTCTCAAGATTGAGATGTCCTTCATGAGGGTCAAGCCAGAAGAGTTCCAAGTCTTCATAAAGGGTGAGCTCAACATTGCCTTTTCCATCCTTCTTATTTCTACGTGTGGACATGGTAAAGTGTTGTTGTATCAGGGACAGGTATACTTGATATGTTCGCTCTAGGGACACAAGGGAATCTTCACTCATCCCAAACCCATCCCACCCCTCAAAATTGCCCCATGTGTCATGGTTAACTGCAAACCAATGATGTGTGGGATATCATTAATCATGATTTGTGTCGTACAGCTTCATATCGTGTTATGTTCACGAGTTGTGTTCTACCTCCAGGTGGTGCTGCTCTGGACCTGAATGCTGTGGAGCCCGAAGCCCAAGAAGTGGATCATGGACATGACCTGGTTGAACCTGGTGGAACTGAGCAGATTGCCTCAGTTCATACAGATCCTCTCACAAGTCAGCAGGAATGATAAGGTTTGTACTCATCAGTATATGTGGCAAATAATTGACATAAAACATAACCAGATGAAGATGAGGTTGTCGGAATCTATTTAGGAATTGTTTCTGGTGTTTCATTATTTGCAGGCAAGTTCAGGCATATGTAAACTTCTCATAATAAACATTCTTTCATATTAGAACATAGCTCTACATTTATTCTAAGTTAAAGTAAGCCCCCAGTATCCTATGGTTTTATATGGATTGGGTCACCAGATGATGATTTGGTTCAGTGAGTGTCATCGTACTTGGTGTCGGATGTTGCTGAAAATATCAGTCTTGTATAGCATTGTATCCCAAGTATGTAGAGGTATGTTAGGCAACTGGAATATTCTTAGTGTGTTGTCAAACAAGCAAACATTACTTCTCCAGGCATGGAAGGCATGGTTTGATGAAGATGCCCCGGAGGAAGTGACTGCCCCAGATGGCTACTCCACGACACTTGACACATTCCGGAAGCTGTTGCTCATCCGATGCTGGTGCCCCGGATCGAGTCATCCCTATGGCCAGGAAGTACATTGCAGAAGCTATGGGTGTTGAGGTAGGTGATCACAACGATGAAATCTACAAGTGGCATCTCCCCAATGTGTTTGGGTTACAGTTATCCAGTGCCTGAGGCATTGGTTTTTGTTTCCAGTTTGTCCGTACAAATGCTTGATGTTTGTCCTGTCAGTTGTGTTATCAGCAAGAGATAATGGAGTTGCAATTTTGGCTCTGGAATTTCCAAATGAAAGTTATATTTGATATTCCCTGGTGACTTGAAGGTAGAATTGTTGTGTCACAGTGAGTTCTAGCACCAGAATGGAACAGTTAGGTTCCTGTTTAGCAACAGCGCCATGATAATGTTTGCTTCTGGCTCCACAATGTCTGCCTGTCTAGCATGTGCTTCAACTTTCTCGCTTCAGTTTGCTGAGGGTGTGATTCTCAACCTGGAGGCCATGTGGGGAGAGTCCGTCAACAAAACTCCAATGATCTGTTTCCTGTCCATGGGATCTGACCCAACAGACGACATTGAGAGACTTGCCAAACAGAAGGGAATAAGTGAGTCACCACACATTTCAGAATGTACAGCTTACTGTCATTAAGGGGCTGACCAGCTGGGACAAGTTTTCCAACATTATGTCCGCCATTATGCATCCACTTACTTCTTACTAGTTTGCCGAAATAGTAGGACTCCTCTTACTTTGTTTCTGTGTACACAATTGCACTTGTTCTATCTCAGATGGCGTAAAGAAAGTTGTACTCTAGCGACAACATAGTATCTACACAGTATCTATTTATATGTTTGTTTCTTTACTCATATTTAATCTTGGAGAAAAGATTCCACAGAGTCCAACTGCCCATATTGATGTCATCTTTCTAAGAGCTCTATCACTGTCTCCTCTGCAGAATGTGGTCAATTTCCATGGGTCAAGGTCAGGAAGTCCATGCTCGCCGTCTGCTGCAAGTGTCCATGTCTGAAGGTCGCTGGGTTCTACTGCAGAACTGCCATCTTGGTCTAGACTTCATGGATGAACTGTTAGAAACAGTCAGTAAACCTTGTCCTTATTTACATAAAGCTTAGAATATTGTTTTGCTAACCTCTCAGACTTCAGAAGGAATCTTTATGAGGGAAAGACATTGTCATGCACGGTAGACATGAGTATCTGAGAGATGACAGGTTGCTATGCAGAGTTGTCTCCCTGAGTGCCAGGTTCTGCTAGTCGTGGGTTTGATTCCTGAATTCCTCTCTGATATTGATTGTGATTGTACTTGTCTTAATGTTTAGGACTGGTAGGACTTTCGATATTTTCCCACACTATGCTGAACTGCATAGAAATAATTGCAATGTTATTAAAACAACCTCACAACACAGTTGGAAGTAATGATCTCCTGTGTTAAGGATGTTGTGAGAGATGTTGAAGTAGAGAAGTGTTGATGGTGAGAGGTGTTGATTGAGAGGTGTTGATTGATGGTGATGTAGAGATGCTGATGAGGTCTGATGGTGAGAGGTGTTGATGGTGAGAACAAGAGAGTGTTGACGTTGAGAGGTGTTGATGGTGAGAAGCTGTTGATGGTGAGAGGTGGTGACTGAGAGGTGTTGATGGTGAGAGGTGTTGATGTAGAGAAGTGTTGACGTTGAGAGGTGTTGATGGTGAGAGGTGTTGATGGTGAGAGGTGTTGACGGTGAGAGGTGTTGATGGTGAGAGGTGTTGATGGTGAGAGATGCTGATGGTCTGATTGTGTGTTCATCAAGCTTTCCGCCTGTGGGTGACTACAGAGGAACATCCTAAGTTCCCTATCAACTTGCTGCAGTCGTCCATCAAATTCACCAATGAGCCCCCGCAGGGAGTGAAGGCTGGTCTCAAGAGAACATACGCTGGAGTCACGCAGGTTTGGACAGACATATATCTTGTAGTGCTGCTGTACAATCTGATCATTATTTCAATCACAACTCATCTGTATACGCAAATAATATGAAATACATCAGTATGCCTATCAAGAGTGTGATTGTATCTTGGATATTTTCAGCTTTAGGTTTGTTTGATTTTTCAGAGATCTTATTCACCGAAATGAAATTGAGTACATGGTAAAATATAATGCACGACTTCTCATTGTGATCTTAGAACAAATTTAAATCCACACTGCCGTGCTGGCCAGTGTGACACTAAATCCTGTCCTTTCGCACACCTCTACGATTTGTCCTGCATGATGAAGATGATGACAACAATGACAGTACTAATGTGGTTGATGGTGGTTACAGGAACAGCTGGAGTACAGCAACCTGAACATGTGGAAGCCAATACTGTACGGTGTTGGCTTCCTCCACACCACGGTGCAGGAGAGGAGAAAGTTCGGACCCATCGGCTGGAACATCCCATATGAGTTTAACCAGGCTGATTACTCTGCCACTGTACAGTTTGTACAGAACCATCTGGATGATCTTGATCCTAAGAAGGTCAGTCTGACGCTCACAGATTTGCCACATTTTGTCTTGATATGTGACAGTTACAAGATCTTTCGATGAACAATTCATCATATTTCATAAACAGTGAAACCTGTCTAATGTAAATGGCAGCCATGTTGGAAAATGATCGTCACTGTCTAATCCAGCACCCTGTCTAAACCGGCATTTTATTTCGGTCCCATGGGGTGCCGGTTTAGACAGGTTTCACTGTACTTCAAAATACTGATGAGTGTTGATTTCTCTGGGCTGTCAAACCAGGGATTATGGCTCTGTTATTAAAATTGTATCAAAGCAGGGATTGGGTCTTCAGTATCAAACACTGTAGAAAATGACAGGTTTGGTCTCCATTGTCAAATAAAGGTTTAAGTCTTATCAAACACTGTATCAAACCACCAAATGGGTCTCACTGATCAAACCAGCTTTTCTATTATCAGATATTGTGTCACACAAAGGGTTGGGTCTCTGTCATCAAATATTACATTGCACAAGTTATTGTGTCTTCATTATTGGAAACTTTATCAAACCTGTAGGAGAGAGTCATAAATAACCTCCCGGATATGTGTTGCTTTTCAGGGAGTCAGCTTTGTGACTGTACGTTACATGATTGGTGAGGTGCAGTACGGAGGTCGTGTAACGGATGACTATGACAAGCGTCTCCTCAACACATACGCTAAAGTGTGGTTCAGTGAGCACATGTTCCAGGACAACTTCCAGTTCTACACAGGTGGGTGGAAGGATTCTGCGAAAAGGTTCCCTGTAATCTATGCTTATCATAAGAGGTAATCTAATTGATGGTGTGGAGAGTCTGTGTCTTGGTTCGAGGCTCTAGTTTGTCTGGTCCAGACTCTAATCTTTACAACCTTTACTCGAATCAAGTGTACATGTACCTGGAATCTAAATGCATTTCTGAATATTCCATTGACTGTGTTATTTCAGGCTACAAGATCCCTCGCTGTAAGACTATTGATGAGTACAGACAGTACATTGACAATCTGCCACTCAATGACACCCCTGAATGCTTCGGACTTCATCCCAATGCTGACATCACGTGAGTAGTGGTCATCTTTTATACACATACTGTGAATTTGTTCCTGTTGAACCCATGGAGATTCTGAGTTAAAATGAGTCACAAGTAACCTGTGCCAGTGAGAAACTAACTAAACAAATGTTTTAGTCAAACTAAGTGCCATGATTACAATACCACGTGACCAGGATGTTGCTCATGCTGTTGACCACTTGTTTGTGTATACAGACTTATATTGTTTATTGGCCATGGTGATACAGCTGCAATATTGCAAACTGAGGCATGAGAAATGATTTAAAATCTCAAACTTAGTATTTGTGAGATCCATGAATGAAGAGCATTGAACAACTTGAATGTGTTTGAGTGGTGATCACTTAAATCAGTTGTGTAATGATTGTTGGTAATGTGTAGGTACCAGACCAACACGGCCAACACAATGCTGGACACCATAGTCAGCATCCAGCCCAAGGATTCCGGCGGCGGCAGTGGAGAGACCCGTGAGAGTGTTGTCTACAGACTGGCTGATGACATGTTGGAGAAACTTCCTGCAGACTACATTCCGTTCGAGGTACAATGTTTTATGAGTATATAAATATAGAAACAAGTTCTGTAATGTTTTCTGAAATTTGTTTAAAGCAGCATCTTATGGTTCTAAATACTCACCCGAAAGAAAAGGGTCTCATACTGATATTGTAGAATGTTCTGTGTTCTATTGCTATATGCTATTATGTGTAACCAATAATTTCTTGTTATCACCAATCCTCAGTGTCATGATGGCATGTTACGTTGGTAGTGAGGTCACATGTTGCACAGTTGTCATGGAGGTGCAAAGACCTGTTGCTTCTCATGGGTGTGTCAGAATCCCATAGTCAGGAGTCTCATCAAGTATTTTCAATATTGTCAGCACCATGTTCATGTTTCTGGACGTCTATGTCTCCTCCAACTCAAGCTAACAAGGTATAACTGAAGTACTGCCGAGTGGAGTTGACCCATCTCACTCACACCATCTGTATGCTACATTTTCCTCTGATTTCCACCAATGTGAAATTGTTGAATGTATTCTGGGTGTTCAAGGAGCTCTCTATCTGTGCAGGTGAAGGAACGTCTGCGTAAGATGGGGCATCTTCAGCCCCTCAACATCTTCCTCCGACAGGAGATTGACCGGATGCAGAAGGTTATTGCTCTTGTCCGCTTGACTCTGAAGGATCTGAAGTTGGCTATTGATGGTACTATCATCATGAGTGAAAACTTACGTGATGCCCTTGACAACATGTATGATGCTCGCGTGCCAAGCAACTGGAAGAAGGTAATGTACACTACAGACAGTTCTGTATGTTGCTTTACTAAACAAACTATCCTCTGTGCAGAGTATGCTGAATATAACGTGTATTAATAATATATATAATAATATAACTTGGTTTCAAATGTTACCACGTAAAATAATGGGTTTTTCCCAAAAATCTCTGTTATTAAATGTCTTTCCTCTCTGTCTCCCTGTTCATCTGTATACCGTCTTCTTTGTTTTCTTGTCTGAACTGTGGGGATGTAAATAATTGGGATGGTGTTTGTTTCCTTACTTGGAACATGAAATTGGGATGTTGTTGAGGAGACCCAGGCTGAACTGTTAGTAACATTTAAATAATGGGCTATTTATTATTTCACTTTCTGAACTGTCAGAACATGGAAATTTGGAACTTTTTATCTCATAAGAAATGATCTGTTTAATTCATCATTTATGCTTTGCTTTGAGGATTCCTTTTCTTGTGACTCTGCCACAGGCAATCATCATTTCAAAGTACAGATTAAATTCAAATCTTAGCCATTCCGTAGCCATAGTCAGTCGTGCAGAGACATTTTGAATGTGACCTAAGTTTGAGGTGTCAACTATTTTGCAGATGTTTCTGCAGCAGGTATATTGAGATAGATAATGAATGTCAGCTTACTCACTGTGCACCATATCGCCACTGTTGTTGGCTCCGTCACAGATGCTTGCATGGACAACAGTGTCTCTTACCGCTCAGACTCTCACTATGTACTGCCCTCATCTTGCATGTTGTACAATGTCATCCATAGACACAAACAGAACGTTGAATGGCCACTTAATAATTGTGGGTATTGTTGGAGGTGGCTTTGTATGTCCACTTGATAGTGGGGTTACTGTGCTGGTTGTTTCTCACCGTGAGTTGATAGCAGGGGCTGCATGTGCACAGTTCATCACTTGGTTCATGGGATTAGATATAACCAAGTCTTTCACTATCTCAGGGTTTAGAATATTAGTTGTTATATCAAGGGTCATTTTCCTAAAACATGCCATCACAATATATCCATAGCCATCACAATATATCCATAGCCATATATTCCCCCAGGGTCCTGACTGTTGTTTTTCACTAAGGGTACAATTGCTGAATTGTAGTAGCCGTGTCCTTCACCTTACAGAAGTAGGTAGCATGGGTGGCCCATTTGTTAAAGGCACTGCACCACTGCAGGCTGTGGTGGAGAGTTACATCCCTTTGGCATGCTAGAATCCTGTGATCCTGGGTTCATATTCACTGTGATCAAGACTCCTGTTTTGTCACCATCATACCCTCTTGTCGGTGGCAAGACTCTACAGTACTTTGTCCACATCATACTGCCATGCTGTGACATTACTGGTGTACTGCAAGACTCTACAGTACTTTGTCCACATCATACTGCCATGCTGTGACAGTACTGGTGTACTGTTCACAGCGGTGGTAACACAGCTTTCGTGTAACTAGATTTTATTCAGTTACATATTTTGTATTGTCAATAGCCATGGGAGAAATTTGTACAGACTCCTGTGTAAGCCATTAGTAATGTAAAGAGATATTTCAAGTAGACTATATCTAGTCATATTCTTACATAGGTGATGTACGACATAATTAACTCTCTAATTTCATGCCCTTTTAAGTCATTTTCATAGAACAGTAACTCAAAGCATGAACTACGGGTAATCTGGTATCTTAATGTTTGTGTGCATAATGTTATTGGTGTTTAATCAGTATTGCTGTCTCAGATTTATATGTGTGTATGATCAGTCTATATGTTTTGTATGCTCTGTCTGCAGGTGTCCTGGGAGTCGGCCACCCTTGGGTTCTGGTTCACAGACCTACTAGACCGGAACGCTCAGTTCCACACCTGGCTGTTTGATGGTCGACCTACCTGTTTCTGGATGACTGGTTTCTTCAACCCTCAGGTATGTGTGCTTCTTCAACATAATCATCATAATCTGCCTCATATACATAAGCAACGTATTCATCTTCATCCTCATTCACAATGCATGCAGCGTATAAATTAGTGCAGAGTTTCTTCCCTTGGACATCCCAGGAACCTCTGATCATAGGTTTGAATCCTTTTTGTTGGTGATTGTTTCTCGGCATCATAACTGTGCTTGTGGGTTTCACCAACGTAGTAAATATCTGAGCCCTGCATCCCTTTCCTCCTAATGAAGCTGGGTACTGCTCCCTCCCTCACTCACCACTGTCAAGTGTTAAGACTAATCCTGTTGTATCCAGGGCTTCCTGACTGCCATGAGACAGGAGATCACCCGAGCTCACAAGGGCTGGGCCTTGGACAATGTCTTCCTGGACAATGATGTCACCAAGCTGATGAAGGAGGATATCAACTCACCACCTTCTGAAGGTATGTATCCCCCACAAGGGGAATCCTGGGGCAGAATATGTCCCCAGTTGACTCTCCTCATCCCACTGTAAGAATTCTAGGGAAGAAAACATCATCTGTACCTCTTACTTGGATCTCAGTGGATAATCCACGGCAGACTAGGTCCCCCCACAGATCTGGCCTCATCTAAGGGTTGTGGAGAAGTATTGGTCTTCCATGCCTCTTGTTCTGTTCCCTATCATCATACTCCCCAGATTCTGCTCTTCTTGTAATGACAGTCAGAATGGTATGGGAGTTTTACATGTCTCGGGGCCATTAACATTGAAAATAGTTCATTGTTTAATCCTGGGTTGGTGTACCAAAGTCTTCCTAAATTGTCCTCCCATTTCACATCCTTGTCTTGTTCTTCTCCAGGTGTGTATGTATACGGTTTGTTCCTGGATGGTGCGGGCTGGGACCGACGTAACGCCCGTCTCATTGAACCCACGCCTAAGGTCCTGTACACTCCTCTACCAGTGGTGCATGTCTTCGCCACCAACCAGGACAAAAACAAGGGTGGCAATTTCTATGAGTGTCCAGTGTACAAGAAGCCAAGGCGTACTGATCTAACATACATCTTCCCACTGCTTCTCAAGACCAACAAGACACCAGACCACTGGATTCTGCGTGGGGTTGGCCTGCTGTGTGACACCAAGTAAACACTGATGAGATGTTTCAAACTATGGAGGTCCTGCAGTACTGCTCTCCCAGGGCCGAAATCTGGACAAGGACTCGTTCAGTTTCATATTTAATTTCAATCACTATACAGTGATTCTGTTAACATTTGCCAACACAGAATCAAACATCAACACCTATTTGGAACAAATACATTGCAGAAGCGTTCAAGAAATCCTTTTTCTTCCAAATTGATTACAACATGTGTTGGCATACGTTTATAATCTTGTATGTGAAGATATTGTGGATATGTTAATATGTTTGGTTTTTTAAGAATGATGTGTTAAGAGGTCCCGTTGAGATAATCAAAATGTCCAAGTGTCATTGACAGATGATGTTGTGCTATATATGATACTGTACAGTGCTGATTCCATGTGATGTGATATTTGACTCGGTCATCTATCCTCAGTCCTGGCATATAAGTTCTACCAAATAACTCTTTCATGTTTTGTCATCTTTGGATTAAATTAATTATGTCACTTTGTACAGAGGCACAATCATTTGTTCATCATTGCTTTATATTTGTCTATTTGCCAAAATTGTTTTTCTTAAAACAAAAAAAAATATGCAACCAACTGCAGACAATCTTTATGCACTCTTAAAATATATCACTTGCCAATATTGTCACGTTACTTTTTCAAAATACACAAAATATGGCAACAGTATCAAAAGTATGAGACTTATGAAATGATTATATGGTTTGTTGTACATATGCTCAACATCTGTACGACTGTACAGCTTCATCAGAGTAAGAAATGTATTTGTACAGTTATATTTGTTGTGTTTTTTTATCAGTATTATGTTTTTGTCTGGTTTGAGTTGCAATAAGAATGTGCAAAGTATGTCCTTCATTGCTCAGTTTACTGATGTTTTCCTCAAGTCCGTCCCTGATGCATAGCATCAAACATTGCTATATTGTTGGTAATGTGTCTGGTATTCAACAATCTTGTACGTGTGTGTTTGTTCAGATTTCCTTATCCAGTATTACGAGATGAAAACAAATTTATGAGAGCACAATCGAAGCCAAAGCTTCCACATCGCCAGTATGATCCATTGTGATGTTCCGTTGATGGAATTAACATCATGTTAAATACACGATCAATGCTGAACACTGATAAGTAATATTCAGCTGTACCACTGATTTATGCATATTATTTTCCAATATACATCCTGTGTGATAATAAGTGGGGTTTTGTTGTGTATTTTACGTGCACGGTTTATATTTGTATGCATTTTGCATTTGTGATATCACAATATTTTATTTTTGTTTGAAATAAATTTGATAAAAAGTATCTTATTGATATTGTTTTATGTGACAGGGTTGAGGTATGTGTTGTTGATATCACCAACCACTCCGATGACCTTGGCAACAGGATCCATTATAAGTGCAAGTGAGGACACCTAACAGGAACTGCTTTCAAGCAGAAATAGAAATTGTGAATTTCATGGCAACTAAGTGAATGATGGCAATGTGTCCAGAACATGTCTTGACCAGATAGTCTCTGAAAGCCATATACTGTATGTAAGTATGTGATACCAGTTGTCTGAGTTGTTAGATGGATGACTTTGTGTGCTGGAGTTTAGGTGCCCGAAAGTGTGGGTTCAAATCCCAGATGGGACTCAACCCCAAGCAGTACTAAAATCTGTACTTAACTGAGAATGTAATCCCTAACATAACAGTCAACTCCACTGTGGTCAACATCCCCTGGTCAGTTGGGTCAGCAAGCAAGGGTTCTGGGCTGGAGCTGCTGGTCAGCACAGGGACTACACAGGTGTACAGCAGGTATCGTTCTGTATACACTACACAGGTGTACAGCATACACCACACAGGTGTACAGCAGGTATCGTTCTGTATACACCACACAGGTGTACAGCAGGTATCGTTCTGTGTACAGCAGGGTACAGCAGGTATCGTTCTGTATACACTGTATACACCACACAGGTGTACAGCAGGTATCGTTCTGTATACACCACACAGGTGTACAGCAGGTATCGTTCTGTATACACCACACAGGTGTACAGCAGGTATCGTTCTGTATACACCACACAGGTGTACAGCAGGTATCGTTCTGTATACACCACACAGGTGTACAGCAGGTATCGATCTGTATACACCACACAGCTGTACAGCAGGTATCGTTCTGTATACACCACACAGGTGTACAGCAGGTATCGTTCTGTATACACCACACAGGTGTACAGCAGGTATCGTTCTGTATACACCACATTTAAGGCAGTCTTTCTTCACAATGTGAAAAACCTGTATGTGTCTGGTGGTCAAGGAAACTCAGTGTCATGTGCAATATCCAATGAGTGAGTATGGTTTTACGCCGCTTTTAGCAATATTCCAGCAGCGGACAACAGAAATGGACTTTACACATTGTACCCATGTGCAGTGTTGTGAATTGAACTCGGGTCTTGAGCATGATGAGCGAACGCTTTAACCACTAGGCTATCCCACTGCACCAATTATCCAGTAGTACTGCTGTGTACCTTTGCTGTCACCCGGACTTCATCGGGCAAATCCAGGAATCTATTGTTTAAGGAAGACGAAGTGAAGTGTGTGGAACTCTCTCCCTATTTAGTTATAATCATATCCTTCCCTAAGTACATTCAAAACACGACTAAAGACTCATCTATTTCTCCGCTACAAGTGACTTCCAATCATCCGTACCTGCCAACTGTATATAGTTTTAACTTGAGCTCAGGAAGCGCTTTGAGCATATCCCTGTGACGTGGAAAGGCGCTATATAAATGGCCTATTATTATTAGTAGTAGTAGTAGTAAAAACAACAGAGGATTCTAACATAATGTCTCACAGGCAAGTGACCTGAGTTAATGATGACTAACTACCATAAGTTCACCTGAATCTTACATGAACTACTAAGTGAACATTGATATTTCCTCAGTTTTGTATAGCTGAACATTTCGAAATCCTCATTTCATTATGTTTAGCTTAAAGTATTGCTTATTTAAAAATGTTTCATTGTTTATAACTTAGTCTTTGAGGAACCGGGACAATGTGAGAAGCCCATTTCTGGTGTTCCCTGCCGTGATATTGCTGGAATATTGCTAAAAGAGGCGTAAAACCATATACAGGTGACTGTTATTATTGCCAGTCTTGGGCCTACAGAAAGGTACTTGGTACACTTGTATTACCTCAGCTGACCTGGCTGAGGATTCCATCTATGACATCCTGTAAAGAAATATTTTTAATCCACCAAAGAAAGAGCATTGGGGAAGATACAACTGCTTCTATTACATTTTGTAATGTTTTTGAGGGAAGTCAGTCACACTACTGACAAACATGGGCCCATTCATACCTGGAGTAAATGCACATCTGAAGTGAAGTTACAGAGAACAGACACCATGTCCAGTATCAAAAAACATTTTTTAAAGAAATTTACAACACAGATACTTTTAAAGTTTATTAAACTAAAACATTGATAACACATTCAGTATAAATGATTTTTCTCAGCTATGCATTTTCATAAAAGTCTACAAAATACAAACATCAGCTCTCAGTTGTGATCCAGGAATATTTACAATGATGTGTTAATGTGTTAACTATACTATTCACACATTGCTAAGGATCAAATCATGGATTCAACAGAAAACTATGATGTGGGGTCAAATTTGGTTTAAATATCTAAGCTTATTGTAAGCATGGATCCTAGGTTTCAGTTTGTCATTTCATCTGGTGGAACCCAAACCTGCTATTGACAGGTGTTGTGTACTTGTCAATGACTCGTTCCATGATTTGCAAAATGGCTGACTGGTGCCATGAAAACCATTTTATGGTTCCTCATGTATCAGGTGCATAAGGTTAGATTAAAGTGACTGTTTGCCTAAAGAGGGTTACCATATTATTATTTATCCAGTTTTAAATGGATACAATTTCAAATTATGAATCTACGTTTAAGTAAAGTTGTGAATTTTTGTGATCCTTAGCAAAGTGTGAGTAGTATATAATGAAGGGATCTGCAGATACACCTGCCTGCTGTATTCACTTAACTTCAGGATATGAAACATACTACACATATATCTAAACTGAAGAGTTCTAGAATAGCAACAGCGTAATTGTAAGACAGCAGTGTTCCTGTTGTACAGTAATTACTGGTATGTGACAGGTATGTTTGAGGACAATGGCACCTGCAGAAGTAGAAGAGTAAAGTACAAACTTCATGTATGTATTCTCCGTACACACGACACAACACTATCTACTTTATTGCTTGCAAACAGGACAGAAAGTTGGAAGTTATCCTAACAATGAGGTCAATGTGTGTGTTAAACCATTCTTTTCCAGCAACTAGTGAACTATAATGACTTGTGAAAAGTTGCCTCAGCTCCTGTGTATATTTCCTGTCACTCCTTATGACATGAGTAGATTTACTGGAACCCCTGAATACACAACAAACTGCCATTGTAAGTCCTCAACATTAAGGTCAATAAATGTTATGTTTCAGTAAAAAAATTATATTAGCAATGGAAAATATTCTTTTTTCTTATTTCCTTATTCCAACAAATGTCAGATGTAAACCAACCTAAACACAATGACATCTGTTACCTGATATGAGCCAATCAGATATCAACTTTCAAAACAAATCTGCTTCATTATTTTACTGACTTGATTCGGAAATTTTTACCTCTGAGGAAACACCACAAAATACTCTCCATAGTAATCATTTTGGATGCAGACCATGATGCTCACAAACAACAGGACATACCCACAACAATATGACAGCACAGCCTTATTATTCTCTAGATAATATTTCTTATCGAGTTATCAGATATCTTTGTTTAGATGTTTCACCTACACGTACTAAGACTAGTTTCCGCAACTCTGATTGTTGATTAGAAAGTTCACCAGACCCAAGCTCCTATGGAAGTCTCCTCAGAACTCCGCTCAGAGAGGTCCGAGATCTGGCTTTACTGAGACTGTATTATCAATTGCTTCCATCAAGTGCAGTTATATGTGCAATTAACAATGTGAAACAACAAGCACCAGCTGATTTGTCAATACAACACAGAACATTAAATAGGATTTTTATTTTTGGTTAGGAGGTCTTCAAAACCAACTGATACTTAAATGAGAGAAAAGAAACTATTTTAAAAGAATGCTATGTGGCCTGACACTAAGAGCCTTACTTAGCCCAGTGGAGTGGCAACAAGATACTTAACAGCTGATTGGGGAATGAAATCTTGACTGATTACCCAGGGTTCATATAACTGCTTCCTCAAAAATTAAAACACAGATCAACTGATGATCCTGCTGGAATTACATGTACATTTGTTGATTTTCTGACTTAGGATTTTGTTGAAAACTGAAACTCATGACATATTCAAAAACTTTTCATTCATAAATAGAAACTTCATTTTCATGGAATTAAAAATAAAATAACCACTTTTGGCCCCAGATTTTGTTAACCATCTAACAACATAGAGCATTACCATTAATCAATGTTTATCAGAAGGGTAGAAACAGACTACACACCACCCTACACCTTGAACACTATATGATATACCACATACCAGCATAAAAACAAATACAAGTGGTTTGGCTCCTGGAAATTAAAAATGTTTGAACATAATAAACTATAAAAGTAACAGAAGCATTTCCTTATCATCAGAATACATCTTCCACAAAGAGGTCATATGAGGTCAAGCATCATCTCCAAATAGCACTCACCAGGGCCCTGTATCATGTCAGATATATTTCTGTGTCACAATTTTGGAAAGGGTACATTTCTGTATGGGTACATCTGATCTGACAACAACCCCTTCAGCTTGTTCACAGCCAAAATAAGGGCGACAAAAAGATAATTGATTGTACTCCTATTGCAAGTACTTTCTACAACAGTCCCTAAAATATTCCCTCTCAGTATTTAACTCCAGTGTTCATGGCGTTGCCGAACTTCTCGTTGCATAAACCTTATTATTTATAAATATCAAAACAATCAAAACAATGATAAAAACCAATAAACAGATAAACATTACACAGGGCTACAACATATGAATAAATTCCTCACAAAATACATAAAACAATACACAAATGGGCTCTGCATATGTCAGTATCAAAATACAAACATGTTGAACAATAATGGCAAGATGTGCCACATAACAAATACAGGTATCCTGTGACAGTGGTGTTCTACCATGTCTTCTGGTACTATCTACTAAGCCACACAAGTTCTAGATTTACTGGCTTTATAGTACCGGTACAAGTTCCAGGTTGGTTGCTAAGGAAACAAGTACATGTGAAACATATATCAGAATGTAATATATTTTCTTTTATTACAAAATGTATGTTGCCACCTGATCAGTCTTTGCTTCCTGTCCAGTTTAACCTATTATACATATTTGTGTGAACATGTAAATTTCAGGTAAATATTTTTAACACATTTCAATACTTTTTGTGCCAGTGCATCTGTAAACCAATTCCAAAATCTTTGCTAGCAGCTCAGTTTTCTGGTATCTCTGATCAAGACAACATATCATTCATATGGTTTTTTCCTTACCAGACCTTGAGTCTGAGAGTTCTCTCCCCTTGTACGTTACTTGATTTCAAGAACATATCTCCCAATCCCCTTTCTTGAACCAGAGTCAGACACATTGGACAAATGATTTGGGCAGCTGGTTGTGATGAAGACCTTGAGGGATATTGATGGAGGCCAAGCTGAGTTCTGTTTACCAGTTAGTTGTTTTACAGTCACAATATGGTGTACCTAGAATGTGCTTCACAACTGTTGTAGTTTTCATTCAAACCAAATCTCTATCTTCTTCTGACATTTAGGATCTACATAAAATAAATAGAAAAAATTAAAAGAACTTTGGTCAGCACAAATGGATCACTCACTGATTTAAAAAAATCCCCAAAGCATCTGCTCACAAATGATACATCATGTTCGTTATTAAAAATAAAGTAAACTTCAAAACCATTGCATCTCAGATGCATATTTGTCACAAATAAAAATGAAACAAAATGAACAAGAGAGTTATGGTATGCCGATATCACAGACTTCAGCTTGTTTAAGATACATGTAAAAGTGCCATGGGAAATATGATTTGTAAGACACAATTACTATTATGCAAACATAATATGTGTAGAGGTATCTATGTAGCGTGATCAGGAGTTATCTCCCTTACACTGAACACTGTTTGAGAGTCCATATATAATCTTACAATGATCCCTCTTAGTTGAGTCCACTGTGTTGTACTTAATTTATGAGATACAGCAGAGCAGAGCAGAGATAAATTGCTGAAACATGGACGGGTTCATGACTGAACATTCATGGTGTGTAGAGACATATCAAGATGCATTCTTATGAAGGTATTTCAAGCTAAGAGTCATGTTTTGATTTCACTTTTGTGTACGTGACTTTCGTGTCAATGTCTTTGTAAAGTGTGTGGCAATAAGTACATTGTTTAGAATTGTTTTCACATCAACAGACCACAAAGGTGGATACCTGACCTTGCAATCTGTGAAGTCTGAGAAATAAGTGATCCTCCTCAACCTTCCTCAAACACCAGCTGCAGTAACTATGGTAACATAACAGTTGACAGTAGTCCAAGAAGATAGCAGATGAAGCACTCATAAAGGTTGAACCTGGCAGCACTAAACCTCCTTCTGTACACAAGTTAGGCAACATAAACAAACCATTCATGGTCATTAGTCATATACTTAATATAATAGCACTTGTTAGAAATCATGTTCATCATGGGCCCATTTATTTGTCTGCCCTTGTGAACTCTGACCCTGAGTGTCCTTGACATTGGTTCCTGATGAATAGCTGTACCCGCGTCTCCCAGGTGTCCACATGCTGTCTGCAAATAATAAAGACCACATGATTAGTAGTGCTGGCTAAAAAGATTCATAATTCGAAATATCGTCGACAGAAAAAATTATTAATGATTATCGATATGAGATAGTGTCATCGATAATATGGTCATACACAAAGGTAGGTTTCTATTTATGGGTTGCTTCTAAATTCAGTTCAGAACTCTGTTTTGTTAGTGATCCATGCACAAACATGTCACCACTCACCACTGGTGTGAGGTGAGGTGAAATTGGGTTTAACGTCGTGCTTGAGAATATTTCGCTCATATGACGACGTGCATGCGTGTGTTTGTGTATGTGCGGCTGCTTGTACTAGCCCAGACTTAAGCTGGTTTTATAGTGCTAGCCCACTGAGATACCATGCCGCAGTGAAGCATGAATACCCCACTCAGACACATTATACTGACTCCGAGCCGACCAGTCCTTGTTGTTCCCATTAATGCCGAGAGCCAGGCAGGGACCAACAAGTACCATATTTTAACGTCTTTTGGTATGACGCAGACGGGGATCGAACCCGTGACCTTCCGCTCTCCGGGCGGACGCTCTAACCACTACACCACGGAGGCGGTCACCACTGGTGTGAAACATATGCATTTGTTTCAGACTTGTTTTTGCATTTTGTTCAAAGTTACTTCTCCCATATTTATCAATAATCTATCAATATTTAGTTAACGATCATCCATCTCTATCATCTGTATTGATAGCCAGCAATAATAATGCAAAATGTTGCTGACCAAATGGTTGAAGAGGCAGGCAAGACATACATCACATCAAAGTGTTGTGTTATAGTATGCACCAACTCGTACCATTGTGATACACATGTAACACGCATCATACTTCACCCTTAACCTGGCATAACAGGCCAGAGTATACCCCTGTCCCAGACTGTACCCCTGTCCCAGAGTATACCCATCCCAGACTGTACCCCTGTCCCAGACTGTATCCCTGTCCCAGACTTTACCCCTGTCCCAGACTGTACCCCTGTCCCAGACTATACCCCTGTCCCAGACTGTACCCCTGTCCCAGAGTATACCCCCTGTCCCAGACTATCCCCCTGTCCCAGACTATACCCCTGTCCCAGACTATACCCCTGTCCCAGACTATACCCGGGCTTAAATTGGGATTAGCCCCTGCAGCAGAAGTAGCAGTCGCCTTTGGTTCTGTATGTCCGTCGGGGTGCTGTCAAGTCCGTTGATCGTCCGTAATAAATGTCCTTTGAAGAGTTCAGGCCTAATGCAGCAGCCAAATTCCTTCGAGTGTTTTGGGGATAGGGTTGAACAAAGGGGTTGACATGATTCGTTTGGTAGTAAGGTCCGTATTGTCGCCTGACTCCGGATTATCTCTGAGTCTTTTTCATTGCTTCGGATTGTCAACAGAATCACTGGGGCTTTCGGCGGTTTTGTTAGTGGGTAGGTCACTGGAGTACATTTTGAGGTTTTCATGTTCTGTAGCTTCACACGACCATTGGTCAAGGTCTCGAAGATGGAGTATGGTCCAATCCAGTGTGGCTCCCATCCTCTGGACTCGTCGACTATTCTTGATATACACTGTTGATCCAACATCTGTCTCCTTGTTGCTGGTGTGTTGTCAATCGTAGTTTTCTTTCTGGTGATCCTGTGCATCAGTGATATTATTGGAAATAGTGGAACAGATGCCTTTGCATAGATCAAGGATAGTTTCCAGGACTTCTGAGCATGCCGTGTTAGGTGAAGGTGCTGTAGTCGTTCCCCTCGGTCGGTTTCAGGTCAATCGGTAGCTTGGCTGGGCGACCGTACAGCACCTCGAATGTTGTGCATTTCGTCGAAGCATGGACTGATGTATGGTATGCGAACAAGACATCAGGAATGTATTGGTCCCAATCATCAACTTGGTCATTGATGAGTTTACTCACAGCCGCCTATGACGTCCTGCTGTCACGTTCCCGCTGGCCGTTTGAGGATGGTACGCCAAGGTTATGCGATGATCTGTCTGGAAATGGTCCATGAGTGAGTCAATCACTTTGTTGACGTATTCAAGTCCTTGATCACTGATCAATGTGTCTATGCAACCCAGTCGACAGATGATATGGAAAAGAAACAGAGCAACTGGCTTTTATCTGGGATAGCAGCTGCCTGTGACCATTTTGAAAAGTGGTCGGTGACCGCAAGGATGTACTTGTTGCCGTTTCTTGTCTCTTGTAGAGGGCTGATGATGTCGATTCCAATGAGGCACCAGAATTTGGCAGGCACAGGAATGGAGTGGAGTGGTGGTGCTTCTGTGTTGACTTTCGGATTGATGACAAAGCACTTCGGACACGTCTTGACATACTCTTGCACGTCGTTCTTCATGCCTTTCTAATAATAACGCGAGGATATTTTGTCAAAGGTTTTATCTCTGCCGAAGTGTACACGTGTAGCTGGGTTGTCATGGCTTTCAAGGATGCTGGGTAGGCGGCTTTTGGTCAGCACTTCCTTTTCACCATGAAAGACAGTTCAGTTTTCTACCCGAAATGGCTTTGCAGTTTGCCAAAAATGAGACTTAGCATTCAGACGCCTGTCAGGATCCAGATCATAGGTGTGCTGGGGATACTTCTTATCACAGCTGGTGTAGAAGTTCAAGATCAGGGTATAGAGGTTGTCATCCATGTTGAAGTTTGAATGTGATATAGTAAATAAAATGAAATGCACCTTTAAATACCTTAACATGACACTGAGACCATTGCCCAGAGTCACTCACTACCTTTTAGTGAAGTGTCAACATAATTTTTTAAGGGTATTGTCTGGGCTGGAGGAGTATAAATTGGCACCTTTAAATATCTTTACATGACACCGAGATCAGTGCCACAGTCACTCAGGTATTGTCTGGGCTGGAGGGGCATAAATTGGCACCTTTAAATACCTTTACATGACACCGAGATCAGTGCCACAGTCACTCAGGTATTGTCTGGGCTGGAGGGTATAAATTGGCACCTTTAAATACCTTTACATGACACCGAGATCAGTGCCACAGTCACTCAGGTATTGTCTGGGCTGGAGGAGCATAAATTGGCACCTTTAAATACCTTTACATGACACCGAGATCAGTGCCACAGTCACTCAGGTATTGTCTGGGCTGGAGGGGTATAAATTGGCACCTTTAAATACCTTTACATGACACCGAGATCAGTGCCACAGTCACTCAGGTATTGTCTGGGCTGGAGGAGTATAAATTGGCACCTTTAAATACCTTTACATGACACCGAGATCAGTGCCACAGTCACTCAGGTATTGTCTGGGCTGGGCTACATGAGAGATCAGTATCAAATTGGCACCTTTAAATACCTTTACATGACACCGAGATCAGTGCCACAGTCACTCAGGTATTGTCTGGGCTGGAGGAGTATAAATTGGCACCTTTAAATACCTTTACATGACACCGAGATCAGTGCCACAGTCAATCAGGTATAGTCTGGGCTGGAGGGGTATACTTTGGCCTGCTTCAGAATATACTCCAGGGTAAAACCTGGGCTAGCCTATAGTTCACCTGGGGGTATAATCTGGTGGGGGTTATTGTGGGCTGCTACACCCGCCTGACAAGAGGTAAGTCTCTCAACTTGTTTCATACAAGAACCTTGTATTAAAGTATGTAGTTTATAGGCATTACTTATATTAAAATATTAGAACATTTGATGAAGTTATTCTATCAAATTCTTGAAGACATTACACCTGTGCCATGCCAGTCAGTAGTGGAGTCAATGAGAGTTCAAAACACAACTGTAAAGGAACAGAAGCAGTGTGTCACCTTCATCAATAACTCATTCCAACTGCCTATCTTGCATAAGTGTGAAGTAGATGCATGATGCATGTTCGAAGTGTGAGTGTGGAGAGTAATGAGCAGAACAGATGTTGTGGTCTCAAGGATCAGTGGTCTCGAGTACATTATTCTCCAGAGAGTTCAGCAAATGGGATGGAATCCATAATTGATGCCTAATGTGTACATAGAGTAAGGCAGTAGTTCATTGATGGAAGGATGTCAGTGACGTTATTGTAATTGCGCTTGTGTCTAGACAGTACATGACACAGGATGCTGGGGAGATGGGGCACTTCCTGTAGGGTTATATAACCCATGGCCAAAACATACTGAAACGGCAGGAATTCACGGAATGCGAAACACTGGAGTGTAACATACCTGTATTTGGAAAGCCAACATTTCATTATGTCTAAATTGGATCTGGTTATCCTCTGTAGAAGACATGCTGGCCATGCTAATGATAAATGGAGTTTCATAATACAATTATAGACCAGACTGTAGTGTGCCTTGTATCTTCACACTCTGATAGAAAAAGCTCACAAATTGAGTGAGTGAGTGAGTTTTGGTTTTACGCTGCTTTTAGCAATATTCCAGCAATATCACGGCGAGGGGACACCAGAAATGGGCTTCACACTTTGTACCCATGTGAGGAATCGAACCCGGGTCTTACGGCGTGACGAGCGAACGCTTTAACCACTAGGCTACCCCACCGCCCCGCTCACAAATTGATCATTGCATGATTCTGAATGGTGGAAGCAGCACTCATCAAAAGCATCCAAATCAGAACTCATTATTCCCTGAACAGGACAATATGGATGATACAAGTGGGCCAACCTATGTCCACATTAACAGGGAGTTGTCACACATATCCTGTAATAATTATATCTTCCGCAGACACTGATAAACAACAACTAGAGAGGGAAATAGCAGTAATACTGGGGTGTAATAACAGTGTATATCTGTTACCATGCAAAGCAAGCTATTGTTGAACCAATTCAACATAGTGTGTGGCTAGTTGGGCATCTGTGGACTCCATGTGGTGGTGGTGGTGGAATTGGGTTTAACGTAGTGCTTGAGAATATTTTGCTCATATGACGACGTGCATGCGGGTGTATGTGTATGTGTGGCTGCTTGTACTAGCCCAGACTTAAGCTGGTTTTATAGTGCTAGCCCACTGAGATACCATGCCGCAGTGAAGCATGAATACCCCACTCAGACACATTATGCTGACTCCGAGCCGACCAGTCCTTGTTGTACCCATTAATGCCGAGAGCCAGGCAGGGACCAACAAGTACCATATTTTAACGTCTTTTGGTTTGAGGCGGTCGGGGATCGAACCCGCGACCTTCCGCACTCCGGGCGGACGCTCTAACCACTAACACCACGGAGGCGGTCTGTGGACTCCATGTACAGACAAAGGACAGTATAAAGACAATCCTAAACATAACTTGGGAGAGAGTATGCTTTACAAAGTCAGCCATGTCTGCTCCACATGTTTGTCCTCACCTGGCACAGCACCAGCGATGGATGACGATGCAGTTGGGTCTGGAACAGAAGATACGTACATAAGATGCACTTTTGGGGTGTCTTATAACATTAATATCAGTTTAACAACATTTCATCATCATGGGAACTCAGCTTCATTTGGGAGGAAGATCAGAGATCCAAGTGCTGCGATAAAAGACAAATACTACTTACAAATCCCTACACAAAATAGTGAAAAGGACTTAAAAAAAAGATTTAAACCAACAAAAATCAAGTCAGACCCAACAGGTCAGCTACTGTTGTTCACCTTTCATGCCCCCATGTCGGGAGTAGAAGCTCTTGTTGGCGTTCAGGTTCAGCTTGTCCTGCTGGGCCGCGCCGATGCCGACATTCCTCTTGATACTCCACACCTCATCCAGGTCTAAAGCCAAAGCTGAGAACAAGAGCAGTACCTTTTGTCATGGTGTTTCAGAGGACAATGTTACAAATACCAAGTAGGTGAGCTACAGAGCCTTCATCCTGCAAGTATCTGAAGACGCTGTTCATGTTCTACGAGTATCATCACGAGTTAAAACTGTCTTGCTGTGACTGTACTGTGTATTGACAACATGCTGTTAGGGAGAAGGAGACACTAATTGATGCACTTGTGCTCAATCCCTTTGTCTTTTGGGACAATAAAATATGTTTAACACAAATCTTTTTTCAGATCAGTTTGCGATCTACAGCTTGATGTAGCTTGAAATGTAATTCCCATATATTGTGTTAGGTTAGTGATTATATGATAACCCTGTTCACGCTCTTCATTGGTGACAAGTATCGTCAATTAAAACTGTACTGCAGTGACCGTATTGCAATGGATATCAGATGTGTTGACAACATTCTCTTAGGGAGAACGCGACAAAAAGTGATGCACTTGTGCCAAATCCCTTCTTTTCTGTTTGAAACAAACAAGCTCTTGTTTCAGACCAGTTTGGGATTTACAGCTTCCAACCACATGATATATGTAGCTTGGAATGTAATCCCATATTACAATAATATATTGTGTCAAGTCAGTGAAGTGTACCGTGATTATCTTTCTACCTGACCTAGTAGACCTAGTTTTCAGTGACTCTCTCGCCACTTGAGACAGTATTCCACTTATCACAGCATGTCTGCTTAATCATGTTAAGAAGTGAAGCAGTCTCAGATCTTTACCACTTTGGTGAAGAACCTAAGCGTGGGTATGGTGTTGACATGCCTAGAAATTCCATCAAGTAAACAGAGATTCTAAACCCCAATGATAGGTTTCTGGTGTTGCCAACTGGTGTCTAAGATGACAGGGCAAGCCACAAGCTCCAAAGAAGCATGAGGATATGTTATACTGTGATGCAGGTTTCAGGATGTAGATTTTCATACTTGTTTCAACACACTTTGACAACAATCTACTCTCTTACGTGAGGAGCCGGAGGATTTCCGGGGAGAGAAGTTCATCTGGTCCTCTTCTGCATGTTCCTTAGATTTGGGACCCGTGTACAGGAACTTCTTGGCTCCACCTGGTGGCAGAGATGATGATGTCACAAGGTCTACACAGACAATAGGGCAGATGAGACACGACAGGTCTATTGTAAGTGCATGGCTAGTTTGCAATAACAGTACATGTTGCTTGGAGTTATAGGACAGGTTTGACTTTCTTACTCTTACAAAGATATGCAAGAAATAATGTATGTGTGTGAGTGTGTGCATGTTTTAAAGTGACTCCTAGTACCAGACAGAACTTCTAGCAGGTTCATAATGCTAGTCCTATGATATACCATGCAGCAATGGGCATCTGTTGAGGTCTACCCCTCCTTGTTTAATCCCCTTAATAATGAACCTCTGTCATGATAATAACAACAACCGTCTTCTAATGTCTTTTGGTGTGACACTGCCAAGAAATAGATCCAGAAACTTTCTCAAGCAGGGACCACTTGCTGGTAGAACAGCCAGGTAATCAACAAGCGTGTGCAGTGAAATGTCAATTTCACATGTACAACTCGCACACCTGGCTGTTCTACCAGCAAGTGGTCCCCCCTTGTTAGAAATAGCGAAAAGTGACTACAAAATAAGGATCGTTTGTAAAACAACTTTTTTATTCGGGTGTCCAAAATTATGATACAAATCATCAGAGTTGGTCTGTTGATTTCATGTGACTGTGCAAAATTTGGTTTTGTTGCAATTATTACATTTTGTGATAGTGAGCAATTCATCGGTCTCAAATGAAATCAAACGGACTATAGTTGGTTGAATGTGGGACTGACCATCAAAGGGAAATATCTCTTAGCTACATCAAGACACAATGCCATTTAGAAAGTGGAAACTTCGGTGGCTGAGCGGGTTAGGCAGCTGACTTTGTGTGCTGGCGATTAGGTGCCTCACTTTCAGAGTGTGGGTTCGAATCCCGGATGGGACTAAACCCAACAAAAGTACTAGAATTTGTACTTTACTGAGAAAGTGTAATCCCAAATATAACATATGCTACATCTTAGCTATATCACTGTGATGGGAAAGTTTAACTTTGCAATTGAAATTAATAAACACACATCATCATTGTAAGCTATTTTGTCGTATATCCCGATAGCATACTTCAAATGGGCCACCACGATACATCGATGTACAACTTTGAATATTGCCGAATCGCGATATCTGTCAAGATATACTGTTTTTACAATCAGCACAAACTTCATTCTATTATGTGACTGCAGTGACAGCATCCAGCTGTTTTTTATCTGTTTTCTGTTTATAACAGTATTATGTTTTATATATTTTGTATTTGTTCTTTAAAAAAATGTGCCTAATGTGACTAAAGTCAATTTCATTTAAACACTGTTTTTGTTTTGATCTTAAGGTGTTTTATAGTTGGTGTTAGAATTAATATCGTGATACGTATCGTATCGCCATCCTTATATCGGGATTCGCATGGTATTGCAGCTTTCATGCACAATACTTTGACAATATATCGTCGTCACTAAAATTTAGTATACTGATGCATTGTATCGCATGTTGTATGCCAATACCAGCACTAAATTTTTATGCATCAATTTTCTGTAAAATCATAACTTGAGAAGTTTTTTTAAATTTAAGGCCTTTTCAGGGTAAATGACTGCCAATAAGGGCCTTTTCATGGCTTAAATGAATTAATCAACAACTAGGTAGGACATATTTATGTTGCTATGGTTACATATTTACAAGGATTAACAAAGCAAACTCAGGTTTCATCGCTCTCATAACTTTGTCCCCCTTCTTTGTATGTTTGTTTGTTAATCTCTGTAAAACTGCTGAAATATTGTTAACAGCGAATATAACCATATGTACAATCTATATATTTACAAATAATACAAACTACATCAGGTACAAATGTTTGTGGTCTCCTAAGTTTATGTAGAACCATGCCCTGTGCATTATGTAGAACCATGCCTGTGTATTGTGGTCTCCTAAGTTTATGTAGAACCATGCCCTGTGTATTGTGGTCTCCTAAGTTTATGTAGAACCATGCCCTGTGTATTGTGGTCTCCTAAGTTTATGTAGAACCATGCCCTGTGTATTGTGGTCTCCTAAGTTTATGTAGAACCATGCCCTGTGTATTGTGGTCTCCTAAGTTTATGTAGAACCATGCCCTGTGCATTGTTCACACATCTACCATCAGTGATATGCTGACTCAGCTAGTCTGATCAGGTGCCCCTTCCTAAATTGCATGCATAGTGATACTTGAGATAACATGCTGGTAAGAAAATGAGTTTTCCACAATTAATTACTTTCCAAGACTCCTCCAGACAAGATGTATATCTCCATGCATATATACTTGATACCTTTATCTTACAGGCACTAGCCAAGTCTATGTACATGATAATATGTAATGTAAAGGCTAATTTAATCTTTTAGCGATGGTGAAAAGTATATTTCAAAATGTCTGAAAAACTATGTAAAAAGTATATTAATAGATCAATTTAAGCAATCATGGAATGATTCCCTACAAAACTCATCAAAAGGTAAATAATACTCTTATTTTAAGCATGATAAGCATACTGTCAATACAGAACCATATTTGATCAGCCTCCCATTGAAACAACATATTTGGTTAACAAAACTGCAAAACATACTATCATGTTGAAACTGGCAGATGGTCTAACATAGACATAGAAAATAAAATATTAAGTACAATTTGTAAACACCATGTTCTAAATATCGAATTGTGTTATCTTATCATGTTCAGCTCTTGATGATGTACAAAAGAGTGCACTTGCTAGTAATTTTTGTAATAACTCTCATATTGATAAATATATTTTACTAATGAAAACTGACAATACCCCTTTGATACAGACACTGTCCAGTCTACAAAAAAAATGCATCCTAGATAATCTCCAGGGTATACGTTCCGATAAATCACCACTACCTCTGAAAGAGGTAGAAGGAGTTCTTGCATATATTTTTTAAGGTTTCAGACCTGTCAATCTGTCTGTATGATTTTTTCCCTAAATTTGAGTTGCACAGCGAGCAAACCTTCGCAGCTGCAGCCACTATATTTATTGAAACTGGCCAGCTCAGTTGTAACAGGTTATCTCATTGGCTACTGTGAGAAGGCGGAGCCAGCAAAGGGAGGTAACAAAATTATTGGGCTGAGCCGTAGATGCATCCAGGGTACTAGTGGAGATTTATCAGAAAGTATACCCTGGAGATTACCGAGGATGAAGAAAATCATATTATTCCTGTTTTAAGGCATCGACCAATTGGCACACGGTATTGAATGAAAATATCCTGTATGTTCACTATATCATGTTGTATGATTTATGATAATAAAATCCAGCTTGTTCTGTTCTGTTCCTTCAAAAAGAGGATACACAGGATATAGCAATCAGTGGTTCTCAGTTGGCGTTTTCTCCACTCGGGGGTAAATATTTACTCAATGATTGGGTTATAAATGTAGATTTGATCATCAAGGAGTAGAATAGAACAGCTACGATCCAATACACAAAAGATGTCTCATAGATAATATTTTCGGTTCCATTACCTATACTGTCTTACAATAATTAGTGACTTAATGTCATACGTGAAAGGACTACTTACAGTTAGAGGAAGGATTACAGTGTGACGGATGCCTAATACACACCGGATATTGATCGGCAAGATGTTACTGGGACCTGTAGATTTTGAGTGTTGATAATCATAATGTCTGGCAGAAATTACCATTGAAATACCGTTACATACCGGTATAATACCACAGACTGTTCCGACAGTATTCCACATGAACCTAATGTCAGACATATGCAAATCATTATCAATATGGCTGGTTGAAAAAAACGGTGTCCTGCAAAATCTAACATATATAACAAGTGTTCATGGGAGGGGAAAATGTCAGCCTTGATCGATATTTTCATTTGCTACAAGCTCATATGACAGGCAGATAAATATGCCACGAGGAACTGGATTAAAGACATTCTATCTACATGGTATTAAATATTCACAACCAATTTCTTGTTAAAATAAAGGTCACCTTTGGTACACCTAAACACAAATACTCAGACTGCAGAGAGGACAAGTTTAAAACTGGAAAACCCAAATGAGATTCCACATAGATGATCACACCTGTGATTGGTAAGGTCACAAACAAGTTACTGTCTGACAACAGGTAGGTTTACAATCATTTCCAATGTCCTCCTATAATTAACAATGAATGTTAGTCACCTACAACTCACATATTTAATTCTCACAAAAAAATGGTTGCATAGGAAAATGTCCTGTTTAGAGTTGGTGAATTGCATGCACAGTGGCAATAAAAGCAGCAATGAAACCATATCTCAATTCATGGGCTCAAATTTACCACTGTTCTTCAGTGAGTGAGTTGGGTTTTACGCTGCTTTTAGCAATATTTCAGCAATATCACAGCAGTGGACACCAGAAATGGGCTTCACACATTGTACCCATGTGAGGAATCAAACCCGGGCCTTTGGCGTGACAAGCGAACGCTTTAACCACTAGGCTACCCCATGGCCCCCTGTTCTTCAGAGTGGATTCTCAAGTGTTATCTAGACAAGACTACAGCAATGGACTGTTGATCGGCCTCAGCAAACACAATATCTCCAGATTACAAAAAGTACAGAATACAGCTGCAAGAATTATTTCTCTGAAGACTAAATCTGATCACATCTCTCCTGTTCTCAAATCCTTGCATTTGCTACCTATTCAACAGAGAATCAACTTCAAACTTCTCTGCATCACAGAATACATCCCACCAAGATCACTCCGGTCCCTACTACAAGTTCCCAAATTCCACCTAGTTTCATATGGGAAAAGGTTTTTCTCCTATGTTGCACCAACTCTCTGGAACTCTGTACCTCTAGAAATCAAACTCTGTGAATCTCTCTCAACCTTCAAGTCAAAAGATAAAACCCACCTGTTTCACAGTGACCATAACTTTATAACTGACTCCTTTGACTCCATTCTTTTCAGCACATTGAGAATTCATAAGTGTGTGGACACCCACCTAAGCTTTATAAGTGACATTATTATTATTATTATTATTGCTGTGTTTTTTTACTCCATTCTTTTCAGCGCATTGAGAATTCATAAGTTTGTGGACATTTGCGCTTTATAAGTGACATTATTATTATTATTATTATTATTGCTGTGTTTATGTCCTTTTGACATGTTGACATGTCAACTTCACAATTCTTGTCACTCAGTCCAATAAATAAACAGATTTTTCTGTGAGTTTGTAAACTTACTGCACTGTGAGTTCCAGGTCTAAGATGAAATACAGTAATCATGGTAATACAACAATGATTGAAAATGGAACAGATATTTAATGAAAAACATTCATATATTATCATGCCCAAAACACGTGGATCACAGAAAAAACACAAAATAATCTTGTGCCTCATGCGTGTTAGCCTGATGTTTGTGTCCAGACATAAATGTCATGTTTGGTAGTATTTCATCCATATTTATAAAAAAAGAACTTCCAGTGTTTCTGGCACAAGCACAATGAACATGCATGTCACACACTTGATGATAACCACTCCATGTCTATCACAGTGTTTCTGGTACAAGCACAATGAACATGCATGTCACACACTTGATGATAACCACTCCATGTCTATCACAGTGTTTCTGGTACAAGCACAATGAACATGCATGTCACACACTTGATGATAACCACTCCATGTCTATCACAGTGTTTCTGGTACAAGCACAATGAACATGCATGTCACACTTGATGATAACCACTCCATGTCTATCACAGTGTTTCTGGTACAAGCACAATGAACATGCATGTCACACTTGATAATAACCACTCCATGTCTATCACAGTGTTTCTGGTACAAGCACAATGAACATGCATGTCACACACTTGATGATAACCACTCCATGTCTATCACAGTGTTTCTGGTACAAGCATAATGAACATGCATGTCACACACTTGATGATAACCACTCCATGTCTATCACAGTGTTTCTGGTACAAGCACAATGAACATGCATGTCACACACTTGATGATAACCACTCCATGTCTATCACAGTGTTTCTGGTACAAGCACAATGACAGTATGTAGAGTGCTAAAACATTTATGTACAATGTCAACAGAAAATAGTAACTCAGTTCATTCTGACCTGGCATGAGTTACCATGGTTACACACTGCAAAATGGTCACAGATATATGATTCCAGTAACCATGGTAACAAATCTTTAGCAGAATCCTAATCAACTACAATCTGCCTTCCATCTGATCTGCGGGTGTGGCCATTACCTGACTGCATGAGTGCTTCCTTTAGACTGCTTCTGACTACATGAGTGCTTCCTTCAGACTGCTTCTGACTGCACTAACAAGAACTAAACCAAACGTCACTAAGCTGCTCCTCCCCTACATGAACATCGCAGCATCATCTACACCGCGGTAGTTGTTCACTCGGCAAGCTCAACACGACAGATCAGTCAATTCAGATCAAGTCTCTGCTTGTAGTAATTGTAATTCCCCTTTTCAATTTTTAATAGCTCAATATACCTGTATCCAAGGGCAACAATGGTAAATCCAAGCAAACAGCCCACTTAAATCACTATTAAAATATTAACATTAAGTGTCAAGGCAGAGCTCAATCCGTGAACACACACAGACAAGACTAGTTACACCACGAGGATGTAATTCAGGTGACCTTCTGACCTCTCCACTGTAAGGTTAATTGAAAAGAAACTGGTACTCATCAAACCACTGACAAAATACCATAAGTCCAACAATAAACCTGTTCTCTGTCTCTGTTCAACAAAATAATCAAGATACAAATTGAGAATATACTTAAGACCTAAAAAAGACTACAACACAAATTCTGCTGCACATGTCAGCTGGCCAAAGATAAGACACTAGCTTGAACCGTTTGGTCAATTCAGAATCATAAGACTGTGAAGAAATCTCAACGAGCAGCGTAATCCATGAAATATAAGAGCTTCACTGATCACTCATAACCTTGTGTTCACCACAATGCCCCCTCACTACACTTGTAAGCACTAACAATAACTAGCTGTCACCCTAGCCTTGCTCCACTGTGACACACGCTTTGCATACACCACACACACAATTTTAATACGACCGAATAATATAATTTCAAATCAGAGCAACAAATTCTTCTGAAATATTTGTAGACGAGTATACACTAATAAAGCCTGTCTCCCTGACATCAACACAGAAGCTACGTAATATTAAGTTGAGCGGTTTGATAGGCATTCCTTAGAAGTTGACCGATTACAAAGTTGACCCCATTTATGGACTTCTTTATATACAGTTATGGTGACATTTCCGTATAGATCCTTATACCATTGTCAGGCAAGACTGTTGAATGAAAGTTGACTGTCGATATGTTCGTCCACACTGACACGTGTGTAGTGAGTCGCTAGGACACCTGGGGCAGTTACACATTCATTATCTATGCTAATGGTGGCTAGGATCACCTGGAGGTGTCTGACTGACATGTTTATGGTCAGGCTACAGAGAACACTGCCAGGAGAGATCCCTCGAGACTGATTGCACTGCAATATATAGTAGCACTGCATAGATAATTACAGCAATGACAGATTTGTTTGATAGGAATGTCACCATGCTTTGTTGCTGTTTCTTTCAGTAATTTGTGTGAACACTGCCATGGCAATAATGGATGATATCTAGAGTCAGCTGATCAAAACACTGCCATGGCAATAATGGTTGATATCTAGAGTCAGCTGAACAAAACACTGACATTCTTGGTTTTATATGCAGTCTTTCTAAACACATTCTGAGTTCCTGGACAGTTGTGTTCTAAATGAAATTGTGAAGATCAAATAATTTCCAGAATAAGAAATAACTGATCTGTGTGACTGGCATTATAGAAGTTGATGAATGACAAGAACGGTATGACTGAGCAAGTGTGCTACTTGCTTGACAACGGTATAAGGATCTATACCAAAACGTTGAATCGTAACGTAATAAAGAAGTTGTCATCCATAAAATATCACAGCTTTCTTAATAAATAACTGGTATGGACAATGTAACTTTTTACACATGTAAGCATCATCAACAAAAGTTGCAATAGGGGGAGTTTATTGATTATTAAAGTGGTTTTTTTATCACTTTATTTCTTTTTTGTGAGTACCATACATATTTCAACATATATTTCCCATACTTTCACATACACATATACTGTACACAAGTTATTGTGCTTATACATTGTATGCATTTTCATTCAAATATAGAAAATATGATATATAACTAAGTGAATTATGTGAAAATAGATAATGTGAAAAGGCTATGGCATGAGGACCAGAATGAGAGGAATTTGTCACATCTGTATCCGGGCGAAGAACAACCATTTACTAACATTGTATGCATCTTTTAAGGCTGCTTTTAGGCCATGTATATGCGGCCTTTGTTTTCGGCATTTGCAGGTACACAGGTAATTTTTGGTAACAATGAAAATTAAATTTAGCACATCATTTCTCTTCTATTTGTAACCAAATAAAATATGTGTTACTAACTGTTAGATTTGGTTTTAGACAGATGTCTGTTTCACATTCAATCCATTCCAACAAGCGATGCCACATACTTTTTACATGAACACAGTAAAATAAGACATGTTTTATAGTTTCATTTGTGCAAAATGTACATAGTGGTGAAGTTTGCAGTTAACGGATAAAAGCGCTTCAATTTGTTGTAAGTATTCTGTGGACTATACGATAATTGAAACCATCTTAATTTGTTACTGACTGTACTTCAAAATGGAGATAATATTGTTTCTAATACAGGGGTATTAAGGGTACTTTGAGACCTCTGTGTTTATTATCTTGTACAATTAAGTTTCGTTTTACTTTATCCGGTATTCCTCTCCAGATATATGAGAAGCATTTTTGTTGTAAATTATTTATCATTTACAACAGTATAAGGATCTATACCAAAACGTTGAATAATAATGTAATAAAGACGTTGTCATCCATAAAATATCACAGCTTTCTTAATAAATAACTGGTATGGACAATGTAACTTTTTACACATGTAAGCATCATCAACAAAAGTTGCAACAGGGGGAGTTTATCGATTATTAAAGTTACTCTGGATTACTAAATTTACAAATGGAGATCAGAAATGGAATAATTTCTTCAGTTGTAATGTATTAGATAATTTAAAAATGTATTTCTAGTTGATCATCAACCTATACCTTTCACCATGTCTACATTGTAGCATCCAGCTAGCATAATTAATTAGGAAGCTATGCTCTGGTAATTGGCTATAGTGCGTGAGTGAGTATGATTTTACGCCACTTTTAGCAATATTCCAGCAACATCAGGGTGGGGCCAATCAGAAATAATTGGTTATAACAATATACATTAAGGTACAATTTTAAGTTAAACATTCTCATAATGCCTTGTGACACTGGCCATGACAATGCTGTAAAATTGTACTAGATAAAAAGATATTCTTCAAAATGATACGGTGTAAATGACGCCATCCCTACCTCACCTGGCACTTCAGATTCAGGTAGGCAGGTAAATTGTGTTTCTTAATTTGCACATAAATGCATACAAATTCACAGAAAAATCTCTTCAGGCAAAATTCTTTTCGTTGCTGTTTTAAAAAGTGCTGATGCTATTAATGGATACTGTTTTATGACGTCAGTGGATATGGTATTGGTTCAGTTATGGATGGTTTGTCTTTGTTATGGGCCCATATTGAAAGGTCTGCTTCATGAGATAATGGGGCATGGTGGGCGAGCTGGCTAAGGAGCCAGGCTAGTGATCCAGAGGGCATGAGGTGCCGGGATTGAGCCCACCTGTGACCGGGTGTAAAACCTAGGAGTCAACTTTGTGTGCAGACTCAGTGTTTCAGTGTTGTCACAACTGCTAGTGTACAGTACACAACCCTGTACACTTCAAAGAACCCACGAATCCGTTGGTAGATGACCAGATGGTGGCCACATGAATACGTGCAAACACCTAGTTGTGGGTACAGTAACATGCAGTAAACTTGGACAAAGTACTGTGACTATGTGTCCCGATCCACCGATCTGTGAATGGGTACCTCGTTAGGATGGGAAAGACGCAATCACTCAGTGCACCTTGTGGCAGCAAGAGTTGTATGATCCCTAGGGAGTTGAGATTGATAATAAGATATGCCGTTGAGATTGACATCCAATGATAGAGGGGGAAAAATACCAGCGCCTTGAGCATGCACTAGTGCATGGATATGCGTGATATATAAATATCCAATAATAAATAAATAAATAACAGTTTGTCCTTCTTTATCTATTTTAACTATTTTAAGGTGCAGGACTTAACCTGGCATCACAAACATGGGGGAACCCCAATTATTTGTTCTAAGGGCCCTTACAGGCAATAAGAGGGTCCTCTGAAGTAAGAGTGTAGAGAACTGTACATTTTGATAATTTGTTTAGAGCTGGAATGAACCATTGACCATGTGGACTGATGGATGAAATGATGCATGTAACTGCTCTGAAAGAAACAACCAAACACTCAGCAAAGTCACAGATGTGTTGTGGGTACAATGAATAATATTGTGCATCCCTGTGGATGCAGTGAATTTGTTTTCAGTGTCCATTCTCTACATTTGTGCGTACTGGACGCACATTTGCGAGTCACGTATGTAGTGTATTGCTATAAGTAAGTCGTAACACCCAACACTACGTACATCATATCGGGATTACCCCATTTCTGATTATGTCATCTACACGTCATCTGCACAAGGATGATGACGTAATAAATGTATGAGTTAGCAATTTTAAACATGAAGGTTGTTTCCAACTCCGTCGTTGCGTCTTAGCGTAAGGAACACCCCCACACTAAGTACATTACAACGTAAAACCCTGAATGTGTACCAAGCCTGTTTTCACCCTAAAGTGTGTCAGATATTGACTGGTAATGACAGGTATTCTTATGACTTAATTCATTTATATTGATGATGCATGTGTTATATTAACATAAAGAGGAATGATTGAATATTTTGGGAATAAACTGTACACACATTATTGATCTTGTAATCAATGCCTCGCCATCAATAGATGCTTTAACTGAGGCTTTTGATCAATCGTAACTGATCATTGGCTCAATACTTGTATCAAATCAAATTCCTAAATAACGAGATGAACATTTGATGGTGAGATACTTCCAGTGACTTTGTATATGATCTCCAATGAAAGGAGATCCATATCTCACTTAATCACCTATAAATACTGAAAGTATTTCTCAATCATTTCTGACAATATTTTCTTCAAATCAAACGGATTGTTTTATTATCGGTATACAACTAGTTTTTAATTTTAAAAAGGGCCGTATTGATGCATCTTGGTGAATATATGAGTAGGTCGAATCGCGTGTCTCTACTTATTAAAGTTGTCATGTAACACTGGCAGCCACGAGCACACTAGCTGCTCTATGAGGGCGATCAGTGCTGGCATGACGATCTACAGATAACAGAATTACATTTCTTGAACAAACTGGCCAGTGACAGTACTTGCCTGGAGGCTGACTATCCCCGTCTTTCCTCATTGGAGCCGCCAGCCTCTTGATTAACAATATCCGTGGTCAGTCTATGGATGCCCGCCCTTGCAGTTCTCAATCACTTCTCACTGTACTTTGTTTACAACCCGGTCAGCCATGACAGATTCTAAGCCTCGTTCTGGAATAAGGGCACTCGAAGAGGCTCACCCCAGATGGCTTCATCATAAGATATCATATGGTGAGAAACTATCGTATGGCATCGGGTTCTGATGAATATCCATGAATTTAAATGCGCGTGATAGTTATAAAAACTATGCATATCGTTAGACAAAGGCGTTTTGCTTGATCTTATCTGGATTCCAATGTGCTCAGTGTTTCAAACTCCCTCTCTCGCATAATATTCAGAAGTAGATCTATGGGGTATCTGTCTTTATTAATAAAATTATATAGCGTATAAATCATATTACGCTTTTAAACAAATAATTTGTACTGCTTAAAGTTTAAATCATGTTTCTTTTTGAGTTAATATATGACTCAATAAAACATTTATCTGAATACGAATTATTACAATTTTTAACGAATGACTCCGTCATGTGCAATGTCGCACATAGTTTGCAGGTTGTCGGGGACTTGGTGTGTGATATCCCTTTATTATCCAAACGGTTAATTATAGGGTTTATACGAATCCACGTGAAGAACACATGGTTTTAACGAGTTATGCATTGTTTTGGTGTAATAGACATCCCTTTCAATAAACAGACATTGTGTTGACGTAATGCATTGTGATGTCACGGGTCATCATTGCTGACGTTGTACCTGTGGACTGTTTTCTTTTACAGCATAGTTTTCCTCTTGAAAATATCAGCTCAAACACCTCGTAAAATATGGAGATTATTAAATTCGTGTGTGAGGCGTGCTGAATGTACTGTATTGTTGCTTAGGAAACGTAAATCTAATCGAATCAAATGTTTCATCATTACTGTGGATTGAAACTTCTGATTGTCCAGCCAGAATTTAGCATTTTCCGAGTTCATGGGAGAATGACCAGAATTGTAATTTATCACGCCCTCCTTGATATCATTCGAACACGATATTTTGCGTAATGTGTACTAGCATTATGTAATATTTATGAAACACTTATTTATTAACAGGGGCTAAGGCTGACATGCGAGTTTTTTGGTGCAGATACGCACACGAAGATATTAATGCCATTTCTTTGTGTGTCGCACTGATTTTACGACACTTTCATCAGCATGTATCTTCAATAATGTACGGAATGTAACGTAACATATCTGGAAAGAGTTTCGTGGAAGTGCTTCTAGCGCACTCAGTTATATCATTTCTGTAGAGCACTATGATATAACGTGATTATATAACAGAGAACAGTAGGACACAAAAACACAAGAAGTTCATGGTATGAGTTTATTGGGACTCTGAATCTTGAGACATTGCTGTCAATACATTTGGCACTTGTTCATGAATATGTGAGTATTTAAATTTGACAAAGGAACGGGAAATACATTTTCATTACAACCGACTAAGCGGCTATAAACATTGCTACTACGAATAATTCTTGGGAAAGTCATGCAGAATAAAATACTGGATATTAGGTTTCACAATAGTCTCGTGTGCTGGGTGATTGTCGCTGGAGATGACCTAAGTACAAATGTACTTACAATGATATACACATGGTGCAAAGTGTTCTCATACCGTTCTAATACTGTGTCTCTAGAACAACAGCTCCTCAATAATTCAGCGTGTTATATCTCTAATAGAAATAAATAATGAATACAATGCATAAATATCAACATAACAGGTATCAGTGAGAGAATATTTTAGCCGAAGAACCAAATTTTCAGCCAATCGAGGCAGGTACTTGTAAAAAGATGATCGTTCTTAACTTTGAAATACGTGGATTTTAGACAGTAGTCTAGCAAAATGTCCTTTGGATGATATGGTTAATCTTCTGTGATAAACGCCACACAGGTAAACGGTAAATTCTGCCAGACGGACGGTAATTGACGGTGATAATGTTAATTATGTGTGACAAATGTTCTAAAGAAACGGATGCGGCTATGTGAGTGAGTGTGGTAGTCACGTGACAGTGACAGTTCATCCAATACAGTCGTACTGGGAATCGAACCCGGGTGGTTGATTTGAACAGCGAACGCTTTACCAATCTTCCTCTGTGTGACAAAAAGTGAATTTACGTAATATACGAATTAATGACATGTATGATTAAGCACTATTATAATGCACTCGTAAAATAACAATTATTTGAAAATATTATGAAGAGATATTCTCAGCTGTTTCTATTTCAAAACAACTGAAACATATATACAGAAAACATAATAAACACACATACCTAATTATATATACAAGTCAGTAAGTGACACGCGGCCTATACAAAGATAGACGGTTGAACAAGTAGGCCCCTGATTTCCTATTCGTAACCTTTCGTCTTTTCTGTTAAGTAAGGATAAACAAAATTTCAATAATATTCAACCAACGTGTATATGTTGATATTAAAACTATTGCTTATGTATACGTGTATGACGAACGGTATATCACATATATCTGCACAGTAAACATGTGTATACACACACGCCGCTAACAAACATGCAAATAATGTTTTACACGTGGGATATCTCGAAAGCTATATGATTGTGAAGGCACAGTTGGGTACGATTATGCACGATTTGTATAATATATAATCCTGAGGGTAAAAAATAACATCTTTTGAAGTAACATATTGGACAAGTGGTAAAATATGACTGAATAGTGTTAGGATCAGATGTACAAGCATGTGGCCAATTTACATTTATCTCTACATGAACAAATAAGGAAAATAATTCTCATCATATATTTGTGTAGACAGTTGTTGCGACCAATAATACATTGTGATCAGGGATTTTGGCAGATAATAAAGACCTTGTTCTTGACTCATTTGTGTAGGTGGAGATTCTCCGTAAGAATGATCACCATGTTTACTTTTGTTGAAGGCAGCTATCAGCGGCTCGGTGGTTTAGCTGGCAGCCAATTTAGTCTGCCGTGATATTGTTGGAAGGGGCCGTTAACCAACCAACACACAAACACATCTAGTTACAGGAAACGACAAAGTGTGTGATGCGTACGTAAAATGTTTCATTGCAGTCTTGTCGCAATCAATGAAGGCTCGATAGGAAAGTGGGGTGAGTGAGTATGGTTTTACGCCGGCGGGGTACACTAGAAATGGGCTTCACTCATTGTACCCATGTAGGGAATCGAACCCAGGTCTTCGACGTGACGAGCAAACGTTTCAACCACGAGGCTACCCCACCGCCCCTCGACAGGAAAGGATCATGTGACACACACGATATGAATTATGATTTTTTCCCCACCTACACAGCTCATGAAACTTGAGAAGCTACTCCAGGAGTTCAGGAGTTGGTGAGGTGGGTAACGGCTTAGGTTCAATGCTCCATTAGTAATAGATGTTAATTAAGTGAGTGGGTTGGGTTTTACGCCGCTTTTAGCGTATACAGTAGTGAATGAGTATACTTCAAGGTCGCTTTGAACACTTATAATATACGAGAGAGTTTGGTATAACTTTGAACATTATTTAAGTTGTCAGCATGTGAAAGTAGAAGTTTACCACTTGATGAAACCAACAAGATGCTGACAACACATGGATAAACTTTGGACTCTCTGGGCCCCTCACCAGCGGCATTAGGGCTTCAATAAGCAATGTACAGGGGTACAGGGGCACATTCACCACTCGGCCACTCCTGAGCTGGGTATATTCAATTCCGACATTTCTTTGTCCAATTTCCGATGCTTTGACAGATATCTGGATGTATTTTGGCAGATTGGGAACTAAAGGAAGCAATTGAACGATACCAAAGGCTCAAAACAACACATGACCTCCATACTTCAATTCTTGATTGAATCTGTCATCCCAGACCAAAACTTGGTAACCCGCCACGCCATATAACCCTGATTGTAAGCCTCGTTTTGACATTTAACAGCGCTTGGAATGACTCAATGACTACCTTTAGGACACTTCCTCACTACTTTGTCGTCGCCTTATAAAAATATAATATACCTGATTCAACTCTATATTGAGACAGACCTCCCCTAACATGTGTAACTCTACACACAAAGATTCATGGGAGAATAACCAACGAGCTACAGGGAAATGACGGATTATCTGTCCCTCGAGTTGACATTATTCTATATATCTGCCTTTGTCATCGTAGAAAGAAAATGAAGAAAAGCAGGAAACGTCAACTTTACAAAGCAACTTCACAGTCAGCTTTCTGTTCAGTAAAGATTTAATCAATCAGTTAGCTTTCATTTAGTTAGGTTCATTGTAGCGTGAAATTCAAAGAGTAACTATGGCCAAACTGCATGAACATTGTGGGTTGTGCTTTCACATTGAAAACAATATTATTGGATGTTATCAACAAAAGTGACACCACATAGTCTTGTTTTCAACAATGACGTAATATAACCTATCACTTCAAATTTTCAAGTCAATATTTGCTAATATTCCCCAGATCAGATTCATGGCAATTCATCGTGGCTAGTTGGTTATTCTGTAATTATTCATAACATAGGTAATACTTCATACACAGCTTCCATATAAATCACATACAGCTAGACTAGACTGGTATACTGTACATACAGCACTGGGCGTGTCAGTTCTACATATTGATCACGTTTGTAAATATCCAACTGTGTGTCGTATCTTTTACATGACACTATCGATAACAGGATTCCATCTCAACCTGAAACGCCTTTAAAGCAATATATCACATGTGAAAATAGCTACTAATATTTTGTCAGTGAAAAAGTACTGATTATACGAAACACACATTAGATTAACACATTTGGCACGAGGCAATACGGTAGATCAATAAGATGTTCGTTATTATGTTATATACTCATGGAAATAACTAAGGGATCATATTTAAAGAGAAGCATGAATTTTAGTGGGTACTTATTATTCAGTGAACATTTGAAACATTAACATTTTATCCAGTGCTACTGTTTAGTACATCGTATTTATCCTTTTCAGTTTATCCAAAACGAGCCAGACAGTTGTTGGGCCAAAACAGACTATTTTCATGGGACATACAACATTGACGGATGCTTTGTAGACTGTAAAACCTTGGGCCAGGTATGTTTATCAGAACTAATTATACAAATCTCCAGTCTCCTTCCAAGGTTTACTAGGATCGGAATATAGAACTTTGATTTGTGTGACTAGTTGATTTCTGACTGTGCTTACCGCTATATGCATTCGTGTTGTTTTACACAGATGATTCAGAGCTATAACACACTCCGTTATGGTACGTTCATTCATGTCTGTTGCGTTCCACATACAGAACTGGGAGCTACAACACACTCAAGTATGGTACGTTCATTCACCCCCATGAAATTAAAACATACCAGTGTTAAATAAGGCACTTTCATCCAGTTGGTACCATGTTGTTCCCTTCATCCTTAAGGCATGTTGCAAGTGATATCCACAGACGTCCAACGAACTTGCACTCTTGTCCACAAACGAAGAATACTAATCATAGGACACTGCACGCATGTGTCATAACTGACTACACTCCTACACATCAATATCATCGTCAGGGTCCCCGAAAACAAACGTGCCTGACGTGACCTTGACATTGTGTGAACTATCACTCCTTTCGTCTTTACTTGAGCCGTCAGACAGCTCAGCTAGCAGGTCATCGTCCGTGAATTTCAGCCCATCCTCCTCCTCTTCAGACTCACCCTCGTCATCACCCACACCGCTGATGTTGTAAGATCTTGACCGCCCCTCATCGCTGTCCGACTCTTCCTCAATGCCCGGCATCGGGTTGATGGAGTTGATGATGCTGCTGATAGAGGCCCTGGGCTTGTCCTCGTCCTCGGAGTCGCTTGAAGTGTCGCTGTGGGAGTCGTCGTCGTCGTCCCCGATAGTAAACACTGGCGCCGACAGCTTCTTGGGCTGGTCGGATGAGGTAGAGGGATGTGAGATGCGCTTCTGGGGAACAGGACTCTCTGTTGATGAACTGGACAACTCTACTGATGTATCTAACAGGGACGGATCCAGGGAGGATATGGAACTTGTATCCAGATTTATTCCAGCTTCTTTCTTTGGTTCGAAACCAGACACAACACTTGACCGATCCTCGTCGTCCTCCTGTTGCTTGAAGACTACAACACCATCTGGTGGATCAGGACTGTGTGTTTGATGAGTGATGTCCTTATCACTCCCCACTTCCTCCCTCCCCCTCCACCCCCATCATCTTCATCGTCTGACTTCTGAACGGGGTTACCAAAATCATAACGCCCAGAAACATCACTAGAAGCCGAGGACTCGCTAACACTGCCATCTTCTGAATCACCTTCTTTCAAACTGCTGGACGCTGGTCTATAATCAACATCACTTTCCTCCCCAGCATGGAATGAACTTGACACTAACGTCACACTTTCTGCGCATGGCTGGACCTTCTCATTGTTGGCATGACCTACACCAGCGGATGAAGGAAAAGGTTTATCAGATTCAGAACTGTCGCTTACATATTCCGGATGAGTATGAGAGACACCTTCATTTGTTACATCTGCTCCGTCAAACTCCCGAAACAATACAGACTCCGAGGGAGTTGGATCTGTCCCCGATGCCGTCTTCACATTAACCTCCACCCCTAACTGATCGTCCTCGTCTGATGAATCTATGCCCTTCCCTGACATTATGTCGGACGTCCCTTGGCTGCTTCCTTCAGTTAGGCCAGAGACTTGTCCTGGAGGCGCAACAGAATAACCTGTGTCATTTGGATCAACTAAGTCTTCATCATCCTTCATGAAAGATTCCTTCTCAGAATCATTCTTCGGCTGAGATGTCACTGAATCTATTTCATCCTTCACAACAGAATCCCTCTCGGAATCAGAAACACTTGGATATTGCTGTGCATCCTTGGTGTCAGATGTCATTGAATCCGTTTCCTCCTTTCCAGGAGAATCTGCACCCGATTCATCTTCACGTCCAGTGATACGCTCTTCAGTGTCTGAACCTCCCACCGGTGCGTCTCCCACTAGCAACCCCCCATCGCCAGATCGCCCCTCTTTCACTATTATATGTTCATACACACCATTTTGAGTATTTACTACGTCATCAGTCTCTCCATCTGTGTTTGTCCGTTCATGTCTGTCCTCTTCGGTAGTTACCACCGTAGATTCGGGAGAAACATACACATTTTCACATCTGAAGAACATTCCTCTCCTCCATATTGTCAACACTGTCACCATCCATAGCTCCTAGATTCTGGTTTTCAACCTGATTTTCCTCATTGTCGCTTAATCTGTTTAGTTTTTCGCGTGTATGGCCAGGTGTGTTGTCAGCTGCCTCAGACGCGTGTTCCTCCTCATCGTCGGCAAGTGAGCGACTCCAACAGCTACCTTTCGACATATTCAGTAAAGCAGTAAGCTTCTCTGCCTCCAAGGTCACCTCGCCTGGCGTTTTCGCCGATAGTGACCTACCTCTTACGGACATGCTAGCATCATAGGAAAGACGTCTAGATTTCGGCTCCTCGTTCGTGAATGCTCGTCTGTCTCTAGATCTTTCCATCAAAGCCGACAGAGACAGTTTCCTGAGTGGAAAATTGTTATTTAACCGTGAACCACCTGTACTAGAATCATCTGACTGAGAAGTATTAAACTCTGTCTTTTCAGCCGCAACATGTTCCTGTTCCTGTTCTTGTTCAACGGTAACAACAACATCCTGAGTCCTTCTGGACGTCTGACTTTTATCGCTGTGGGACGCAGAATCTGAGTCGCTGGAAGAATCCTCTTCCTTCCTGCTATCCTCAACCCCGTCGAATATATCCATGTGACTGAACAAATAGCTCTTCCGTTTCATCAACTCCCTGTCTTCAGCATCCTGGTCCACTGGCTGGTGCTCCAAGTCATCCAGTTCGCGGGACGTCACCCCATCATGGTCGTTTGTAAAGGCCACATTCTCATAATGAGGACCGGATTTTTTGTCCATCACCAAACTCACGCTTGACGTAGGCCGCGAAGCAGTCTGGAAGAAGTCTTCAGCATCGTCTCTGACAAGCGTAAGAGTGGACGTGGTCTTTGTAGCGTATTCGGGATTGTAGAACTTGCCGAACTCTCGGCCTATAATCATCCTCACGGGATATTTCTTCCTGTACCAGAGATACAAGCCCAACAGGACAACCAGACAGATGAACACGGGTACACCTACCCCGACGGCAATCTTCACTGTCCCACTGCCGTCGTCAACGTACGTCGTCACCGGCTTTTGGGTCGTCACCGGCGGCGTTGTGGTGATCTGTAACAGAAAGTTTCCGTGAGTGGATGGAGCTGGAAAGGGATCTGGAATGTCAAGTTGGAGACATTTTTGGTTTCTGGTTTTCTGAACTTAACAAATGGATGGGTTGGCGTGGCGTGGGTGAGGAGATGAGGCATGATAAGAACCTGTGATGGATTTCGAGAAGAGTTTGGAAAAAACTGTTCTGAAGTTTCTGGATTAAAACTGACGGCTTACATAAGCGTTTATAACAGGGTCGCGGTCTGGCGGGAACGTGCTGACTCATGGTGACCTCCCCAGGATTGTTTGTTTGTTTGTTGTGTAACGTCGCACTATTCAAGTTTTATGGCGGCGGTCCCTAGATAATCGAGTCTGGACCAGGCAATCCAGTGAACAACAACATGAGCATCGATCTACGCAATTGGGATACGATGACATGTGTCAACCAAGTCAGCGAGCCTGACAATCCGAACCCGTTAATCGCCTCTTACGACAAGCTGAAGACCAATTCTGACCCGGATCTTCACGGGTCAGCCTCCCAGGAGATGAATTATGATGATAAAAGATGAAGCGCACATGTATGCAGATTCAGGTTTATTCAGTGCTCATACACTTTAGTCCTACCTCTGTGTTTGTGTATTAAAGCCCCCAAATATAGGGCTCAGTAACTACTATTTATTTTTCTGAAATATCATATAGACCAGAAAGGTCATTCCAGGGTAAGACGAATCATGGAACTGAAATACCAGTCCTTCCTACACAACAGAGACGCTCACAGCTTGTTCACTGAAATTCACAAAGATGTACAGGCGGCATAGGATTGGTAACCTACTAAATATATAATAAATAAGATCAACAACATATCCTCCCCCCCTGCCCAGTGAATATTGAAAATTAAGTCATGAGTAATGTTATTTTAAACAGGCCCTAACCAACTCGATGCAATATCCAAGTATGTTTAAGATGTCTCTCATAAGTCGCTGAACGACTGGTGGTAACATATTTTATTTATACTGTATATGTATATGAAATGTTATCTTTTTATATGTACTACAGTGAGACTTTAATAAACCTGTCTGTCTGTCTATCCAAGCCATGCAATATCCACACAACTTCAATAATGTACCCGCCCTATACATTGAAATCTGATAACTGCACACACAAGTCTGCTGTTGCTATCATCAGGTGACATGCAGGCTGATGCAGCAACACGCCCATGTCTCCAGCTATCAGGTGACATGCAGCAACACGCCCATGTCTCCAGCTATCAGGTGACATGCAGCAACACGCCCATGTCTCCAGCTATCAGGTGACATGCAGCAACACGCCCATGTCTCCAGCTATCAGTGTGCACATGTCTCCAGCTAGCATAACACGCCCATGTCTCCAGCTATCAGGTGACATGCAGCAACACGCCCATGCAGCTATCGCCCATGTCTCCAGCTATCGGTCTCCAGCTATCGGGTGACATGCAGCAACACGCCCATGTCTCCAGCTATCGGGTGACATGCAGCAACACGCCCATGTCTCCAGCTATCGGGTGACATGCAGCAGCTATCAGGTGACATGCAGCAACACGCCCATGTCTCCAGCTATCAGGTGACATGCAGCAACACGCCCATGTCTCCAGCTATCAGGTGACATGCAGCAACACGCCCATGTCTCCAGCTATCGGGTGACATCCAGCTATCAGGTGCAACACGCCCATGTCTCATCAGGTGACAGCTATCAGGGTGACGCCCATGTCTCCAGCAACACGCCCATGTCTCCAGCTATCAGGTGACATGCAGCAACACGCCCATGTCTCCAGCTATCAGGTGACATGCAGCAACACGCCCATGTCTCCAGCTATCAGGGTGACATGCAGCAACACGCCCATGTCTCCAGCTATCAGGTGACATGCAGCAACACGCCCATGTCTCCAGCTATCAGGTGACATGGGTCAGTGGCATGACGGGGGGTCAGCTTTCATCTCACGGCGCAGTACAACTCTGCACGGCCATCTATCGGCTGTGTAATCTCTAGATATATACACGTGCGGGCTTCATCTGAACTGAATGGTCGTCTATGAAGTACTAGTACAACAGCGACGACGACGACGACAACGACGATGATGATAATTATTGTGATGATGATGAAATCGTGATTACAACAGTAGCTACGATAACCTAGCGTTTCTACTAACGATGTACTCCGCTACTTTAACTGGATCACGGCTAGTAGATATTCGACTTTGGACCAGACAAACCAGTGATTGACCTGAGGAACGATGTCGGGGTAGGATGCCACACCAACCAACCAAGTCACCACGCCAGACAAACAACCCATTGTATTGTGTGTATAGTATGAGAATTCACTCACTCACTCACTCATTTATTCATTCATTCCATTGTCATTCATTCATTCAATATATGCTCACAACGTGTGACATTAGTCATGTCACCAGCCTCGATTATCTATTTCATCTTCATTCTATTGCGATCAATCCCGAAAGACTTCATAATCGGTCGTTACACAAGCCTTATGTCAGAATGCACTGATCGTGGGTTCCAATCCCGTTTATCCGATTATCGACCCTGGCCTGTGAATCACATTGCCATCCTCGGGCGTTGGTAAACAACTTTGGTGCTTGTCTTTCACCTTTACGCGCAGTATTTCTTACGACGCGGCGTAAAACACATCTCACTCACATAATAAAACAATTTTACAGGTGTCGTATCTGCAGATTAACAGCCCAACCTATAAAACTATCTAAACTCCTTTCACACACCTATATGACTAACGCTGTCGTCGAGTTGCGTCTTTCTCACGATCTCTGGCTCAAGTTACTCACGGTCCGCATACGCTGATCGGACAGGACAAGTTAATACGTCCTAATTAAACAAAACGGGCTGGCTCATCAGCTATGGCTCGTATCGATTCCCTAACTATTTAAACCCACTCCAGGCATCTGAACATGTCACTCTGTCAACAAGGATACAATAGCGTTATGGTCAAACTCAAGAATGTCCAACGTCGTACAAACGTTCATATCCATGTACAAACATTATGTTTGTGAAACAATAGGAGGACATATTTGCGGATTTGTTGTTAACATGGTTAAGACTCTCTATTTTCAATAAACATTGAACTTCAAAGGTAAAATCAATTGCCGGGTTATTGCACGTCGTCCGTGATCTGAGTTAGGTCACGTGGTTTGAATACAGTGCATTATACGTAATTGAGGTCACGAGGATGCGGATTCCCCCTATTGTGTGTTAATGTACAGCACGGGTCGCGTGCATACCAGGAGCAGTTCAACTGAACACGTGACTGAATAACAAATTGTCAAAACAACGGGAACGAGGAAAGTTTACACAATTACGAGTATTTGGTTGGAATTTATAGGAAGCTTGTGACCTCTTTACGTCCTCGTTAATGAGAAGGAATATATACAATACACTACAGCAATCTCGGTTGGCTGTACTCTTAAAGGGGGACTACGACTTGCCAAACTGGCAGTCCTAGCAAATTTGATTTACTGTTAAAGTACCCATAATCACAACGTTCAAAAAGCCACTACTAACCAGCCTGTAACGTTTTCAAACTACTACTACTTTGCTGCTGCTGGTTGCTGCCGAAGACCCGGGTTCTACTACTACTACTACTACTACTACTACTACTACTACTTGGTTGACACATCCCAGTTCCACTGTCGGAAGTCAGGGTTAAAGTATGGGATTTACGATCAGGGCTAGATTAACGATAGCTTCAAATCTTTCTTCCAACACTGAAAAGGGAACTGCGCTCAACATTTATTGCACGTTTCTGGTCTCGATGTTGGAAACACTGACTTCCGTGACTGAATCGGTTTGGTGTAGCAGCGCTGTCAACAGTAATAGTACGTACTTCTAGTTATACCATAAAGTGTCAGCTGAAGGTGCGAGGAAAGCCCACGGTTTTGAAGGTTATGACAAAACCCCATGATGCTGCTGACAAACCTCGAAACGTAAGCAGCGCGTATGAAGGATTCGAACCCACGATCGTCCTTTCGGATATTGCGGAAGGCAGGCGCGTAGCAAGTCAATTTTTTCGTGTAAGCACGATAGGTTGCAAAGCTTTATATTTAGATAGATTGAGGGCTTGCCCAGCATTTTTAGCAACAATCACGTGTAAGCCCGGGCTTTTTTTATGGTATCTACGCCCCTTGAAGGGACGCAAACCTTCAGAGCCAATTGTCTAGTCTAAGGTGTCTCAACCAGCGTTCATGTTTGTTTGATACTGAGATACTGTCTCTACGTAAAAACCTGAGTTAACAGACAAAAAATGTATCATGGAATGGTTGACTCAAACCAGCTGGGGCTGTCATTTATGTCAAGATTATAGCCCTCCTTTTAAAGCCAGATCTGCCCGTGTGTGCGGAAGCGGTATAACGGTGCGGTGTGCTGACATGTGAAGTGGTAATATAAGCTCTACTGGCTGTACTCATACTGTAGAGGGAGTTAATTAATTGTGTTATAACACAATACATCTCCCTGCTAACTTCTCATAACGAACACTGGCAAGCGACGTGTTAATATAGGATTAAACACACAAACATTCCACGTGTTATTCTCACATGTGCCGGTATATGGTCTCTGTTATTCCTAATAGATGTTCATCGACAATATAACTCGACTTTACCAAATAAGAGAGTTAATAGCATATAATATACACCCAGGCAAAATAACCGTGATCTATTGAGCTTAGAGCTGGTATTTGGTATGGTGATATGAAGCATCTGTTTCTACAGATCAGATCAGTCGTGTGATTGTTAATTCAATGAAACGCTTGTCAGGAAGACCATGCAGATATGAGGTTAACAATGAAAGTGACGTTCAAACTGAGGCACGTCTGAAAATAACACTAATCAAAATATGTGTTGAATTCGCAGTTTACAAAATAAAATAAATCTCTAGAAAGGTTTATCCATGTTTTCGCTGTCTAGCCAAATTATTCAAATAAAAATTAAAAAATCTTCAAGTAAATACGGATTTTCTAGCCTTAAAGGAACGTGATCAGTCACTTTTGTCTATTATATCTGTATGTGTTGTGACATATTGTGGGTAACCTGGAATTTGAATATTATCAATAAAAATTCAGCATTTTCTTTTACATCCTGGAAACTACACGAGAATATGACCAAACATATCCCGATTGAAGTTCCTGTTACCTCTAGAAAAGTCATTCTTGTGAAGGCAGTAATTCTAATGGAGCTGAACACGACTCAACGTGGTGTTAATAAAGGCTGGCTTTCAATGTCGCGTGTTGTACTGAGGTATTGGCAGGTTGTTCCGTGTGAGTGTACAGGTGTTGTCTATAAGAATTAACATCCCCCGGTTTCCACTTGGTCAAATACAACCCTCTACCTGCTGGCGCCGCGTCAAACCCCCAAAAGACACAAAAACTCCGATAATAGGGTCACGAACAATGAAAGCTTCAGATGCTCAACGTAAAGACATAATACATGGCTTCGTACTTGCAGTCCTTGAGAACAATGACATGTCTATACTGAAATATTACGTCGATATCACGCTAAAGGTTTTAAAAATGATTGATTATATGTACATAAAACTCCATCATTCACTCCCCACCCTTCCCCCATCACCCCTTTAAATTAAAATAATTTATCCCCATGGATAATATTACAAGGAAAATCAACAGAAAACAAGGTATACTATTACATGATGTTATCTAAACAGAGGTCGTTGTGCAATACCAACACCAAAATGCCTCTACATTGATATAATCTCTTAGAAATATGTGTACTAGGTTTACGTACGATGTGCCTTGATTGCCCTATGGTAAATGAATGAATGGATGAATGGATAAGCAAACAAACAAACAAACAAACAAACAAAAAAACAAATAAATAAATAAATAAATAAATAAATAAATAAATAAATAAATAAATAAATAAATAAATCCGCCCCCAATCCCTGACGATTATATGGGGCGGAGATTTATACTGCTCTATATCCAGTTCTTCAATACTTTTGTAAAGAAATTCAGGGATAATATTAAACATGCCAGCATATGTAATACTGTCTACTATTGCATTAATATAACGATCCAGGACGACCCTACACTGCCTGTAGTATGTAGTTATCACTAATATCAGTGAGTGTAAATGCTATTAAAATACATGACAGCTTCAGTGATTTATTGATAGGCATCAGCTGTCAGCGCCTGAACGTATTTACAAGAGAGGGGATGTATAAACCATTATACCCTGGGGGATACAAACGTCGTATATCATGCTGATCGCATATCCAAGTGACAAAATGTTTGTCTGGAGGAGGGTTCCATATTTATGTGTCACAGTAATGTGCGCCTTTAAACAATGCTCAGGTCAATGTATCTTGTCATGCATATACATGTGTATAAACATATATGGTTACTGGTGAAATACTGTATTGCTCCAGAAAGTTAACATCGATAACATGCAATAAAATAATCCCGTCTAACAGAAATAATTAAAACGTACGTCAATATAACTGTTTTTCAGACTATTCGTGATATAATCAGGTTTTCATTTCAATCCTTGTGGTAAGACTACCTATCAAGAAAATACCAAGTTGAAATTGGTGTATATTCACCTTGGGGGCAAATGATGTCAGGAATGAAATACATCTCCCTATAGTTTCACTTATAATCGATGGCCAACTTCCATCATCTATCATCACATATCTGTCATGTCTAAACATACCAAAATACCTCGTGTATACAAGTATAGAAAAGAAGGCATTGTAATCATAGTGTTCACAGTGGGATTTACAAGACAACAGAGGTTGATATTCAGACAGTTTCCGCCCACCCCTCCACGCACGCACTCGCACATACACACGTGCGTCTGTGTTTCTGTGGCTGTGTGCGAGCGTGCGTGTCTGTGATATTGTATAATGACGTGAACTGAAAGCACTACAACTAATGTATAGTTTTATTGTTTTACTTACCGGAGGTAGATTGGGGGTTCTGGAGCGCCTGTGCTCGTCATCTAAGAGGATCGGGAGAGAGCCCATCTGATACTGTATGTAGAAGCCTTGATGAGCGGTGGAGTTCCTCGCTGGACCATGGTACTCTATCTCCACTACATTTGTTTGACTGGTGACATTTCGAGGTGCCTCTCCACCAACTAACCGTACAATCAGTCTCCTCTCGCGCCCTGTGTCTGTCACTTCTAGCGTGCTACCGGCGGGCAGGTCGAAGTATAGAAATGAAAGGTGAATGATCCGACCGACCTCAACAACGACCTGCCAACTGCAGCTCACGGCGGCGTTGATAACACTTGTGGCGTAACCCGGGTTCACTACAGCGCCACTCAATTGTGTTAGAACCATCCGCTTAGAACAATCAGGAATTACACATTGTATAGAAGATCTGTTCCAGGCTGGCACTTCTCTGTTATCAAGAATGCATTTGATCGTATCTCCTCCTTTAACGACGTATGGAGAATCACAGAAAAATGTTAAAGTTGAATTTACTTTTAAATCTAAATACTGCGTGTTCCCGTTTGGTATAGTTGGCAGTTTACACGTGTCCAAACACAAAGGGGCGGGGTCGGACCACGTTGGTTGGCCCGACTCGCCCAACACACATACAGTCACACGAGCCCCGTCAAGTCTAAAACCAGGGCTGCAGCTGTAGGAGATGAACGACCCCACTGTACTATTGCCAACAACGGATGCATTTAAGGGAGTGTCGGGGATGTCGCGAGATGGGCAGCTGTCTCCGGGGATAACAGCGCTGTACAGTATGTCAAAGCCGAGGACGTTCGGCCCTTGTCTTTTTGTGCCGATGTTTGGAGCAGATGAAAACCTCAGCCAGAGTTCGTGTTGTTGTGACTGGTAAACATCATCGGTCTCCGTGTAAACAACAGGAGTCGCGTTAGGGAAAGAAGGGTTTTCTTCATATATTAGAAGTTCCTCCTCAAACAGCCTTCCTGAGTTCGTTTCTTGCGTGGAGTAGTGTTTAATGGCTATCGTTAGGCCGCTGACGTTTACATAATTACCTACAGTAATGTGCCACTGGCATGTTACCCCGCCAGGGTAGGGGTGGGGGTAGTTTGGGGAGCGGATCACCCCCCGGGTGGTCGTGAGGGTGTAATTACAAGATGGAGTGACGTCAGATGTATGAATATATACGGCGGACTGAATCAGAACAGTTAACACGAACACAGCTCCGTGACCCGCTGAGGTCATGGTGACGTCATGTAATCAGCTGATTTGTCAGGGAAGTAGGTTCACAGGTGAAGCAGGTGATTGATTACAGGTAGCGTTGAGCTGACACCCCTAGCTGTCCAGGTGGACACTGTACAAGGGTGGTCAGTGGCTTTGTACTGGACTTCAGATATCATTGTTCCATCTACCCTTCCATCTATATCTGGAACGAAATATAAGAACGATTTGCATTGGCTGATGTACCCATCCATCCACCCCCAAACCATCCACCCGTCTAGGTATCTACGGCATTTAAACCGTTAACATGGTATAACACGTTTCACAATGTATATTAACCCAAGCTATTGAGAATCGCCTGATCCCATTCGCCCTTTTCAAATCATGCGAGTTTTCTGCATAATAACAAATATTTAATCTCCATTTCAGAGTAATCCTAAATATTATATTAAACACGCTTACATATCTTTACCGATCTTAAAATCTGAGGAATGATTATTAGATGGCATTAAGTGAATATAGCAGAAAATGAACGTGCCTGAAACACTGTATAAGTAACAACCAGGTGTCAGCTGATATCAACCAGGACTTAAATACTTTACGTCTAATAAAATATCTTTCACCAGGAAGTCAAATTACAAATTCGTGATAAGGAATGAAAGAGCAATCGAGGTTTTCTAAACATACACAAACATCCAGCATGAAACATGTACTGGTTACATCACTGCATGATACTGATACTCCTGCATGGGCGTAAACATGTCACCATGCATGCACAGATATCCATATACTGCTCAACTTTTATTAGGGGATATCGTATTTGCTCATGCTGGGTCTGAATATGACTGATTGCTTGGAGACGATGTCACGAATTGTTTTGATATAGCCATGGAGATGAAATCAGTTTATTGTAAACAGAAATATTTGTCTATTAGTCCTCTGTTTTATAATATGAGGAAATAATTTAGAAAATCTATTATATTGCACTGTGCGAGGTATTGATTTGTACATACTTCTAACGGAAGTATATACTACCGTGCATCTACTGGTTCGTTCAGAGGAACGTCAGCTGTGAGGTCAAGGCTATTGTAGCTGAATTAGTGACCTGTGTCGAATGCTGATAATGCAAACAATATCAGTCAGGTTTATATTTATATACAATCATGACTTTATTCAGTGGAATCATGGCTGCCCCTCCCCCTTTAATCTCTCTCAGTTTCATTCCGTCACGGTGTTGACATCACGCTGATAATGGGCACGCTGGGTCATCTGTAACATTGTTTAACAATGCTGACTGCGATAATGAAACAATATGTCACACGGATTGGGATAATACTTACATGTTATCTCGGCTTTAGTATCACAAACCTGTGTTGGGGAGATAAATAGGCGTTTGATAGAGTACGGCTGTAAGTCACGACACGGCGGGGAATAATAGACTCTGATCATACATGTATTGGTAATTCCCCTGATATATATTGATCGCATGCAGCAAGGAATGTACAGGTACCGAATGCATAATCAATAAGCGTTTTACTTCCAAGCCTCAATCAAATGTCATTGGTAAATCTATCTCTGTCGTCCATATATCGCGGACTGTGACAGAAGACAAAAGTAACGACAGGTACAATACAGATGATTATGTATGAACTATCTCACAGCTAGACGGGCCTCGTTGACATGTCTTATGTGTCTCAGTGTCAACGCCTACATACAGAGACAAAGGTTACTCACAGTTCGTTAGTACTGGTTTAAGAATGCACAAACATACAACCTGAAAATACTACATACTGTGTATACAAAGAAAATCCTGGTTTGATATTACATGAATGCGTTTAACTACAATTAGATATACAAGTCTGTTGGAAATATTCGATCGTTATGTATAATGAGTGGTTAAATATTTATTTGCACCTATGCGACCGGGTAAAAATAGATATCGATCAGCAATTGATTTACTAATACAGAATATTCCTACACGCAATGTTAAATCACAAGAATTTACACATTTTATAAAGCAAAGCGTATGAACATTATCTCATTTAAGTTTGACCAACGTGAAAATGTACAAAATAAAAGGGGGCGTTTCCTGGGCACTTGACCCTTTCATCGTTACCCTTTTAATATATGAAATGATTGGTGAAACAGGGAAAATAACACTTATGTCTGTCAGGGACGCTATAATCGATAAGGATGAAAAGATCACCGTAAAATCATGTACTCACTTTTGATATGCTCGGGTTGTCCAGGTGAGGAGCATTGCTTCAAGTCGCTCAGTCGAGGGGGGTGTTTCCCCAGTGGTCACGTGGGCGGAAGAGATTCCCGATGACGTCATAACCAGCGCCATTTTTGAAAAGGTAAACATTGTCATGTTCTCGCCGCCAAATGTTTACAATCTCTCTTTTATTGTTTATCCAATTTCAAAAAAAAGGATTGTGTTATAACTGAACTATACATTCGTCTCACTAGCCTTTTGAATTACAAAACGACCTTCGTTCGCCCGTGAACAGTGTAAATGAGAAGGATATACTCGTCAAAACGGACCGGTGCAGAAAGAGAGTCAAGATAGTTGGTTGACACGGTTCTCGTCACCAAAACTTTCGCTGGCTGCTGTCACACTGTTCAAGTGTTCAACGGTGACGAAATCGTCTAGAATGCACTCGCTGCTCCCTTTACGATCCTTAGGGTTAGGGTATGCCACCCTTTACGATCCTTAGGGTTAGGGTTTACGGTTAGGCACCCTTTACGATCCTTAGGGTTAGGCACGCTATACGATCCTTTGGGTTAGGCTTAGGGAACCCCAGCAGCGCTAATTAATCTGAAAAAGTGCGCCCGGTAAAGTGCAGTACTCCCACGAAATCACTGACTTACTCTCAGGTGATCATGCTATTTCAAGACAATATCAGATCATCACATACTGACATAGCATTCCTAGCTTGTAACTTGGTCTCTGCCTCTGGTACGATATAGTGCTAGGACCTCTCCGTAGAACGAGACCCATATTCAGTACTGTGCGTCATGCATGTATTGATTAAAATGTCATCGACACTATTGTAAACAAAACCTCGATCGCAAATGATAAAAGAATGTACCAACTATGAGTTGTTACCACATGACATTGATTAGGGACTCATTCTGTGAATGTTCCAGTTATGTTGTTGCAATGAGCATTGCACCTGTGGTGATTCTGGGTTTGGAATGATCTACTGCAACAAATGTGGTGGTCGTAAGTGATGACTTTCTACAAAGATGTGTGTGAAAAACGTCTCGCGATATCAATCAAACTCGATAATTTTCCTGCTAAGATATTAATGGATTATTGCTGAGTATAGCAAAATACCAAAACTACCTTTGACTATCACAAGATCATGACTTATCAGTTTTCATTTAAAATGGGGGATAGCATTACAGATTCTTAAAAATAAGTCACTTATTTGACATACAGTTCCTGCAAAAGACAAACAAAAAGGACAACTGACTGTAACTGGTATCTGATGACCAGAGTGATCCACTGGAATCAGCTGGTTGTGACACATTATACTTAGCATACATGTGTTTTGTTCAGTTTCAGAATTAAGAATGGAGGCAACCAGTGTGTTTTGTCAGCTCCGGAACCTTGCCAGGCGCCTTGACCAGGGTGTGGTTGACATACAGAAGAAAGTGACTGATCCAGGAAAACATTCGGACAGAGACAGTAGCTACGCACATGCATACAAGCATCTTCAGGATGTGAAGAAGGATGTCCATGCTCTGAAGGTGAATTCAAGAAGCAGTTGCTCTGTACCTAGTGTAGCCGTGTGATATTTCACGCCCTGCTACACTAGTATTATTCTTTTTGCCGTTATCCATCTTTTAAGCAGCCCAGAAAATGAGTGCAAATTTCAACAGAGCTAAGAAAGGCAGTCTCACCTTGAAATTTTTTCAAAAGAGGCCATGGCTAACACTGAACTGTCATTAACATAATTAACTCTATTGTATGTTAAAAGCATATATTGTTCTGGAATTTCACGAGAACATCCCATAGCAAAAGATTGTCTTTAACTTGATAGGTAAATAACATTGAAATGCTTGTGACTGGACTTGAATATTTTAATGGTGTAAGGGACCGTTCATAAATTATGGTTGTGTGTGTGTGTGTGTGATGATTTTGTCACCCATTTTGTTGGGGTGTTCAGCAATTTTGTACACATGTTCTAAGGGAGGGTCAGCAATTTTGTACATATAAAAATGTTTAATATTATGCTTAGAAATTATGGGAAGGGGAGGCGGGGTCATTGATTTTGTACATGACATGCAGGGGGGTCACTTATTTTGCACATAAATTTTAGGGGGTGTCATTCACATTGTACATGCTTCTCCATAAAAATCATCATCACACACCCCACCCTCCACCCCCCCCCCCTAGCCATAAATTATGAACGGTCCCTAATAGACAAATGCAGCTGTGTTGATGATGAAATATGGTCAGAATGTAACATGTTTCTTGACAAGTATTATCGTGATTACCTTATGTAACTGTAGGTAAGCCAATGTCCTAACATTACCCTTCAGTATCAAAATGGCTTGTTCGGTACATAAGCCGAATCACCAACCTTTGTTCATCTTCTCGTCGTGATCAGTCTTTGGAAATAGTGTCAACAAATCCATATTGAATTTCATAAATCATTTTATTACCCACGTGGTCAACGTATGGGTAGTTGCATACTAATCTCGTACATCACACGAGTGTCGTATCACGTTGACCTGTGTCGTAACGACTTGACCTGAGATTTTAACGATTTGATTTGATAACCGATGACCTCTCAATTAGGTCACATTCTGACGTAACTATTTTTTCATTCATAACAAACACATGAATTCATTCATTCTACAACTTAAATGCATTGTGGGAATGTAAACATTGCGAACGTTGCCGTGCTGCTGTTTAATTGTGAGTCGAACTGAGACATTATATCTGTCGAAAAACATAAACACAATGTTTCCACCAGTGATGTTAGCCGAATGAAGCAACTGCAAACCAAGAAATGGGGTGCTACGGAGTAGTTTACTGTAGGAGGCTGTACGAGGCGATGACAACTGACATGCATCGTGACGTTGGTTACCAAGGCAGTGACGTCATTACAGTTTGACCTAATGCAAATATTGTACTACAGTTCAAAACTCTTCCGCAACCTCTTTATGAAACCGGTTTCGGTTTGAAACCAAAAAATAACAAAAATACGCTATTTTGTCAATTTAATGCATGTAAGAAGTGGGTAATAAATAAAATACCACACTCGGTCTCATTACATACGAATTATAATGACTTCGTGACCTTCCTATGTTATCTGACCTCGCTTTCGCTCGGTCAGATACCACAGGAAGGACACTCGTTTCATATAATTCGTATGTAATGAGACCTCGTGTAGTATTCTCTATAAGTATACCTGTTGTGACACTATCTCATAATAAAACATGTTACTTGCATATCTGTAGTGTTCATAGTTCAGTTTATTAATTTTACTAAAAAAGTCATTCAGTAGAGGGTAATGTCCGAGTAACTCTCCATTCCTTAAAAATAATGGAGCCGAGGCCCCAGAGGGGCCGAGGCACATTATTTTTAAGGAATGGAGAGTTACGAGGATATTACCCTACTTAAATTACATTCGAAGTATTGGGAATATTTCTGTTATCAAAATTAAATGTCAAAATGACAAAATGAAGGTTTTATTTTGAAACTGGTACACATCGCTCCATTCCTGAAAAGTAATGGAGCGAACAGACAATGGAATGACGTCACAAATGTAATTTAAGTAATGTTTATGTTAATGGCTGTGAAATCGTGTGTGATTATCAGGAAGAGGCCCAGGATAAGCTGGCTAGTCAGCAGATCAGTACATACAGGCTGCAGCAGGTGCTGGACCTCCTTCCTCGGCTCATTGAATCACAGAGGCGCACTCTCACAGGAACTGAGGACTACCTGGAACAGTACGGCTATGTGAAGCAAGGTGACCTCATCTCTCAGCACTTTGTCAGCCACATATAAGTCTCCTGACATAAACTTGTAAACCAAATACATGGGCTGTCATTTTACTTTTTACACCTTCGAGATCTGAATGTTTGTGGTTAACTGCCACAGTCAGTATAGAAATGGATGGAGTCCCTGTGTATTCTGAGTACTAGAACTATGTAGCCTATGGCGGTCCAATTGGGCAAAGTTAATCTAGGTTTTCCATATCTTTTTTCCACATCTCACCATCTGACATATTCTAAGATTGCCCACACCTTACTTTGCCCACACCTTACTTCACCCTCACCTTACTTTGCCCACATCTTACTTCACCCTCACCTTACTTTCCCCACACCTTACTTTGGCCACACTTTACTGTGCCCTCACCTTACTTCACCCTCACCTTACTTTGCCCACACCTTACTTCACCCTCACCTTACTTTGCCCTCACCTCACTTCACCCTCACCTTACTTTGCCCACACCTTACTTCACCCTCACCGTACTTCAACCTCACCTTACTTTGCCCACACCTTACTTGCCCTCACCTCACTTCACCCACACTTTACTTCACCCTCACCTTACTTTGCCCTCACCTTACTTCACCCTCACCTTACTTTCCCCACATCTTACTTCACCCTCACCTAACTTTCCCCACACCTTACTGTGCCCTCACCTTACTTCACCCACACCTTACTTCACCCTCACCTTACCTTGCCCACACCTTACTTTACCCACACCTTACTTTGCCCTCACCTTACTTCACCCCCACCTTACTTTGCCCACATCTTACTTCACCCTCACCTTACTTTCCCCACACCTTACTTTGGCCACACCTTACTTTGGCCACACCTTACTTTGCCCTCACCTTACTTCACCCTCACCTTACTTTGCCCACAACTTACTTCACCCTCACCTTACTTTGCCCACATCTTACTTCACCCACACCTTACTTTGGCCACACCTTACTTTGCCCTCACCTTACTTCACCCTCACCTTACTTCACCCTCACCTTACTTCACCCACACCTTACTTCACCCACACCTTACTTCACCCTCACTTGACTTCACCCTCACCTTACTTCACCCACACCACTTCCCCCTCACCTCAGTATCGTTGATATGATGGAAGCAGTACAGCCCCCATATCCCAACAACAACAGCCACAACAGCTCAAGTTTAACATTATTTGTTTAACATTATTTGTATTCTTTCTGCTCATGATTGTCCAAAAGTCTTGTATATTTTTCTCCAAACATTTATGATGTAATCTTTGTTATTATGAAAACAATGACTTCACTTCTTGGCTAACATTTTCAGTTAAGAAGACAATACCAACAGACGCGGTTTTGAAACCAGAAGTGACGACAGTCGTTGTCCATGACAACAGTGATGGAGAAGGTGATGACAGCAACAAGGAAGAACCTGAAACTGTCAATGATGAAGCCACGCATGAGACTGCGTATCCTTTTTGTGAGAGCTTGCAGATTGTTGTATGTGTTAAATGACTTTGTCCAATCTTTACCATGTTCCTATGTTTGGATTCAAGTATCCCTATTACCCCTCAACCGACGTCGATGTGCGGTGTAGTCAAGTGAGGATGCTGTAAGTCTACACACTAGATAGCAGCTGGGTTCACACTATGTTGAATGCAGGCTTGTTATCATGGTAGTGACTGCCAATTATTGTTGATCTCCTGATAGCAAATTATGAACAAAACAAATCCTACTTGCTTATCCTGGGCTGAAACAGGAAACTTACTGTAATCAAATAACCATCACCCTGTGCTGCAAAGCTGTTTAGAGCTAGCATGATCATAACTTGCATACTGTCACATAGTCATAACACTAAGATGGTTTTGTGGACTCTGCTCTCAAGTGACTTGTTTGGTTGTATGTACATGATGTGGTATATCACTTGTTCTTCTGACTGGATGAATTACAGGTCACGGTTCCGTGGCACATAGCAACACTCACTCACTCATTCACTCATGACCCTGCATTCAACTGCCTTTGATGACAAGTATGAAGGGCTGAAACCTTTCCAGCCTCTGTAAGAGCCCAATAGAGTTGTCTCCCTTCCTACAGTCAAGCCTTGTAGAGGAGACACCAAAATGATAATGTCAGTGTTAATCATATCAAGTGTGTTGACCACAAACTCCAGTAACTTTGTGTTTGTAGTCACTAGGGCTGCAACGATTCACCCAGACCTTGATTCGATTTGATTTTCAATATTGGACCCTCAGTACGATCATTTTCAATTCGATTCTTCATGCAAGTAAAAACATCAGATTTCATTTAACTCCCAGAGTCGGCTTTTTTAGTGTGAAATCCATCGTCAACTTGGTGATGTTTACTAACAACAATTCTCATTGGATAATTAGCCCGGCTTCAACCAATCACATTTTGCCTTATTTCAGTGCTCGAAACTGCTCAAGTTGGAGAAAAAAATATGTTCTCGCTGTGTGGAAACAATTTAAACAGATATTCACATATCGAATCAAAATAGTGATAATGGTTATTTGAAAATCGAAACTAAGGTGTCAGATTCGATTATCTTACAGTCAGTGCTACTTATTTGTGTGCGAACAGGTAGTCAGTCCTATCTACTGGATGTGAAAGGTTATGCTGACTCTAGAAGTCAGTACTACTTTTGAAAGTGCAAATAAAGAAACAACAGTTCTACGCATGAAAGTGAAAACATATCCTCTGTCTGGAAGTGCAATCTTGTCAGTCCAACTTTTGGTAGTGAAATCTTATAAACAGTACTACTTATGGAAGTGCACTTCTACAGTCACAATGTAGGTAGTTGCTCTCCTTAACCAGACCCTGTACCCCACCTACACGGACGAAGCCAAGTGAATGTAAGACTCCACGCCTGGAGGACTTCGGACTCAGTGACTTCACACTCAATATTCTACAGAAAGGCAGGAGCTATGCCCCCACACAGCATGTCCCACAACCCAGGTGAGCTATGCCCCCACACAGCATGTCTCACAGCCCAGATGAGCTATGCCCCCAAACAGCATGTCCCACAGCCCAGGTGAGCTATGCCCCCACACAGCATGTCCCACAGCCTAGGTAAGCTACGCCCCCAAACAGCATGTCCCACAGCCCAGGTGAGCTATTGCCCCCACACAGCATGTCCCACAGCCTAGGTAAGCTATGCCCCCACACAGCATGTCCCACAGCCTACGTGAGCTATGCCCCCAAACAGCATGTCCCACAGCCCAGGTGAGCTATGCCCCCAAACAGCATGTCCCACAGCCCAGGTGAGCTATTGCCCCCACACAGCATGTCCCACAGCCCAGATGAGCTATTGCCCCCACAAAGCATGTCCCACAGCCAAGGTGAGCTATTGCCCCCACAAAGCATGTCCCACAGCCTAGGTGAGCTATGCCCCAACTTGGCATGTCCCACAGCCAAGGTGAGCTATTGCCCCCACACAGCATGTCCCACAGCCTAGGTGAGCTATGTCCCAACACATCATGTCCCACAGCCCAGGTGAGCTATTGCCCCCACACAGCATCTCCCACAGCCTAGGTGAGCTATGTCCCAACACATCATGTCCCACAGCCCAGGTGAGCTACACCCCCAAACAGCATGTCCCACAGCCCAGGTGAGCTATGCCCCCAAACATCATGTCCCACAGCCCAGGTGAGCTATGCCCCCAAACAGCATGTCCCACAGCCCAGGTGAGCTATGCCCCCACACAGCATGTACCACAGTCTAGGTGAGCTATTGCCTCCACACAGCATGTCCCACAGCCCAGGTGAGCTATTGCCCCCACACAGCATGTCTCACAGCCCAGGTGTACTATGTTTATGCTGTTTGGGGACTTGAGAGGTCTAGTGAGCTACAACGTCAGTTTACTGTTCAGAGTCAGTCCATTACGCATGATAGGATCAGATGTTCATTTGTTCAAGCCAGTTTCATACAGAGTATGATCCAGGGTCTATCTTCATTGGTACGAGAATCACCAAAGTGTAATGATGTTGAAACTTGGTTCACTTCGGGCTGTTTACCATAGCTGACATGTGGTGATATGAGTGAAATGTTTTAAAAACAAGGGGTCAAGCTATACATGATTCATAGTTCAAATAATAGACTTTCATTGACTACTGACATGTAATATAATTCACATATGTTCAAAAGAGGTGGAAATCCAAACTCATTCTCTGCAAATGTTTACTGCTGATCCTCAGATATCCCAGGTGGGATATACCATGTTATAACACAGCAAGATATATACAGGTAAGGTCTGTAATTTAGTCTTCATGTTTCAGTTCACTGTATGCACCACACCAAGGTCTGTCTGAAGACTCTCCAACTCCAGCTCTCTTCAAACACAATGGTTTATTGGTGACTCCGAGCCTCATGGGTGGCCGATATATTCCCCAGCAGACACCGGACTGTAACAGAATGGGTAGGATAGGCACTGATCATGGTGTTGTCATAACTTCCTTTTAAAAAAGGCAGACTACAAGCATCTGACAAGTGGGTGGTTGCTGGCATAAAAATTTGGCACCTGTTATGTTAATACATGACAATGGTCACACTACAATCAGTTAAACATTTTATTGATAAAATGAAACATTTAATTTTTTACTGTACATGTTATTGATAACCAAATAGATCTTAGAATGGCATTTGGAAGTGAAAGATATAAGGCGGAGGACATTTATGGATGTCAGCTTATGTATTATGTTGGGAAGGACGTGGCATATATTATGTATCTTATCACTTTGGTTGTCGTCACATATACATATATAAGCTGTCTGCTTCCAGGCTGTCATCTACCTGATGAAGGATTGAGAATATGCTCCGAAATGTGTTCCTCATAATACAGAGTATGACATCCATAAACTTCCCCCCTTTTTGATTTAGGGCCAGAGATTCCCTATCCCCCTGAAAGATACCATTGGCCTTACACATGCAATATCGTTGCAGGTTATCACCTACCACAGCCCATGTTCACAGAGGATAGCCCTGCCCCCTTCGTGACCCCTGCAGACAAGGGGGGATGGAGACGACTGGATGTGCGACCCAACTATGACACCAAGGGGAGTCCTGTTCCGCCCGTGCTGAACACCCCTGGGGCCAAACAGATCAACAAACAGCTGTATAGAGAGAATGTCAAAAAACCTGCCTTCACAGAGGTAGTGTTCCTTGATTATCTGGTGCATCAAATTCCCATTCTCTTTTGATGAATACCCTGTGTTTTGTAAATGACGTCACATTTTTGTGATGTGTTGATTTTGGACACCTATTTGAAGCATCATGATCATGTGATTTAAGTTTGGCTCACAACAAAGCTCAGGTGGCAAGTTCATGTAAAATGTCAATGAAACAAAAAGACCCCTTAACACCAATGAGAAGAAAGTGCTTGCATTTCTTTCTCTGGTCTTGGATGGGCATATATCACCAAACTCGAAATCGTCATCTCACAGTGTGTAACTGGTTTAAATTCACCATGCACTAACTTACTATTACACAGTTTGGAACATTTTCAGTTGGTACATATGGTATCAAAATCATTTCATCCCTCAAGTTTAGTCACAAGATATTTGTCATAAAATTTATGATTTCTACCTTATTTGGACTGTGCCTGACAGGGACTCTACCTTGGATTTTTACTGTGTCCTTGCCACTGGTTAAAGGGAACTAGAACCCTGAAAAGATTTCGTTCAGTGCCATCAACCTTCATGTCCTTTATCAGACTGTTTTGGCTGGAGAGTATTTCATGCTTGATTGGTCCTTCAGGACAAAGACAGCCCCATTCCTCCTCTTCTGATGACGCCAGGGATGAAGCAGATCAGTAAAACCATCACTGCCCCTAAGGTCAGCACCCTCAGCAGCAAGCCAGACAATGACAGTCCCATGGTGCCAGTGCTGATGACCCCGGGGGTCAAGCAGATCCAGAAGTCTGTCACTGACATGAAGGCCCCATCTGTCCCGGTGCCAGCTTCTTCCTGGGACAAGGAGCCGGAGATGCCAGAGTTCACGCTCAGTCTTCAGGTACAACCAGGGTTGAACTCACACTTAATCTTTAGGTACAACCAGGGTCTGAGCTCACACTTAGTCTTCAGGTACAACCAGGGTCTGAACACACACTTAAGCTTCAGGTACAACCAGGATCTGAACTTGAACTTAGTGATTGGGTACAACCAGGGTCTGAACTCACACTTAGTCTTCAGGTACAACCAGGGTCAGAACTCACACTTTGTGATCAGGTACAACCAGGGTCTGAACTCACACTTTGTGATCAGGTACAACCAGGGTCTGAGCTCACACTTAGTCTTCAGGTACAACCAGGGTCTGATCTCACACTTTGTGATCAGGTACAACCAGGGTCTGAACTCACACTTAGTCTTCAGGTACAACCAGGGTCTGAACTCACACTTAGTTTTTAGGTACAACCAGGGTCTGAACTCACACTTAGTCTTTAGGTACAACCAGGGTCTGAGCTCACACGTAGTCTTCAGGTACAACCAGGATCTGAACTTGAACTAAGTGATTGGGTACAACCAGGGTCTGAACTCACACTTAGTCTTCAGGTACAACCAGGGTCTGAGCTCACACTTAGTCTTTAGGTACAACCAGGGTCTGAACTCACACTTAGTCTTTAGGTACAACCAGGGTCTGAACTCACACTTAGTCTTTGGGTACAACCAGGGTCTGAACTCACACTTAGTCTTTAGGTACAACCAGGGTCTGAGCTCACACTTAGTCTTCAGGTACAACCAGGGTCTGAGCTCACACTTAGTCTTCAGGTACAACCAGGGTCTGAACTCACACTTAGTCTTCAGGTACAACCAGGGTCTGAACTCACACTTAGTCTTCAGGTACAACCAGGGTCTGAACTCACACTTAGTCTTCAGGGTACAACCAGGGTCTGAACTCACACTTAGTCTTCAGGTACAACCAGGGTCTGAACTCACACTTAGTCTTAAGGTACAACCAGGGTCTGAACTCACACTTAGTCTTTAGGTACAACCAGGGTCTGAACTCACACTTAGTCTTTAGGTACAACCAGGGGTCTGAACTCACACTTAGTCTTTTGGGTACAACCAGGGTCTGAACTCACACTTAGTCTTCAGGTACAACCAGGGTCTGAGCTCACACTTAGTCTTTAGGTACAACCAGGGTCTGAACTCACACTTAGTCTTAAGGTACAACCAGGGTCTGAACTCACACTTAGTCTTTTAGGTACAACCAGGGTCTGAAGTCACACTTAGTCTTTAGGGTACAACCAGGGTCTGAGCTCACACTTAGTCTTCAGGTACAACCAGGGTCTGAACTCACACTTAGTCTTTAGGTACAACCAGGGTCTGAACTCACACTTAGTCTTTGGGTACAACCAGGGTCTGAACTCACACTTAGTCTTCAGGTACAACCAGGGTCTGAACTCACACTTAGTCTTTAGGTACAACCAGGGTCTGAACTCACACTTAGTCTTAAGGTACAACCAGGGTCTGAACTCACACTTAGTCTTTAGGTACAACCAGGGTCTGAACTCACACTTAGTCTTTAGGTACAACCAGGTCTGAACTCACACTTAGTCACACCAGGGTCTGAACTCACACTTAGTCTTCAGGTACAACCAGGGTCTGAGCTCTCACACTTAGTCTTTAGGTACAACCAGGGTCTGAACTCACACTTAGTCTTAAGGTACAACCAGGGTCTGAACTCACACTTAGTCTTTAGGTACAACCAGGGTCTGAACTCACACTTAGTCTTTAGGTACAACCAGGGTCTGAGCTCACACTTAGTCTTCAGGTACAACCAGGGTCTGAACTCACACTTAGTCTTTAGGTACAACCAGGGTCTGAACTCACACTTAGTCTTTAGGTACAACCAGGGTCTGAACTCACACTTAGTCTTTAGGTACAACCAGGATCTGAACTTGAACTAAGTGATTGGGTACAACCAGGGTCTGAACTCACACTTTGTGATCAGGTACAACCAGGGTCTGAACTCACACTTAGTCTACAGGTACAACCAGGGTCTGAACTCACGCTCAGTCTTCAGGTACAACCAGGGTCTGAACTCACACTTACATTAGGTTTTCAGGCACAACCTCAATACAATCTTATGTTGAATTTTCTGGTACAATCCTATTTATATAATGAGAAAAACAATAATAGAAATAACAATAGGTCAGATTAATGGTAATTTCTGAACATGTTTTCCATCCCAACAGGACATTACCCAACTGACGCAATCATTTCGATTCAACAACTCGACCAGCTCCATAAACCCCCCTGAAGCTCCAGTACTTCTTGGCAAGCAGATAAAAGACCGAGACACGCCTCCCCTGCCGGAACTGCTTTCCACCAGACTGGCCAACCTAGGCACCATGCCAGGAACGTCAACTGTCTCCTCTGCTGCCAACACAAAGGCTGGGGATGATACCATGTCAGCAAGAATTCTAAAAGCTACACAGTGTGACACACCTCCGCCTCCGATTCTATTTGGCAAATATAACTTCACATCTAAATACGAACATCGAGAAAATATTCCTCCCCAATAAGAAACCTGATATTTCCATTTTAGGTTGGCAAAGGATCCAGGGCTACACTGTAGATACCGCTATGTGGCTTTTAGCACGATTTGTTGACTCTTCACCCAAGTGCCCATTGGCTGGAAATTCATTTAAGTCCCTATATTCTGTACATCAGTTCAGTTAAGTATTTAAGGTGAACCAAATATTGTATTGGGTATTATGTTGAAGCAAATGAAGTAAGTCTATTTAATTAACTGCTTCTCAGAACATATACTGTAGTAGTTAATACATGTTATATGAACTACTCTTGTCATTAGTTGAATGTAACCAATGTTGGTCTTACATTAGAAAGGCAAGAGATTACATTAGAAAGGAAACAGTTTGTTTTAAAATGGAAATACGTGTATGTATTTTTGAGACTGCACTTTCAAGACTGTTAAGCTACACATATAATTGCCAAGCAGGAATGGAGGAGTCAAAAATAACACTTTGTTTCATCTTTATTACAATATAAACATTGTACAACAATTGTTAATACTTGCATTTGTTTTCAACAACAGGCACTGTACAAAGCAGAGAATGTAAAAGTATCAAAATTGTTTACAAAGAACAGCAGTGTGTAAATGCATACATAGGAGCATTGCACATTTCTAGATGAAGGTGAACAAGCGTGGAATGATGATTGTTTAGAGTAGTGAGATTGCACAGACGTTTTGTTACGCTACAGCCATAATCATCTGTTCCTGAAATGATCAAGGGACATAACTCTGTTATTGACCACCCACTAATACAGCTATGTCCCCAAATTAATAATGTAGGTTTTTCAGGGGGCATATTGGGATTTTGGGGAATGAAACTGAATAGGTTTTGAGTCAGCACTTCAAGACATTCAAGTGTTTTCACTGGAAGATGACACCAAATACGCTGGACCAAAGTACGTCCAGTGAACAAGTTCTTCTGTTGTCTATTTTAAAGTCGAATGATACTATGTTCCCCAGTATGGGGGTGGGGTGGGGGTGGTGTGTGTGTGTTGGGGGTGTTACATGTGGGAACCATGACAACCCTAACATTGCAGGAATATTGCAGACAGCGGGGTAAAACCCTAGCCTTGGAGATACATGCCAGCACATAAACTACAGCTCCATGCCTACATGTCGAACTGGAGTACACTGTAGCCGGACTGGAAGACAGCTTATATGTACAGATCACAGGTTGTGCTTTGATGAGAGGTTGCACTGGTCAAATATATACAGTCGTTTCTTATTTATCTGATTCTAATATATATTGAAGTCCAACTTGTTCCTGGCGAGCAGTATCAGGTCCATCAGCCCCACATATCCTACTGATAGTCGACAAGGGATTGGTTCTACTCAGCTTATGTTTCAGGTGGCTCATTGGCCAGCCATTTTCTATTTCATGGATAAGGGCAATGATGTAAACTTATTTTTGTTTAAGCCGATTTCTGTGGTTACACCATGTTCCTTCATGAAGAAAATCAAGTGGTGTGGCTTGCAGTGCACTTTTGACGTGTATCATTTACCCAAACTCTGCTTGACCATACATGAATCTGCTGTGCTGTAAACAGGGTGCCGACTTGTCTAACTAGGAAACACTGATGACATGGTTGTCGTCGTTAATTCTATAAACTGAAACTTATAAACATGTAACTGAAACAGTGTTATGTGATGTTAACTGTAAACGTGTGTTACTACACGATCTGCCCCCAAACACTGGCCCTTCCGACCTGTCTGTCGAGCACCAGAAAACATGAACCCATGTACACGTGTATACACGTACGAAACGTTTCTCTCGCCCACACACTCGCACACATGTAACACATATTTCTCCCACGGATCAAACGCACACCACACAGACGCACACAGACGCACACTCACCAACAATTAAAATGATAATGTGTGAACCCCTCCCTCAAAGAACGATGGATCTTCTCCAGTACGGTAGCAACGTTTGATCGGTCAGCTACGCGTCCAGTCCTGTACATGATACGTGTACCACTACCGGACGGTGGACACCAGACCCAAACCTTCCTCATAAACCACACGTCTATTGTCTGAGGTCTACAGTCCACGTGTCTTTTCACAAACTGTTCAGTGTCAGTCACTGCACAATATAAAGCTTTGCAGTCATAGCTAAAGTATAACGATGGTGAGGTACCACTTCTGCAAAATCAGATGACCGGCACACTGACACATTTGTTCTCAAATCAGTGGGATCAGAGCGAAACATGGAGTCATATCCAAAAGCTGGAAGCCCTTACGTAACATGTGAGGTACATGCGTCACAATGGAATTCCCATTTTGGCATTTAACGTAGTCTCAAAACAAAAACTCACTGGCAGAAACCCCATGCTGATACCATAGCAAAAAACAAAGCCTCATTTTAGATCGAATGAGCCTCAATGGCTATCTGTAAACCACTTTTTGACCTTTCAGAAAAGATTGCTCTGACACTCAAACAGCTGTAGTGGATTTAAACACAGACTTCAGTCCGTCTTTCTGAATACGAAATTCCATCTCCTTAATCTCATCCTCGAAGAACTCAGTCGAGTTGGATGCAAGCATCCCGAACAGATTGTCCAGCTTGGTGAGGTCAGGCCTGTTGGTCTCCAGGCGGTACTGAAGTGGCTTGAAGCCTTCTTCCTTCAGTTCCTTCACCATGCGTCCTTCTCTGTGCTGCCCCTGGAGGAAGGACACGAACACCAACTTGGCCGGGTACACCTCGGTGTGGTACTTCTTGAACAGCGGACAGAACCTGCAACAGGAATCCACCCAGCTATAAAGAGTCACATCAGTATTTCAAAGATTCCCTAACTTTATCATTTCAAATTGTCCAGAAAGGGCCCTCATACTGCATCCTCCTTTCCAGTTTTCAATTACAGATATATGCATTGTAGACGTAAAAAAATAATTTACAGATTCTTTTGAGACAGTTCCCTCTGAGGTTGAGGCCCAAGACGTACCTGTATCCCTCGTACTCGTCCATCTCTTCCTCATCAGTGACGACGATGAACGTCTTCACCACCTCCTTCTCCTTATAGTACGGGTAGAGACTGGCAGCAGGCGCCGTGCCCCCCTCCGCTCGTATGGTCACCGCCAACTCCAGGCACTGCAACATGACAACAACACAGTTACAACCCGGTCCAACAAGTGATGACTTCCTGAGAGCGAAAGCGTGAGCAGGGATCCTATACTACAGACGAATACCATACAACAACCATACAACAGGTGTGTTCTTCATACAACAGTCACCCGTGAAGATCCGGGTTATAATTGATCTTCAGCAACCCATGCTTGTCGTAAGAGGCTACTAACGAGATCGGATGGTTGGTTGACACATGTCATCGTATCCCAAATGCGTAGATCGATGCTCATGCTAATCACTGGATTATCTGGTCCAGACTCAATTATTTACAGACCGCCGCCATATAGCTCGAATATTGCTGAGTGCGGGGTTAAATAGAATAAACAACCAACCATACCAACAGTCGATACGACGGGTATCTGTTCAACAGATACAGCACTAACGAGGTATATCTGCAAGGTACGCTCTCTGACCATGCTAGATGTGACCTCGTCAACATCAACCCAAAACTAACTTCTTTGAGTGGCATTTAGAATTGGGAACTAAGGAACGATAATATATGGATGAACGATCTTTATTACAGTAGTATAGTGTCAACTGTCACTTCACCTGATGAAGGGACCTGTAATGATCCCGAAACGTAGTGTCAGAAAGAATAAAGAAGCTTAAATCCATAAAATATCTTTGTCAGTATGGAAGTTGTTCATCCATATATTATTATCCTACCGTAATCAAAGTTAGCGGAACGTTCACTCGCAGTTGCAGGTTCAAGTTTTCGGAACTATACTCCTGGCTAGCTATTCTCGAAACGTTCCTAGCCTTACGAACTTCTTATGCAAAATCAACAAAACAAATCCTGTCATTCACAAACGTCAGTCAAAAGTATGGCTCCATTCCGGGTATTTTTCCCTGCATTTATCACCAACACAACAAATATGTATAACCCACCTGCTCTACGGTCTTTGGCAGGTAGGGAGCATCCCTGGTCCATTCGTTGAAGAAGACGAGCTTGGCAGACGTCGCCGCGGTGAGGAGACTGGCGATGATGGTGCTGGTCCGCACTGCGACGTCCATGGAGCCCGAGGCGTCCCCCATCACAACTACTGGGGACTCCAGATTCAATCTGTTGACAGAAATATATGTTATATTATAATCCCGTTTTACCGGAACTCCGGGAAAGTATCCTCCGTCAATACGGAAACATGTGTATACATACTAAAGTGACATGATACCTACGACCCATGAGACGTATATACGGAAATGTGCTGATTAGTTGTTACGATGTCTCACTGGACATTAATTACAGGGCAGTCTCATGGATAAAATGAGCTCGACTCACCACATGGGGTTACAATGTGCAGTAAGGGCGCTTGGATATCAGCAGCCAAAACACATATTAAATCACTAACCCAACCCGAACAACAAACACACACACACACAAAATAAAATAAAAAAATAAAAAATAATTATAAAAATAAATAATAAATAAATAAAAAATAATGCTAAAAAAAAATACCCTAAATACCCTTCCACCGTGTCCACCTCACTCACTAATTACATCCAGACCTAGGCTGGATACGTCCCCGACCGAAGAGGCAAAGGTACCTATAGTATGTAATGAGTTTCTTGGACTATGCTTACTTGATGCTGTTAAGCCTGTCCTCTGCCAGGGCCACCAGCGCCGGGTGGAAGCAGGCTTTAGTGGGGTTTTCAATGCGAGGCACGTCCCACCCGCTGTAGCTGGGGTCAAAGGGTATGTTCTCTCTGATCATCTTCAGAGTCAGTAGTCTTTCCAGAAGCTTTCCATTGGGCAGCGACACCTTATGGCCCTCCTCAAGCCTCTTCTTCACCACGGCGTCCACTTCCAGGCATTGCAGGTCCTCGTAGTACCTGGAAGACAACCATCGACAAGAGTTATGATAGTGATATCGCCCTGGTCAGGTCATACAGACATATTAACTGGAGATGGTTTTGCAGGCTTACAAGAGGATGATGTCGCTGAGCTCAAACACCTAGCGTCCAGTAAAACGTAAGATACCTGAACACGTGAAATGATGTCCAGATTCTCCCTATATATACCCAGGTAAGATATTGCATAAGATATACAAGAAAATGGTGTTTGGTTATGATCACGTATAGCATACGGTCTGCCTGCGAGAGGTCCCGAGATTCTGCGCTCTCCAGGCACCTACGACCTATGTAACATAGGGTGTAATCCCAAATATAACATATGTTACATTTGACCACTTTCTAAATATGGCATTGTGTATTTCATACCTATGACCTATATTAACGTTTATATCAACAACAACACACCCCCCCAACCCACACACACACACCAATTTCCAACAGCTTATATATGGCACTTACCAGAAGCTTATATATGGCACCTACCAGAGAATGGTGTCCAGCTTCTCGTATGCCGCCACTCTCGTCATAGAGTCAGGCGTAAGGCTTTCGACGTGCGCTTTCATCACACTGTACGGGATGTCGTACTCCTTCACAAGGTCGTCGACGTTGCTTGGCGTCAGGTTCTGGCACCTCTCCACCATCGTGTTGTCTGGAGCAGGCCCACCATAGCAGAAAGGCAGAAACCATGGCAACGCGGGAAAATCCTGCACAAGATTATAAACCCGTCAATGTCGCACGACACTGAGTCTTGTTTCATAGTGTATTGCATCAGTAGCTTTTAGTGCAAGCTTCTCTGATTAAACCGTTATATCGTTTAGGCAAATTGTCAACGAAATACCATTTAAAAATATAATACGTTACTTTATAACCTTTAACTCACATTTTCGGGAAAAAATAATACCAGTTTGAAAGGAAGTTAAGGGCAACCTTTCCAGAATATTAAAAGGTTAGCTGTTTGTACATACGACAATTAAACTTCACACAGTTTGTAGTGTTGAAATAGCTACGTATGTTGTGACCTTAAAGCCACGTATATCCACCGCTTTGGGATTAAATATTATCTCTGTATATTTGGCTTTTGTTCTAAAAATATGTCTGTGTATATCAACTTATTTGGTAATAGAACATAGCTGCGTTTATCTACCTCTTTGGGATTAAAATGGCATATGTCTGCAAGCTTCTTCCAGCCTTGTTTGGGGAAGTACAGTGCGTAGAACTCCAGCTCCTGGGTGGTGAAGTTCCTCACCCACCTCGTGATGTGCTTGCAGGTGGCGCCACTGGCGGAGCCTGTCTGGCAACACGTCATCAAACATGTTATATCCGTTTATACACCCCTGTCTTTGATTAAACAAACAAATTGTGATTATTACGGAATTCTTTTCGTATTTTTGTACATAATATACAGGAAGTGTTGATGCTGTTATAAGCTGCAGTCAGCATTATGTACAGTCTGGAAACACTCGCATCCAAGTGATCTTGAAAGTTTGTAAATATACTACTGTAAATACAATAAAGAAGGCCCGATTCGAGTGGTGGATATGTTCTTTTTGTTTTTCCCCATCCAATACTGGTACATTAACCCACTGCATCGAACATAATTAACATTATCTCAATTTTGTTATTAAGTTTACTGAAAGCTTCAAACAATTTAAAGATGGCGACGTTTCCACTTACTGGGGGTTTGATAGCCTTGAGGTTTCCTAGGTCAGCCTTAATCTTCCCCATCTTCTTTTTGCTGACCTTTGTCCCTGACAGCAGTAACCTTGTCATTCTTTTCTCAAGGACGCGAATCTGTCTCCCCGAGTCCAGCAATGTCAAGGCCTTTAGTACCTCCACCAGACCGAACTGTTCCCTGTTCTGGAGAAAGCCGTCTGAGAGGTCGTAGTCGCTTCTTGCCCACGCCGCAGCCAACGCCCGCACCCTCGCGTCTGGAATAATCAAAGTGAAACATGACTGAGTATTATTGACAGGGGACCATGGGTTTCGCTGTTCCCTATGGGAATCGAACTAAGGTCGACGGGACAGCAAGGTAACCACACCTTTTTGTCACTTGAGTGAAATAGGCGGAGAGTCGATGTTCCGATTTGTGAGGGACCCATTGTCGCGGGTTTAAATCCAAGATCACACTTATCATATTTTTGTCAGCACCTACACAAATAAAGGCTGTTGTTACCACAGCTCTAATTATTAATGTCTAGACTTGGTCCACTTCGAACTTTCCTCCTAAGCCTTCAAAATTGAAATACTGGTCACGGAGGCCTTAGACCAAAACCCAAGCACTCCTTCTAGTGAGATACATGTATATGGCATATATAAAAGTCGAGATTTCTTTCTGCTTGGACATTTTAGAAGAGAAAAGATTATGTCTGATCAGGATTCCATTATATATTTCGCTCCTGCACGAGGTATTCAAAACTCGTTTCGTACAACCCATAATGGCATACGTACCCATAACATATATTATCGTATTCCACATATATTTTCCCCTGAATTTTTCCCTCAAGTTAAGCCGATTTCTCAAAAGCGATGTTAAGTGTGTTTTATGAGCCGTGCGAGGTTAACCGCGATTACAACTTTATATGCATTCATGCACATGTGCTTGGTAATGTTTTCCATAATCTTGAACTATACTCATATTGATAGTATACTGATGTGGAATTTTGTGCATTGTTTTAAAAACAAATTACACAGGCTGGGTTTTATGGTTCACACACACGTACACTATTAAAGCCAACATATGCACATAACCTTGTATTAGGAGAAAATGGGAAAACAGTTAGATATGCATTCTAACACTTCCCGGATATTTAATATAGTGTTAAAGCTAAGCGTTATAGCTTTCATTTGGCTATATATAGACAATATATAATCCGATGATGACTCACTCTGAGATACCGCCACTCCGCTGTTAGCCAACACCGCCATTGCAGCTGCATAACGTGTTCTGTTTTGCTCCTGTCCTTTCACGTGATCTGCCATACTCACTGTCCCCACAAAATAGTCTTTCGGTTCCTTCTCTATATCCAGATCCGTATGTTCCTCCACCTTGTTTTGATCTGTCACTTCCTCCACGTGCTGTCTCCCCATGCCACCCCGCATGGCGCCCCGCCCACCTCGGGACCTACCTCTATGTCCCCCGCCCCGTCTACCCCTTCCGCGGCCTCGTCCACGTCCGCTCATGTTATTGTTCGGTAATTCACGAGGTGTCTTTCACGCTGGTAAATCGTTGATTCAGCTATGTTCCCATATTTCAGTATACTGACTGTTTCAACGCGTCAGAACATTTATATATGAACCTACGAATTTGTATCTTGCACAATCAGCGATCAGATTTCCTGTAGCCAATCAGCGTACTCGAGCTTCTATGACCTAGGGTCAAATATGATGTAGTTCTAATTACGTCTTTGTTGCCTTCCGTTCATCGTTCGTCGAAGCAGCTAACATTTGAGATCCGTTTACGGTATCCCAGTCACTGTTATATTTCTCGTACGTTTCATCAGGTATGGGAGTGTGATTCTATTTTAAACAAATGAGTAAAATAGTAAGTATACCCTACATGAATGTTACACCATATTCCGAAACAAGCGGTATTCCACAGAATTATTGAGATTTATTAAAAAAAACAACCATCCACACTAAAATCCTACACCGTTTCTATGTTTGTAATTGCGACGTTTCATCACTACTTCCTGTGGCCTTTCATCGAGGTTTAAGGTTTAATGTCATATGATTGTAAATGGTTTGGTTCTCTTATTAAAGACAAGAAAAAAAGATACAGTTGAACTACTTCATGTGCACAAATGTGACACGAAACAAAATAGCAGAAACGAAAATGTATACAAATAATATCATGTCGCCGACACGTTGTTGTCTGTATAAGTAGGTAGATTGTGAAAACCTATGATGTGTATACCGACACAATTATGTCTGGTTGTAGTCTGTTAAAAAAATGAATGAAAGAAAACGAACGAACGAAAAAAAACCCAAACAAACAAATAGAGAGGTAAAACACATCATGTTCGGTAAGAACTGTAGTTTTTCATGGGTATTGATATGAAAAGCTAATACCCAGCTAGCATTCAGACGTTGGCCCAACGTTAGCTATGGTTTTGCCAACATTGCCAACGTTGGGCCAACGTCACAATGCTATCTGGGTACAACACTTGCTTAAATTATTATTTAAGGACATATGTACCTAAAAACATCGCATTGACAAAATGAAAAAGAAGCTGATATTATTAGCCTCTTTCTCCATTGATGCCATCACATCTTTAAAATGCCATTAAGATATAGATATAAACAATGTTATTTCTTCCATAGGTTTGGCCGAGTTCCACCTGTTATAGCTTGCAGACTGAGCGCGGTTAACCGCGATTACAACTACATATGCAATCATATACAAAGAGTAGGGGCCCGGGGATAGGACAACCTAGATAGGACCTAGATAGGACAAGCTTGCTAAATAATATTTCATTGTAATAAACATCGCAGTCTTCGTTCATTACAAAATGGTGGTCAATGTTTTTAAAACAATTCATAATAATAACGGTGTTTGTTTTTAACCTGCCGCAAATGTTTTGTGTGATTTTTGATGGACCAGTTATATATCGATCTGTATAGTTGAAGTGTTGCATGTTTATCTGCAGCTTTTCAACTCGAGTAACATAGGGAATTCAAATATTATCTAAAACATTTCTTCTCTCATTGTAATGATGTTCGAGAAGGTTCTTGTCGACTCTTTTAACACGTCATGGTAAAATTCGAACTGACGAAAGCTAAACGTAATTTCATGAATGAACCCGCATATGTATATTCCTACGCATCGAAACGCGTACAGTTGAAGCGTAATCTCTGCATTAGAATACATGACAGCTTCTAAATGTGTTAATATTCTGTATGATATAATCACATTTAAACGTATATTTATTGAATATATATATTGGAGTGAATAATGCAGACCTATCTCACCGAACTATATTTATGTGCGGAGTTCCGAGTGTTGCTAGGTACGCGAGCTGTTGACATGTTGTTGTGCAAGGCGCACTTGGTGCGATATAAACACGAGCATGCGGTAGTAGCCCATAGTTCGCTGACGAGAGAGACTTAGAACGCGGGCACCACATATATGACCGATTAAGACACCTCGTATAGTTTTCTACAGTTGTCACATTTCATAATGTCGAGAGGACGAGGCCGTGGTCGTGGACGTGGACGTGGGGGTGCTCGAGGTGGGCGTGGTCGTAGTCGTAGAGGAGGACGAGGGAGATATGCGTCCGCCTCGAATCAAGTTAAAGATGAGCAAGGCAGTGCTCCAAAACAGTTCGACATCGAGACGAATCCTAATGACTACTTCACAGGCACCGCATCGGTGGCCCAACACATCCAGGGACAGACAGACAACCTGGACAGGTACGCTGCCACAATGGCAGTTCTCAGGAAGAATGGAGTGGCAGTGGCTCAAAGTGAGTACAAATTGCTGACGTCAAGTTTTATTTTTGATGCATCAGCATAATTTTGTGAGTGCATATAGTTTTTAAAAATGAATGGTTTTTTTCAATATGTACTACATCAAAGATCTATTCTGTATATTTCTCCATTAAATATATAATTTGTTAAAGTTAATGTAACAAATTGAATATATATATATTTCGGAAGTAAGTTTTAATTTGTTAGGATATCAATGTAGATTTATTGACAAGTTGTCTCTTTAAAAGATCAGTAAATAAAGAAAAGCTACTTGCAGATATATATAGATGAAATGTTATGAGAAAAATGATCAATGGCAGAGATATTTTTAGGGAAAGAGTAAGGAGATTTGTCCTTTCTTCAAATATTTATACTGAAGTTGTACAGGGCATTCGACAAGTCAGATATATAATATCAAGCATTATGAAGGTGTCTCAATGAATATAGATTTTCTAGAAGTTTTGAATGAAAACATATGCACAGATTTCTGTAAAAATTCTAAATGAAACTAATAACGCAAACTTTCATTGTGAAATTGCAGATGCCTGTGTACGAGCTTTGACTGCAGCATGGGCGCGGCATGACTACAAGCTTGCTGATGCCTTTCTCCAGAACAGAGAGCAGTTTGGACTAGTTGAGGTCTTGAAGACATTAACTTTACTTGACTCGGGAAGGAGAGTGCGTGTTCTGGAGAAGAAGCTCAAAAGGTTGCAGCTCACAGGGTCAAAGATCAGCAAGACGAAGTTCGGAAAGTTGAAGTCAGACATTGACAACCTCAATGCAATAAAACCACCAGTAAGTAATGCAGGGGTTGTCTCCCTTGATGTGTTGCACCAATAATAGAAAATGCGAGCAACAGTCTCAACACTAAACTGCTAGTAGACCTAATTAAAAGATCCTAATTGAAAATATTAATTTTCATTAAACATGTACATGATATATTCTATTTTATTATCAAAAATATACTTTCTTCTTAATTCAGTGTGGCAAATGAAATAACAGCACTGATAGCTGTTTCCTAATTAACTAATTAGAGTTGCTTCCCTTCTCTCCATAAGATGGAAAAGTATTTGCAAATCAGAATAATATTCTAACAGTTTGTCTTACAAACATGAAAGAGCAGTGAATTCCATTACATTATTTGCTGATAACGAAATCACAATAGACTCAAAATTTGAAACAAGTGCAATCTCTTTGAAATCAGTGTAATCTTCGTGAACATGAACATGTGCTACCCCCGCCCTGGAGCTGCAATTTCAGATCTTAGTGAGATTGAAACCGATGTGAGGTAGTACAAAATGATTTAAAACAACTGGTCAGATTAATATATTAATAATGGTTGTCACCCCTTCTGGTGTGACAACCATTATTGGCATATACTGAGCCATACCATGGTATTAATACTTGTGATGATTTTGTTTGCAGCAAGGGTCAGCAAGTGGGGCGGTGTGCAAACATGTCCAGGCGTGGGTAAAGACATTCACCAAGGAGGAGCTCGAGTTCTACGCTCTCCACTACCCTAAAGATCCATGGAAGAAACTGGCAGACATCTGCCACTTCAACCCCCAAACAGTAAGTCTGACAGCTGATTATATTGTGAGTTTAGTTTTACGCTGCACTCAGCAATATTCCAGCTATATGGTGGCAGTCTGTAAATAATCGAGTCTGGACCAGACAATCCAGCGATCAACATCATGAGCATCGATCTACACAATTGGGATGACGATGACATGAGTCAACCAAGTCAGCGAGTCTGACCACCCGATCCTGTAAGTCGTCTCTGAGTTACTGAAGATCAACTCTAACCCGGATCTTCACGTGTAGATCATATATTGTACTTAGAGCGACATGGCCATGAAGGGGCGGTGGGTAGCCTAGTGGTTAAAGCGTTGGCTCGTCACGCTGAAGACCGGGTTGGAATCCCCACATGGGTACAATGTGTGAAGCCCATTTCTGGTGTCCCCCGACCGTGATGTTGCTGGAATATTGCTAAATGCGGCGTAAAACCAAACTCAGTCAGTCAGTCATGGCCATGAAGATTGACTGTCAGTGGGTGTCACCTGGTCTGAAGTGAGGCATAATACAATATGTCATTTTAATCTAATGTACACATGACAAAAGAGTTTACATGTATTATGCTAGACGCACTTTCACATTGTTCAGTCTTGCAGCTACATATGAATCACAGTGTTCAGTCCTATATGCATGTAGGAAACAATTATCTATAAGCAAACATAAATCATCTTAGTTTGCTGTGTTCTTCATGTCACTTTCTAACTGCACATTTTTATAAGTTTCAAATGTGCTCCATCCTGCGCTGATGATGTCATACAGTGCTTCCTACGTTTAAAAAAATCTGCTAGTGTTGAGTTGTCATTCGTGCAGTTGACTGCCAGGTTTGTCTATCCCCAGACAGGCTGCAGTGATAGGTCTGGTTGTATGTTGGAGTACAGCATTCATTTACTTATATCACTTATTGATCTGTGTGTAATTCATATGCATGTTTTGTGTTGCAGGATTTTGAAGTGTTGCCATGGTTCTTGCCGTTCTGTTTTGGGGACAATCCCCCTAGTGGATCAATGGTGGAGAGGTGTCGGGACGTCACCGAGGCCAACGTCAATGACCTCATCACAGAGTACGATGTCCCATACACGCATGTCAAGGAACACAAGGCCAAGTTGACGGACAACTCCAAAGCCAGATTAGCTGCATATGAGTCAAAACTGGACACAGTCTTATGGTAAAATATGCATTGTTGCAATCATTTGTGCTCACACAAAAGAGTCAAAACATTAGGTTAAGTGATGAGACAAGTTTAACTTAACTGGAAACAACATATTCAGAAAATATATTGATATATTCAGAAAAAATAACATGATTTTTTTATTTTATTCTTTCCGCCTACCTATCCACCAAGATTTTAAAACTATCCCAAACCAAGAAATAATTAATATCAACCATTTAGTTTCTTATTTATTCTAATTTCATGAAAAATATATTGTTTGAACATATATCTCTCTTTAGAAACTGGATATATCTTCTGACACTTTGATGTGTTTATATATTTAAATATTTTAATTATATAATTTAAATATTCCATAAAAGTGTTGAGACTGCAATAAACAGTATCTCTCTCCATGACATGCTGTAAACTGACTCACTCACTCTGGATTCTGGGTCACTCTATGTTGGCTCTGGTGGTTAAAATGTTGACAGATTATCTGTCATTGTATACATCTATGTTCATGGTGTCAATCATTCATGTGTCTAGTCCTGTCAGTTAACGCACCAAGTTGATATCAATGGAATAGTGTAGACTACAGCAGCGTAAAACAACATTCATTCCCCATTTGACCCACACACTTAAAGTCCTTCAGATTTTAAGCGGATGTATATTTATATGATATATGAAATCTGCTATACTTGGGAATCAAATGAAATATTCTACTGTCTATTTTCAGTTTTGACTGAATGTCCAACCAATGCAATGTGAAAACTGTACTGATATCTCTGTTTGTCTTCCTACAGGTGGTATGAGGATCTTCAGTGCATGGAGGTAGATAAGATCATAACGGAACGACTTGAAGCAGGCGATAATGTGAACCTGGCCAATGGGAAACTGTTGGAAAGATTATTGACCCTGAAGATAATCCGTGAGAACATCCAGACTCAGTCATATTACAGCACAAGTGCCCCAGCAAGGGAGGCAAACCCAACTAAAGTCTGTTTTCTTCCCAAACTGATCCCCATGGCTGAAACAAGACTGACATCAATCAAGTAAGTAATATATGTAGTACTGATGTACAGCTCCTGAGATAAGTCCAACTGTCAACTCCTGAGATGAGTTCAACTTTAAACGCCTGATAAAAGTCCAACTCTCAAGTCCTGAGATAAGTCCAACTCTCAACTCCTGAGATGAGTTCAACTTTTAACGCCTGATAAAAGTCCAACTCTCAAGTCCTGAGATAAGTCCAACTCTCAACTCCTGAGATGAGTTCAACTGATAAAAGTCCAACTCTCAAGTCCTGAGATAAGTCCAACTCTCAACTCCGGAGAGAGCTGGGAGTCCAATTTAGTTGAGAACAGAACAGAACCCTTAGGCTTCGAGAATATAATTGAATCACTTATTCATTATCTGTACTTTTCTTTAGACTTCCTCTGGAGTCCCCGATTGTTGTGATTGGCGATGCATCTGGCTCCATGCAGGTCGCCATCCGAACCAGCACTATCATCGCCAGTCTGCTCACCGCCATCTGCTCAGCCAGACTTGTCTTCTTCAACACTGAGAATCGTGGAAGCCATACTTGCCCAAGACCATTGATGAAGTGCTGGAGCTGGCGGTGACGACCAAGGCAGGAGGGGGGACAACTCCTGCTGCTAGCTTGTGGCCATTCTACGAGAAGAAAGAGGTAGTGAAGACATTCATCATGGTGACAGACGAAGAGGAGAATGGGAAAGTTGAGAATATGAAGTGAGTGGAACAATGAGCATTTGTATGTTTGAAACATTAACTCTGAAGTTTATAAGATATAGGGTTAGGTGTAAGTGCAAATCCTGAGTGTCAACATGTAGTTAATCTTTTGTTTAGGCGTTTGAATTAATGTTATTTTGTTTATAGTTGCCAGTCCTAAAGATGGATGGATGGATGGATGTTGGCACAGTTACTTCAGTGTCATAAATGTTTTAAGAGCTGCATCACTTTTGATTTTTGTCCTAGCCACAGTACAACGAATTACTGCGTTAATTATAGAAGTGAGATCGGAGAAATGGCGTAATCCTATCTTTGTGAGGATTAAGGAAGTGGTACTACTCATAACTAATTTCTTAATAATTATTACCTTCAAAACTGATTTGGAGGTAACGTTGATCTTGCTTTTGTTAGATATTTTTATAGCTTGATGATAGATGAGTTTCACGACAATTTCATTTCAGTTTTGCTGAGTTGTACAAGAAGTATCATGATGAAGTATTTCCTGCCAAGCTGGTCTTCGTGTCATTCCTCCGTTCCCAGCATGCAAAGGGGCAAATGGTGACTCAACTTCAGGAAGCCGGATTCCAGCCACTCCAGTTCAAACTGGAAGGAAGCCGTCCTGACCTGACCAAACTTGACAATCTGTTTGGGCTGCTGTCGTCTGATTCTGCCTCCTTCAAGGATGAAATCACAGAGATGCAGGAGGACATCCAGAAATCAGGGCTGGCCGAGGTCTTCAAGAAGCTCTAGATTGAGTGACATTATTAAGAGGTCAATGCCTGAACTCGAGCTCCATTCCATAGAACAATATTGTCAGTCAGTAGTCCCTAAAGGAGTTACAACAATCGTAGTGCTGCTCGTGTCCTAGCTCTGTATAGAAACTGATTCCACTAGATTAGAGCAACTCAGTGTTCAGACTTAGGAGCTGTTGTGCAACAGCTGTCATTAACCCGTTTGGACACATCGGTTTTATGACAGTCGTAGTGAAACAACTTTCATTGATCTTTTGGGAAACAAAAGTGTTATGACAGTCAAAGTGCAACAACTTTCTGTAGTCTATGGTGTATATTACCCTCAGAGTTTTATTGTAGCAGTCCATGAGCATGCACAAATGGGTGGATACAGGCGTATTATAAATGTCCATTATTGTTATATTCAATAGTGAAATGCATACTGAATAGTTTACATACATATTGCACTGTTTACATGCATATTCAATAGTTTATATAAATATTGCACAGTTTACACACATTTTCAGCAGCTAACAACAGTGAGTTGAACAATGCATGACAAAATGCATAAAACGAGTAAATATATTGTGTAATTTTGTGTAAATATCAATCAGTCTTTCATTAATGAGAATATTGAGCCCTGTGTAGATATACATAACAATGGCACTTGCCAGGAACAAGACTTCGATGTAAATACCGGGGTAATAGAAAATGTACATAGCAAATGATCGTTACAAGGCAGCATTTGTCAATTTAAATGCAAGACATTTTTGAAAACATCTGTCTGTGTTATGATGCAAAGCTAGATATGCTTTTATCGTTGTGACAATTAGTTTTGTCAAGCAATGTTGTGATATTAGACAAAACTGTGTAGTCTCCACAGTACCAACGTTTCAAACTGCTGGTGAAACACATGATACATATTGTATTGCATCTCACATTACAACTTGGGCATTATTTTCAGTGGTTAGATTTTAACCTACCATTCCTTCATCTGAAGTCATTCATTTTTAATAGACCCCTGGACACCATCTCTGTTTTACGGGGAGATAACTTTTGTAATGCATTTAGTTGCATACCATGAATAACTGTTAGTGCTTTTTAAGAAAGAAGTGCTTATGAATTATGACGGTTTTGTTTTTATATTTGTATTTTGTTGAATTGAGTGTAATGGATGATTCATGACAGCATGTTGAGGTTTCATAGTTGGCGTTTGGTGGTAGTTTTATATAAGAGCAGTGACAATGATTCTATTGAGAAGAAATTAGCATTTGTCTCAAGTTAGATATGTGCATTTGTTAAAAGTCTAATTTAGGTGTCATTACTGTGCTGTTGCATGTGATTTACAACTGACTACTAGCTATTTTTTAAAGAGAAAATATTACTGTTGTGTACAACTTTCGGATATTTTTATAGTTAAGTTACAACATGAGCATGGATGAAATTATACGTTTTAATAAAAAACTCCAGAATTAACATGTCTTCATTAATCTTCATTGATTTATATATAAAATCATTTCCTATTTCTGATGGATCTTTCAGTTAAGTAAGTATGTTCACAGTTTCAGTACAATGTCAGGTGTCTAATGAGCAAGGTTTCAAAGAATATGTTTCTTTAGTATACATGCACATTGTGATTGGTTCTAGTGTATGATTATATGTGCAATACTAATCTGTCTAATTGATGACACAAATAGCCTCTCTGATATATGATTTGTGATGTATTTACTGTGACAAAGATGTATTGCATTATTTATTGCGTTATTTCCACTGTTACAAAGAAAGTGCTGTCACGTTTGTGCTGGAATGGACACGTCATGAACTTATTTTTATGTACAGTATTCTTTGTGATTTGTTTTATCTTTTTATACTCAATCAATGTATGTTTTTCACAGATAACCTCAGGGCAACTTTGCATAACAAATAAATGTTCAAATTATGAGTTTACTTTGTTCTTATTGGTACAATCAAACACATCATGCAACTAGTGGAGAAGACAGAGTTTGTATATGTCATCGTTATCCTTGTGGCATGTAGACTGTCTGGGATGTTCTTGTGGCATGTAGACTGCCCGGGATGTCCTTGTGGCATGTAGACTGTCTGGGAAGCCAATGTGGCATGTAGACTGCCTGGGTGGCATGTGTCCTGTGTGGGATGCATGTACACTGCCTGGGAAGCCATTGTGGCATGTAGACTGCCTGGGATGTCATTGGGGCATGTAGACTGCCTGGGATGTCCTTGTGGCATGTACACTGCCTGGGATGTCATTGGGGCATGTAGACTGCCTGGGATGTCCTTGGGGCATGTAGACTGCCTGGGATGTCCTTGTGGCATGTAGACTGCCTGGGATGTCCTTGTGGCATGTACACTGCCTGGGATGTCATTGGGGCATGTAGACTGCCTGGGATGTCCTTGTGGCATGTAGACTGCCTGGGATGTCATTGGGGCATGTAGACTGCCTGGGATGTCATTGGGGCATGTAGACTGCCTGGGATGCCATTGGGGCATGTAGACTGCCTGGGATGTCCTTGTGGCATGTAGACTGCCTGGGATGTCCTTGTGGCATGAAGACTGCCTGGGGTGTCATTGGGGCATGTAGACTGCCTGGGATGCCATTGGGGCATGTAGACTGCCTGGGATGCCATTGGGGCATGTAGACTGCCTGGGATGTCCTTGTGGCATGAAGACTGCCTGGGATGTCATTGTGGCATGTAGACTGCCTGGGATGCCATTGGGGCATGTAGACTGCCTGGGAAGCCAATGTGGCATGTACACTGCCTGGGATGTCCTTGTGGCATGTAGACTGCCTGGGATGTCCTTGTGGCATGTAGACTGCCTGGAAAGCCAATGTGGCATGTAGACTGCCTGGGATGTCCTTGTGGCATGTAGACTGCCTGGGATGTCCTTGTGGCATGAAGACTGCCTGGGATGTCCTTGTGGCATGTAGACTGCCTGGGATGTCCTTGTGGCATGTAGACTGCCTGGGAAGCCAATGTGGCATGTACACTGCCTGGGATGTCCTTGTGGCATGTAGACTGCCTGGGATGTCCTTGTGGCATGTAGACTGCCTGGGAAGCCAATGTGGCATGTACACTGCCTGGGATGTCCTTGTGGCATGTAGACTGCCTGGGATGTCCTTGTGGCATGAAGACTGCCTGGGGTGTCATTGGGGCATGAAGACTGCCTGGGATGCCATTGGGGCATGTAGACTGCCTGGGGTGTCATTGGGGCATGTAGACTACCTGGGATGCCATTGGGGCATGTAGACTGCCTGGGATGCCATTGGGGCATGTAGACTGCCTGGGGTGTCATTGGGGCATGTAGACTGCCTGGGATGCCATTGGGGCATGTAGACTGCCTGGGATGCCATTGGGGCATGAAGACTGCCTGGGATATCATAGTGGCATGTAGACTGTCTGGGATATCATAGTGGCATGTAGACTGCCTGGGATGTCCTTGTGGCATGTAGACTGCCTGGGATGTCCTTGTGGCATGTAGACTGCCTGGGAAGCCAATGTGGCATGTACACTGCCTGGGATGTCCTTGTCGCATGTAGACTGCCTGGGATGTCCTTGTGGCATGTAGACTGCCTGGGATCTCCTTGTGGCATGTAGACTGTGTGGGATGTCCTTGTGGCATGAAGACTGTCTGTGATATCATTGTGGCATGAAGACTGTCTGGGATATCATTGTTTCATGAAGTGAGGGAGTGAATGGGTGAGTGAGTTTAGTTTTACACCACCTATAGCAACTCCCTCACCTCATATATGTCTGAGCTGTAATCTTCCCTCAACTCATGCATGTCTGAGCTGGAATGTTTCCTCACCTCATGTATGTCTGAGCTGGGATCTTCCTTCACCTCATGTATGTCTGAGGTGGTATCTTTCCTCACCTGATGTATGCCTGAACCCGAATCTTCTCTCACCTCATGTATGTCCGAGCGGGGATCTTCCCTCACCTCATGTATGTCTGAGCGGGGATCTTCCCTCACCTCATGTATGTCTGAGCTGGGATCTTCCCTCACCTCGTGTATGTCTGAGCTGGGATCTTCCCTCACCTCATGCATGTCTGAGCTGGAATCTTTCCTCACCTCATGTATGTCTGAGCTGGGACCTTCCCTCACCTCATGTATGTCTGAGCTGGGATCTTCCCTCACCTCATGTATGTCTGAGCTGGGATCTTCCCTCACCTCATGTATGTCTGAGCGGGGATCTTCCCTCACCTCATGTATGCCTGAGCTGGGATCTTCCCTCACCTCGTGTATGCCTGAGCTGGGATCTTCCATCACCTCATCTATGTCTGAGCTTGGATCTTCCCTCACCTCATGTATGTCTGAGCTGGGATCTTCCCTCACCTCAGGTATGTCTGAGCTGGGATCTTCCCTCACCTCGTGTATGTCTGAGCTGGGATCTTCCCTCACCTCATGTATGTCTGAGCTGGAATCTTCCCTCACCTCAGGTATGTCTAAGCTGGGATCTTCCCTCACCTCATGTATGTCTGAGCTTGGATCTTCCCTCACCTCATGTATGTCTGAGCGGGGATCTTCCTTCACCTCATGTATGTCTGAGCTTGGATCTTCCCTCACCTCATGCATGTCTGAGCTGGGATCTTCCCTCACCTCAGGTATGTCTGAGCTGGGATCTTCCCTCACCTCAGGTATGTCTAAGCTGGGATCTTCCCTCACCTCAGGTATGTCTGAGCTGGGATCTTCCCTCACCTCGTGCATGTCTGAGCTGGGATCTTCCCTCACCTCAGGTATGTCTGAGCTGGGATCTTCCCTCACCTCAGGTATGTCTGAGCTGGTATCTTCCCTCACCTCATGTATGTCTGAGCTGGGATCTTCCTTCACCTCATGTATGTCTGAGCTGGAATGTTTCCTCACCTCATGTATGTTTGAGCTGGGATCTTCCCTCACCTCAGGTATGTCTGAGCTGGGATCTTCCCTCACCTCATGTATGTCTGAGCTGGGATCTTCCCTCACCTCAGGTATGTCTGAGCTGGGATCTTCCTTCACCTCAGGTATGTCTGAACTGGGATCTTCCCTCACCTCATGCATGTCTAAGCTGGGATCTTCCCTCACCTCATGTATGTCTGAGCTGGGATCTTCCCTCACCTCATGTGTCTGAGCTAGAATCTTCCCTCACTTCACGTGTGTCTAAGCTGGGATCTTCCCTCACCTCATGTATGTCTGAGCTGGGATCTTCCCTCACCTCATGTGTCTGAGCTTGAATCTTCCCTCACTTCACGTGTGTCTAAGCTGGGATCTTCCTTCACCTCAGGTATGTCTGAGGTGGTATCTTCCCTCACTTCACGTGTGTCTGAAGTGGTATCTTCCCTCACTTCACGTGTGTCTGAGGTGGTATCTTTCCTCACCTCATGTATGTCTGAGCGGGGATCTTCCTTCACTTCATGTATGTCTGAGCTGGGATCTTCCCTCACCTCATGCATATCTGAGCTGGAATGTTTCCTCAACTCATGTATGTCTGAGCGGGGATCTTCCCTCACCTCATGTATGTCTGAGGTGGTATCTTCCCTCACCTGATGTATGCCTGAACCCGAATCTTCTCTCACCTCATGTATGTCTGAGCTGGGATCTTCCCTCACCTCATGTATATCTGAGCTGGGATCTTCCCTCACCTCATGTATGTCTGAGCTGGGATCTTCCCTCACCTCATGTATGTCTGAGGTAGTATCTTCCCTCACCTCATGTATGTCTGAGGTGGTATCTTCCCTCACCTCATGTATGTCTGAGCTGGGATCTTCCCTCACCTCGTGTATGTCTGAGCTGGGATCTTCCCTCACCTCATGTATGTCTGAGCTGGGATCTTCCCTCACCTCATGTATGTCTGAGCTGGGATCTTCCCTCACCTCATGTATGTCTGAGCTGGGATCTTCCCTCACCTCATGTATGTCTGAGCTGGGATCTTCCCTCACCTCATGTATGTCTGAGCTGGGATCTTCCCTCACCTCATGTATGTCTGAGCTGGGATCTTCCCTCACCTCATGTATGTCTGAGGTAGTATCTTCCCTCACTTCACGTGTGTCTGAGGTGGTATCTTCCCTCACCTCATGTATGTCTGAGCTGGGATCTTCCCTCACCTCGTGTATGTCTGAGCTGGGATCTTCCCTCACCTCATGTATGTCTGAGCGGGGATCTTCCTTCACCTCATGTATGTCTGAGCTGGGATCTTCCATCACCTCATGCATGTCTGAGCGGGGATCTTCCATCACCTCATGTATGTCTGAGCTGGGATCTTCCCTCACCTCATGTATGTCTGATCGGGGATCTTCCATCACCTCATGTATGTCTGATCGGGGATCTTCCATCACCTCATGTATGTCTGAGCGGGGATCTTCCATCACCTCATGTATGTCTGAGCGGGGATCTTCCATCACCTCATGTATGTCTGAGCGGGGATCTTCCATCACCTCATGCATGTCTGAGCTGGGATCTTCCATCACCTCATGTATGTCTGAGCTGGGATCTTCCCTCACCTCATGTATGTCTGAGCTGGGATCTTCCCTCACCTCATGTATGTCTGAGCTGGGATCTTCCCTCACCTCATGTATGTCTGAGCTGGGATCTTCCCTCACCTCATGTATGTCTGAGCTGGTATCTTCCCTCACCTCATGTATGTCTGAGCTGGGATCTTCCCTCACCTCATGTATGTCTGAGCGGGGATCTTCCCTCACCTCATGTATGTCTGAGCTGGGATCTTCCCTCACCTCGTGTATGTCTGAGCTGGGATCTTCCCTCACCTCATGTATGTCTGAGCTGGGATCTTCCCTCACCTCATGTATGTCTGAGCTGGGATCTTCCCTCACCTCATGTATGTCTGAGCTGGAATCTTCCCTCACCTCATGTATGTCTGAGCTGGGATCTTCCCTCACCTCATGTATGCCTGAACCCGGATCTTCTCTCACCTCTGACACTACTACATAT